ACCATTAAGTCAATAGTGCAGTATAACATAAAACCCTCTTTAGAAACATCAACAATACAAAAACATAGTACTGTTCAAGATTACTATACCAAAGAAGCTGCTTTACACAAGATAAACACACAACCAGGAAACAGTAAATAGAACTTATTTCAAGTTTGACATTACAAGTTGTATACTTTTCTAGTTTTTAATAGTTTTAAAAGCTTGTGGCAAGCTTGCGTGACTATTTTTTATATTTTTGTCAATAGAAGCTACATTCTATAATACTTATAAGCATTTGACAAAAATAATTTTAGTTATGCTGCTTCTTTACAATACTAAAACTTTAAATTAAATCATCATATAAAGTAACTGCTGTATAACAAACTTTAAATACAGCAATATCGTTATAGAGGAGTTCTACTGTTACAAATTTGAAAAATCATTAAAAATTTAAAAAATTTTAGAAATCTGTAAAATACGACTCGGATAATAATGTTCAGTCAAACCTCTTTAGTATGACACTCCAGGGACTGGGCCGACGTGCCATTCTAACCAAAGTATCACACTATTCAACTGATTTTCGGTAGGAGTTTTACTACAAAATGCGGTCAGAATGCTGTCATTGTAAAGAGGGTGTCATACTGTTGAGAGATAAATTTTATAAAAAGTAATGAGATATGTCTCTCATTTCATTTCATTTCATTTATTCCTCTTTTCAAAGTTACAACTGTTGACAAAGGATAAAAGTAATCAGAGAGTATAAAATCAAATCATGTCTCCATCTCTGTCTCCGAGATATTGATCTCGCCAGTTGCCAATGGAAGTTGCCAAAAGTAGCTTATTACCTTTTTTGCAATTAAATATAATAACTAAAAGTAATGTTTTTGAAAACAAATAATAAAATTTGCAAATATTAACCATGGCGTTAACCCATTGTTAATTGTAAGACAAATCTCTAAAAACAAAGTGAAATGAATTTCTGTAGATAAACATTATTTACATGATATCAAATTGCTGTCAATGGGTAATTACAACATGAACCATGTTCCCTTTTTGCCGCAGGCATTAAAAATCATTCTTATTATACTTATAATAACATAGCTTTTTCTTGCTACTAGTACTAACAATCTCATCATATTGTGATACTAGTATCACACCATATACGTATATATAAGTTTACCACATAAAACAAAACTCCTAGAACAGAAAGATAAAATGACATACGAAGACGCTACTCTTTACTACTCTTTTGTAACTCTGCCAATTTGAAAAAACGAAAATATAATGAGAAGAATAATAAAAGACGTAATGAGAAAACAGCCTCCGGGGTTATTAATATACACTTTTGTTGTTTGGAGATTACTCTCTAATTAGGGTCAGAGACTTGGCAAAAGAGTGTATATAATAGATAGTAAGTATGATATACTAAAGTATACATCAATGCAAAAAGACAAACGTTAAGGGAGGGTGAGGTATTTGAGAGAATCGATAAGGCGGGGTAAGCAAGGTAGCAAAACTTAGTCTAGCCCAAAAATCAGTTTAGCTTAACTCAAAAGTCAAAATATACCTTCTTTTTTGGTCATCTACCCTTCCAATCCAGCTCCAATTGATTCTAGTGTTACCCTCCCAGTCTAATCCATCTTTTTCTGACAATAAACTACCAATCCACCCCTCTTCGCACTACCCTTCCAATCTACTCTCGCCTCCTCATAGAACTACTGTACTCTTCCAATACATCTCCTAGCCCTACCATCCCAATCCACTCCCTCTATTTTACCTTCAATTCAAAGTTTTTTCAACCATTCTTACTTTTTTTAGTCTAGCTATGATAATAACGAAGTTTCTGAAGTATAAAAACATGTACCAAACCTTAATTTTTGATATATATCTTGCCTATAAAATGGCGTTTTCAAAAAACAACATAAAACTTTTGAAGGAAAACAAATATAAAAAGTTCTTAATAATGCCACAGACTGTCGTAAAAGTTTAAGTTCCTGGTTGCTTCTCGACGTATTAAGTAAAATATCATTATTAAAATGACAACGGGTTCTTATGATACAAAATGTATTTTAAGTTTGACTCTAAGGTTTTTATATTGTATTTTTGACCTATTACATTACAGTACTGACTAGTATAAAATATTTTTTTATTTTAATTATGTGTTAAGTTTTTAAAACTCAAAAACTCAAACAAAATCCTATAAAAAAGCTCGAAAATTCAAGTAAACGTAAGACAATTAGCCCTATAGGCATTACCTAGATGTAAGTGTTCATTTGACATGAATTCCGCTCTACCTGTGACAATTAACGAATGCCGTGAGAGATTTAATCCCCTCGGGCATTAAAAAGTTATTTTTGGGTTTAAACGGAAGCAGCACAAATTTTGTTTTCGAATTATGTTATTTATCCACATAACATAACTGGCATACTAATTTCGGCCGCAGAGAAAAAAAATTTAGGCTTAAATTTTTGCAAAATTTGCTTTTTTGGAAATTTGAAGCTATTATCGAAAAATGGTGCTATTTTTTAATAATTAGTACTATTTTTCAGAAATCGGTACCTTTTTTCAATTTAAAAATTTTTTTGATATTTGGTACTATTTTTTAAGAGTAAGTCCATTTTTGTTAACGGGTACTACTACACCTGAAAGGGAGTCTACTGCCAAACTGGCCCCCAGCAAATTTGAAAAAATCCGGGTACAAATATTGTGGGCCCTTTTATAAATCTATTTACCACTCTTTTCGAAAGGAATGTGAAAGTGGTGCCATTTACAAATTATTGCCTTATTCTAGAACCCCCAAATTTTCTAAGCCTTCCAAAAAGTAAAACTTAAACAAAGCTAAAGCGAAATCAGGGAAATGGCAATGGAAAGATATCAGTAATCTCGGCGGATTAGGCCTAGATTAAAAGCCAAAGTTGGATTGTCGTAACACAGGATGTTAACAAATTGTTTTAATCTCGGGCTTAGGATGCAATTAGTTGTTACATCAGCTATAAATACACATTACCGTAGCATATTATACTAAAGTTGTTATAGAAAAGTTAAGAAAATTCGAAAATTTTTTTGAACTTTTTGTTTTAAAAGATTTGAAAAATGCAAAAAATTTCTTTACAAAACTTTTTCATTCAACAATTTTTAAGTTAATGGCAATAACTTTCTTTACAAAATACTTTTATTCTGTTATATAATACTAGTTTACTAATCCCAAACGCAATAACTTTCTTTACAACAAAATTTAAAATTTAAAAACCACGAAACTTAACTATTGAACTATTTAAATTGCCTCACAGCAAAGACTATCACTCCAGAGAAAGTAAAAACCCCCTGAGGACCAAATATCTAATAACATATAAATATTTGTTATTTCCGGCTGTCACTAATGTCATAGAGAAATAACTTTTATTTACGCTCCTATGATACTTGACTTATGTAAATTTACATTATATTATTATAATTGTCTTCAAAGTACTATTCATAGTATACGTATATTGAAATATATTGTTATATACGTTGGGATAGTAAAAAAAAGTAAAAACATACCATGTAAATATAGTTCTATATATCAAACAAAAAAGATAAAAAATACCCTAAAACCAGGCCTTAAAAATAATAAAAAATGTAATAAACTCTTCTACTTTATCATCACAAAATATTTTTTTAAAGTCTTGAAGGAATATGTGTTTTGAAGTAAAAATATATAAAAAATAAGCCTGGTTGAAGCTAGCCCAACGTTCAGGTCAAAAAGTTTTAAAAAATTTTTTAAATTTAAAAATATTTTTGGGCCCAGTTCTAATTTTCGAGACTGGCCCTTAAGCCGAACCCAACTCCTAGGCCCATTACAAATTTACCTTCAGACCAGCCCACAACAATATCTAACTATAAGGCTCGTTTTTCCCCTAATTTAGCTTTTTACTTGCCATAATATGTATATCTGCTTAAAACTTTTAACTTTTTTTCTTGTGACCACTTGAAAAAGCAAAAAAGGGAAAACTTATTATAAACCTTTTTGTTTTATTATACTCAAGAAACAATCAATATATAAATAAACGGTGTAAAAACATATGTTTATCTGGTTTTATGGCAAAATTATGTGGTCATACTTCAAGAAGATGTTTTATACATAGATAAATCCCTAGTAATACAGAGTTTTATACTTTTTTAAAATTTCTGGTTTTTACAAGAGACTTTTCTGTGCCCAATTGCAATTGGGTTTGTAAACTACCAGACCAAGGCTTGAAAAGGCGTCTACTCGGTCCAGCTTCCAGCAAAGTTCAAAGAGGCCGGGGCGAGCTGACATATAGGCTCTGAAGCCGGGCTCAAACTTAAGTCCCTACCCCTTTATAGGTCTAACCATCCCTATGCTTAACTATATACATATACAATTGCCATAACTTTTTAAACATTTTAAAAATTTAAATTTATAAATTTTAAAATAAAAAATAAATAGAAAATACTATTGTATAATAGCTATAAAATTCCAAAAACACATGTTTTGTTTGTTTACCACACCCATACCATAAATTTACCGCAATCCCTGGGTCTTTGCATCGCCCAACATTAACACCCTCGCCTCTCATAACCCATCCTAATAACAATAAAGCAAAACTTGGAAAACACATTTATTTTAACAATTCGAAAGAAATAAATTCCCCAAGGCTAAATGTAAAAGTTGTGGTGTAAATATCAATGAATGGGCTGCGTAATGACTGGTCGAACCATAAAACCTGACGAATTTGCAAAAAAGGAGGGTAAGAGAAGTATTATATACTTATAAAAGTAAAAATATTATGATAAATAACACTGTTGTTGTAGAAATATAAAAAAGTGCTGTATAATTTTAAATTTTTTAAAAAATTTTGATTTTAAACAAAAGCCGCGAACGATCGTCATCGTGTATGTTTGTTTTTTGTAGTCAAAGCAAATTTTTAAATTAAAAAAAGATCTGTTATTAAATGGCTGTTGTACTACTGCTACAAATAACAAAAAATATTCACTGTATGTCGCTCAATCTGAGCGAAATGATTCCTTCCGTTCCCACAACTTATCAGATATTGATGAAAACGTTCAAAACGGGCGGCCGTTTCCTTTAATCAAGATCTAATTCAATATAATATGCGTTAAAAAGTTAATAAACAAGTCACTACTGAAAGTTTGTAATTGGTACAAACATTGGTGACCCCGACGTCCAACACCGACCAACTGACCCCGACGTCCGGCACCGAACAACTGACCCCGACATCCGACATCGACCGACCGACCCCAATCGACTGAAGGATCGACATCGACCGACACCGACCAACTCGACGTACACAACTGACGTACCCAAACCAACGTACACAACTCGACGTACCCAACTCGACGTACAAAACTCGACGTACCAAACCCGACGTACAAATCCCGACGTACACAACTCGACGTACCCAACTCGACGTCCACAAAACGGCGTACACAACCCGACGCGCAAACCCGCAGGTATCTGTTGCCATGCCATTCTCAAAAACTACAACAGGCAGTGCCACCTCTATTAACGAAGTTGCGATGATGCCCATCGACAATGAGAAGGGGGAATTCCCGCGGGAACGGGGGGATTCCCCCCCTTCCCGTAGAAAGCCATTCCCGTCGTTCCCGTCCCCGCCGGGGATTTTCAGTTCCCCCCCCCCCGCGGGTATTTTATTTATTTTTTAACAAAATAATTAAATATATTTGTAAAAAAATAGCTTTTTAGCACACTTTTTCGTATAAAATTTCGCGCAAGCTGCGCCTCCTTATTTGTTATTTTTATCAAAATATTTATTTTTGAAACTACTTTTTGAAATAGAATTGATTGTTTTTGGCCAATTTTGGTTATTGTTGGAACGGGTAAGTAATTTTCATTTTTATGTTTTTTATTTAGTATTCAGTTTGATTTTTCAGACGATGAACTGCGTGTAACGTCGCCAATTTGTGAACAAGTTGTTGAAACAGACGAAAGGTTGATTGTAAGTGGCACATTATTAATTATTACTATTAAAAAATTTAAAAGTTATATTGATTTTTAATAATTATCGATTGTAGGACGAAGTAAACGAGATGAAGGCAATAAAGCTAAGGAACATTATTCCTGAAGAGTTTTGGAAGGACAACAATGATTGATTCCCAATTTTGTATCAAGTGGCCAAGAGGGTGATGTGTATTCCACCATCTTCTGTTCCTTCCGAACGTTTCTTCAGTCATGCGACGATGTTATTCAACGACAAGCTGCGTAATAGGCTGACGGATGAGCGTGCGGAACAAATATTACTGTTGAGATGTGAACTCAACCGAAGGAACAAAGAATTGAATGATTCTAGTTCAGATGACGAAACTGATGGGACTTAACATTGTTTTTTATTTTGTTATATTTTGTTTTTATTAATAATAATAGTTGGAATATGTTTAAGATTTGTTTCATAATAGTTTGTACTACTATTATATTTAAAATAAACTTTATTTTATTGATATTAGCAAAAAATCAGTATACTTTTTAAAAATTCTCAAATTTCCCGTTCCCGTCCCGCACGGGGGGGAACCGAGAACACTAAAGAACGGCTACAGTTTTACTGTACACCAAACGTACAGAAAGAGCTTGGATTACCTCTCCTTGACCCAACGCAAGTTACGTACTATGGTATTAAAGGGCCTCAAACAATTTACTCTTCTCGATTCACCGACATCATGATGGATCTAAAGGACAACACAAAGATGTTAATCACTGGCCGCGTTCTCTTGGATTCCCAATTTCCTAATGTTAGAGTCGCAACAATTAAGGACACTTCTCAACCTGTAACCATGCAGAATATCAACGTACAATTTTTGGAACCTGGCATCATTCTTGGCATGGACACCTCCTTAGAAGTCCTCAGTCAATTCACTTCTACATTGGTCAACAACAATCAGCTTCGAGTAGTACAGACTCGTATTGGAACAATTGTTTGCGGACCAGGAATCATTCGACAACCCGACAACGAAGAAATCGGCGATAACAGTGACATATTGCTTGCTACTCCAGGATGCAACTCTGTCAAATGTACTCTGACCTTTCCAATCGGCAATCATCTTGCAAGCCCTGAGGGATCCTGAAGATTGAGATCAGTTCATAATTTTATTGATTTGCATGTTCAACCCACTCCGTCTACTTCGCATGTTCTTGTAATTGTGAGGGCCGGGGAAAGCAATGTTTGTACCAATTACAAACTTTCAGTAGTGACTTGTTTATTGACTTTTTAACGCGTATTATATATATTGACTTAGATCTTGATTAAAGGAAACGGCCGCCCGTTTTGGATGTTCTCACCAATATCTGATAAGTTGTGGGAACGGAAGGAATCATTTCGCTCAGATTGAGCGACACTGTAACATATTAAGATTTTTTAAATTTTTTACGAAAGGAACATAACTATAGATTAGTAACTACCTCTGTATATAGTTGGACCAAAAAATTTAGCGTTTTTTTTGACCCGGCTTTTTTCAAATATTTCTTTGGCTCGGCCTATGGGGATTTTTCTTTAATACAAAATAGCTTAACATCACATATACTTTACACTTTTTGCAAGTCAAGTTTTTATGCAAAACTTAAGCTATCAGAGCTCTGATTTAAGTTTGCGCTTTAGGTAGCACAAAAAACCCATAGTTTGGGACAAGTCTTCCTAACATAATACAGTATAAAAATTTTTTTAAAAAATAAAAAAATCAAATGTTGACCAAACCGCCAAAACTATTTTGAAATTTATTGAAATCGAGTTAAAAACGACAGAATATGTGTACAGACAGAAAGAAGGTTATCTAAGCGTGTTTTCGAAACACTTAACGGCCGGATAATCTGTATGGGGAGTTACTTTGCCACCATGGGTACTGCTTATGGTCCACTTTGTCCAACACTATCGGGCTGTTGTCAATCGAGTTGGCAAAGTCTGAGAAGGTTGGTTTAGGTAACAAACATAAGGAATATCAAAATTATGTTACAATTTTGAAATTTTTTACAGTTTACAGTTTGATTTTTTTTTAAAATTATTTATTCTTTGACATACTATGATATATTAACATTTAACATAATACTATAGCTCACCTGGCTGAATATCATCGTCCCTTCGAATTCGATTCCACACAGCTTCTTCTGGAAATGTAGGTAACACAATTTTGATTTCTGCTGGAAAGATTCCAAACTGCGGTCGTAATGGCACAGCCGAACATTGTGTAAGTAAAAGTATTAGTACTGTTAAAAGGGTGAGTAATTGAGCAATGAATTTAGGCATCTGAAAGTAATCTATATTTTTATAATATATACTAAAAAAAATTTTTTCAACAAAAAATAAATTTTAAATGACACGCATAGGAAACTATCGTTAAATATAAATAGAAAATTCCTTTTTTTCACGAACAATTTGTTATACAAAAATTCGTTATTAAAAATTTGCATTTCAACGTTGTAAAGCCTAAAATAGATTGATAACTCTATAGTAAACAAAATGGTAACACTTTAAATGAAAGATTATTCAAATCTCGAGTTGACATATTCATAAACGCTGGAAACATATACAATTTTCTATAGTACAAGTTTTAATACTAAACTACTAAACTTGATAATCCTATAGCTGATCAAATAAACCGTGAATGTAAAAGACAGCTGGAGCCCTGAAGGCATGTGCAGTCGTGTCCGAGTGGCTAAAGAGATTGACTAGAAATCAATTAGGCTCTGCCCGCACAGGTTCGAATCCTGTCGACTGCGGCATGCTATTTTGAAGTTTTTAGGTAACAAACGACAAATATTATAATTTTTTTCAAAGTTTACATGCAAAATAATAAAAAATATAATATGAGATGACCAAAAACTTGTAAAACTGTCTATTTTTGAACTCAACTGATAGTAAGATAAAAATAATTTTGAATGCAAACACATACGGTGGCATCCGGATAGCAGCTATAGTATGCCATGGTATGGATATCTCCAAAACCATAACCATGTTTTTGAAAGATGAAAGATAATTCTATCAAACCTCTGTCTATATACGGCCCAGTGCTGATAATACTATCAAAAAAACATACGTTACTTTACTGTACGTATACATGTGTAATTTTTTGCTTGTTTAAATTTTGAACTAGTAGTTTTATGTAGTACATTATATTATAATACAATTTTAAGACGTCGTAACAAAAGGTATGGTTATTAAAAGGCTTTTAACAATAGCTACATATAGTAAAAGGATTTTAACAATAGGTATATCTTGTGAAACAATGTTTAAAGTCTCAAAAATTAATCTAAACACCTCATTTCAATTATATTACCTGGCTAATAGAGTAATGTTTTTTTACATATATTCTACTTGCCATAAAACATAAAAAAGTGATGACAAAGTAAATACGGTCAACATCTTATCTATAAGAGTGTAATCATACAACTATAAGCCTAACTAGAAAGTGCAATGGTACAAACTCAATCATAACAACCACCTAACTCTACTACAATATCATCATAACAATCACCCAACTGAACTACAATATCGCAACTTCAAGGTCTTAAATAACCTCTCTACAAGTGCTTCTCATTCCCATCTACCATGACGTACAGCTAACGTACGTTAAGTAAAATACATACGTCTATTTGGATAACATGCCATTTCGTGACTTTTTTAGTGTAAACCCGTTCAACTGATTAATAAAATCGTATTTAATCGTGTTAACCAAGCCTACAAACTCTCTACTTGTTTACTAATGCAGGTCACGGTATTATGAGTCCAAGTCGTACAGTACAATATAAGATGTATATTTAGAAAACGGAGTAAAAAGTTTTTTCACTACAGTTTACATAGAATTATTGGGAAACCGCACAGTACTTTATAATAATTATGTTTTGCAAAAACAATAAAATTTTTGTTTTTCAGTTACTTTGCAGTAAATTTTTTATTTTCAGTAATAAGTACTTGCCTTGCCTTGCCTTGCCTTGCCTTGCCTTGCCTTGCCTTGCCTTGCCTTGCCTTGCCTTGCCTTGCCTTGCCTTGCCTTGCCTTGCCTTGCCTTGCCTTGCCTTGCCTTGCCTTGCCTTGCCTTGCCTTGCCTTGCCTTGCCTTGCCTTGCCTTGCCTTGCCTTGCCTTGCCTTCCCTTCCCTTGCCTTGCCTTGCCTTGCCTTGCCTTGCCTTGCCTTGCCTTGCCTTGCCTTGCCTTGCCTTGCCTTGCCTTGCCATGCCTTGCCTTGCCTTGCCTTGCCTTGCCTTGCCTTGCCTTGCCTTGCCTTGCCTTGCCTTGCCTTGCCTTGCCTTGCCTTCCCTTCCCTTGCCTTGCCTTGCCATGCCTTGCCTTGCCTTGCCTTGCCTTGCCTTGCCTTGCCTTGCCTTGCCTTGCCTTGCCTTGCCTTGCCTTGCCTTGCCTTGCCTTGCCTTGCCTTGCCTTGCCTTGCCTTGCCTTGCCTTGCCTTGCCTTGCCTTCCCTTCCCTTGCCTTGCCTTGCCTTGCCTAAATCGCTTTGACCTGTCTTTCTCTACTACATAAATTTAAAAATATCTTGATGAAGCATCGGTCTAACTCTAAAGCTAAGACAAGCTAAAAACTCTTCCAATTCAAATCACTTTGAGGCTTAGTTTAGCTCAAAGAATCAATGTTGTAATTAATGAAAACGCACGAATTTAAAATATCTAAACTTTAAAATAAAGTGCAGTAATAAAAACTCAAAATACCACAGTAAACGTAACACTTTTTAATTTTAGATGCTATTTATAGTCCAAAATTCTTATTGTAAGACATTTGAAACTATAATGTTACACTCCATTTTTAGCGCTAAATTTGAATTTTAGTACATTTTATGATGTACCGCTATTATATTAAAAATGTCATCCTACTGTTTAATTAACTTTTATATAATGTGATTGTGGTGTTTCTATGATAATGTTATATATAATGTATGTAATGATAGCTATTATTAGTTAAAACAACTATAATATTGTATGATGTTTTTTAGTATGAGGAAGAAAACAGCATAAACATGTAATTTTGAATGACTTCCGTTATACGAAGCCACAAAAGCACAGTGAATATTAGCACATATACAAAATTTTTTTTAAATTTAGTTTTTAAAAATTTAAAATAAATGTTTTTTTTATATTTGTTTCAAGCCGTTTTATAACGAGATATACAAAAAAAATTGCTAAAAAATCTTAATATTTCTAACAAAAACCCACTAATAATAATTACATAGTTTTTGTGAACTCAAACGTGCTCGTATGTCATGCAAAGCAATATACAGTAAAGCATTTGTACAACAAATAGCTCGGAGGTCTAAAAGTTGTTTCTTATATTACACAAGAGTATTACTGTAACCAGGGGCGGGCGGAGACTTTTGGTCAAGAAGAGTTCAAACTTACAAAATCATAAGACAATTTGCATTTTATATATATATTGAACTTTTTAAAAATACATTACACATATATTAAATTTAGAAATTCAATTAATACTAACTGTTTTTTCTAAATTTAATTACAAATTCAGACCTACGACCACCCATCTAACATATTAGATTATACTGTAATACGTAGTAGGTTACACAAAGTTCAATGACAATTTTAAAAAATATTGTTTATGTAAAGAAATTACTCGGGAAAAAATACTTTTTTTCTTATGTGTTAGACAATAAAAATAAGGTTACTGAGTAATTTAACTTACTTAAAAAAAGTAAGTCAATTGTTAAATAGACAATACGTTGTCGAATAATGTAACCCCATTGGTTCCACCTACAATTTATATCAAAAACACAACTAATTGTAATTTTGAACATGCTATAAACATACCATACACCTTACTTTCTTATAAAAAATTATTAAGCTTACTGTAGTAATTTAATAAACATATCCTTTCACTGTATACAAACCATGTTAAACATGCCGTACTGAAAAACATGCTATAATACTGTGCTTTAAAAACTATGTTTAGCACGTATGAGTTCAACTTAGCCTACAGTGAACACCTCCAAACTCTGCTAAATATACACCGTTTTATGCGAACCGTAAACTCACGACGTTAAAAGTTTTTGCATTTTTAAAAACTGTTCAAAATTGTCTATTTTATAAAATATTTTTTTTAAAGTTTAGTTTTTAGTATGAAAAACGTATTAGGCGGGGGCGTCGCTACGGATTTTTTTCTGGGGGGGGAGGTGGATCCACATACTTGAGAAGTTGAATTTAACTAAAACAATGTATTTTAAGATATACAGTTTATTTGGTTAAGTAGATCACTAAATATGATAAGCCTACAGATAATTATGCAAAATATAGGTATACAAAAACCTTAAACCCTGAGGGCATGTGCAGTCGTGTCCGAGTGGTTAAAGAGATTGACTAGAAATCAATTGGGCTCTGTCCGCACAGGTTCGAATCCTGTCGACTGCAGCTCAAATTTTACTAAAAATTTTCAAAACGCTTTGCTATCAAAACAATAACGCTAGAAAAGGTAATTTGTTAAAGGAGTACGAAGGAATTCTAATACACCCTTCCCCCTCCCTGTTCTAAAAAAGTTGATAAAACTTTAACATGTCTTCTTCACGCCCTATGCTAATTTTCTATTAAATAATAGTTTCTAACCCCGCCTCCAGCTCGGGGTCAACTGTCCAGCACCATATGATACCAAAAAAAATCTTTTTCCACCCTTTTTTTACTTATTTTTACCTCCACCCCCGTTCCTGCATACTTCGCTATTATCTATCTAACCAATTAAAAAAACTATCCGTTTACCATTGTATAACACATGTTGCCAAACCCAGTTGGTACTGTTTCAGTAACAAAAAACAATATTAAATCAATGAAAAGATTAGCAAGAAAAAATTGAAAGCAACATAATTTTAATCATTACTGTTTGCGTATGCCCAGATAGATAACAAGATTAGGAACACTGTTTTTTACTTGATTATCTTTTACTTGAAACTTTTTTTAGAGAAAACTAATGTTTTCTGAAGTGTTTTTGAAAAGTAAAAGTACAAAAACTCTTCAACATGACACTCAATATATTGAACTAAACTTGTTATTGGCGCTAGGACAAATGCGGTTTTTGGACATTTGCATATTTTTTAAAGGGTTTTTTTAATTTTTGGTCAATTTAGTTATAGTATGGTACTAAATAGTACTAAAGTTTAAATTGGTACTGTTCGGTTATTTTTTGGTGCTAAATAGTACCAAATTTTAAGTTGGTACTGTTTTTATATTTTTTGTTACTAATAGTACTAACAGCCCAAAATGGTACTGTTATGTTAAAACCGAACCAATTTAAGCTTTAGCACCATTTAGTAGCATACTACAACTAAATTAACTAAAGAATAAAAGAAAGACCCTTTAAAAAATCCGCAAGTTTCTAAAAACCGCATTTGTCCTAGCGTCCTTGTTATTACACCTTTATAAGTAAAGAAGGTTCCGTACTATCAAAGTCCTTGTAAAGGTACTCAACAATACTACAACTAAAACTAGTAAATCAAGATACTAAGCATCCAAACCCATTCACAAACACTATAAACCAATAGCCAATTATCAACAAACTCAATTTGACACGTTTTTGCAGCGAAAGGTGTAGCTAAACAAGTGTGGAATCCGTTAAACCAACTCAAATTTAAAATGTCAATTTGTTGGAGTGGGCCGGGTCCCCTAAGACCAACAAAGTTAAATTAATATGCGGAATTACTAATGGACACGACATTACTTTACAGTGTGGTACTTGACTTGTTTTTGAGTTAATTTGGATATACGGTAGATAAGAGTTTCAAAATGGCACAGAAGATCAAGGATTAATTAGTCTTAAAATGTCATATATTTGGGTGTTAAGAGATGTCAAAAGAATGTCTTATAAAGAATGTCAAATAATGATAGTGGGAGTCTGAAGAGTATGGACTTAAGGGCTTACAAGTACGTACCTTCACATAGTACATAAAAAACAAAAATTTTCTTTCCAATACAAAAAATGGCGAGAACTTTCTTTCCAAAAGAGAAAATGGCAAAAACTTTCTTTACAAAACAAAAAATGGCAAGAACTTTCTTTACAAACGAATTGAAAACCAACGCCTTCAAAGTTAAATCCCAAGTACAATATCTAAAAGGCCAAAATCAAATGGGATCCCACAAAAGATGACAGTCGAAGTGATGTGGAGCTCAATCCTCCATGTTTGTTATACGCTTTTGGTGTCTTTTACGACGGTTTTATCACTTTTTATCTCCCGTGTCTAGGTGTTCTGCTTTTGTCTACGACAGGTATTAAAATGAGAACACACAATGTCATCATACCAAAATATAATGCAAATAATCAAAGTGTTCAGTTTTTTACACGTAAATTGTTTATACTTTATAAAATTTAACTTCTCCGGCTCCAGCGTCTGCGCCTTTTTTAATTTTAGCCCCGGTTCCAGCTCCCGCACTGCCGTTTTATATTATAGATTCCCGCTCGAGCTGTAGAGCCGGATCTGACTACAAAGCCCTTTCTGTTTGGAAATAACTAGCATAATTTTAAAAGGTAGAACTATCGAAAATTGTAAGAAAAATTGTAAAAAAAACGTTCTTTCTCTGTTTCTCGGGAATAGCATCCTACCAAAGCATAACAGAGTCGGTCGCACTGGATTGGTTATGAAAAACAAATTGAAACGAGACTGGCATAAAACATAAGGCAAAATTTTTAATTTTTATCTAATTTTCAAAAAAAAGTTTTAGGAAAAACACTCATTTTACTTCGCGAAAATTTGCATAAAAATCACTGTTTAAAAAACAAAATTAAAAAAATTTAATAATTCTTTCTTATATATTTCAAAAATATTTAAATTTTTAACCATTATTATAATTTTTTGCATATAACGCAATATTTTTGCTACAATAACTCAAAAAAAATTTAATAAAAAGAAAGAAATTAAACTTCTTCAAATAGCCCTTCGATAAGTTTATTCATAAATGTCCTTAGCCAAATTGGTAGTAAAAACCCCGATTTCCGAGGTTGTCGGTCACTTTTGTACCATACAACCGTGGAGTCTGGTTGTCAGTGATGAGGAACTGCTGTTTCGTATTGGGCGTAGCTCTTGTAGCATGTTATTCTGTCCAAGGGTAAGTTGCCTTTTCTTGGTTATATTTTGTTAGTTCAGTATAATCATTAGATCTTTTAAGCACAGGGTGTGGTAATTTGTTTTTATTTCGCTGAAACGAAATGTCAAACTCTAGAACAAAGTGTCAAAACTAAAAAAACACTTTTGGCTGCGAATTTAGACGCGAGAAACGGGCCGGACCGGCTTGGGCAATATCTTTGATCTTTTCGAGCCATCGCGCCAGGTTTTTAAGCTCCGGATTGACCCTTTCTTGGATCAAGCTTGGTTTGATCCATTTCTCAAGTCTAGCAGCATTTCGTATATGGTTGTGAGGTTTTTTGTTAGCTTTTAGGTAATAAAATGGATTAAATGAGTTTTTTCAATATATTGAGGATGGCGTTTGATCCTAAATTTGGATCAAACGCCTTTGCTGAGTTTTAGCTAATTTGCTTCTTTTTCAAACGGAGTTTTTAAATGTTTTTGAGCAGCGTTACTCATCCCAATATGAGGGTGGATCTTTTCAGCAAAATATATTTTCTGGGTTGTATACTAGCTAAATAGTATTATATATAAATTAAGCTTTAACTATTATTTTTGCACAAAGAAGCCGCGATTGATAAATAAAGTTTCTGACTGCTTTTAATTAACAATAGTTTAGGTATTGTCTATGGTAATTATTGTTTTAGATTATCTTCCGGAAATGGCGGTATAAATGGTTCTTCTGAAACGAAAAGTTACGAGGCTCTCGCAGGACTTAACGGATCGGCTCTTATCCAGAGAATCGCTCGGAAACCCATCAACTTCCAAGAACACAACGATCACTTCTGTTTTGATCCACTTGGCCGGAGGGTAAGTTTTTATGCTTAAAATTACTCTTTTTGGTGCTACTGTAAAATTTTTAGAAAATTGAAGTTTTGTTTTTAGTATTATGCACCGGACTGCGTTGTAGTGTACCAGTACTGTCAAAAGAACTGGAGACGATCGTACAGGTTGAACGAGTCGATTGAAGAGTACGAGAAGTCTGTAGGTTGGTGTCACGAGGAATACAAGACGGCTTATGATGAGTTCAACCAAGCCAACTATACTGAACTATGTAATGTAAGTTTTACAAAGTATTTTAGAAGGACATGTTAGGGATATTTACTTGATATTAAGGATGAAGTTATTAATTTTAAAGCTCGGCTGATCTATTATGAAGGATAATATTCTTCATAGAACGTTTGGAGAGAGTGTGGCTTCATATTTCTATTCCAGGGTGCCTCGTTTGTGTGCAACATCACGGTAACGAACGTCTTTAACCTTGATGAGACAAAACGTGCAGACCTTTTGTATCTCTGTCGTACTTGTGGTTTTAATTCGCCGTTCACATCGTATGCCAGCGACTATTTTGGATTGATTTGTGTGAATGCCAGTGTTTCATATCCAGTTGTGTTAGATAAAACTTCAAAGTCTGAGTTTCTCACAAACAACACCTTTACCTTTACATATGCTGGAAATGGCACTTTTGAGAATGAATTTGTGGTGGGTTACAGGGGGTTTATGGGTTATTTGGCTAGTAATAATTAATATATTTACCTATATGAACCTATATTTATTTAGTTTTACTTTGGTTACTTATCAAGGCCACATTCTTTCTTACTTTAAGCTTTTGTGTCGTAACTTGCATTGTTTTAGTACTGCAAAGTCAGCTTTAAAATCAAGTACGATATGGATGAATCAAAGGACATAAAATGGCACTTTGAATACAAGTCTTCAACTAAACTTGTGGCTCAAGAATGTCAAGGAGATGATTGCCAAGAAGAAAAGTATTCGAGTTATGCCAAGGGTTTTAAAGTTTACACGGTATGTTTTAACAGTTGTTATTATATAGAAGAGCTGGCGTTTTATTTTTAATTGCGGATTACTGAAAATGTATTTTAAGTCTAATATCTCACAAAGGATCATATTAGGATATGCAGTCAAATATATACTAGTTTTTCGGTATTGTGTACTAGTGTCAAATATGGACCAGTAAAAACCACTTTTGTAGTTATACACCACAAGGTCAAGCAGGCACGTTCAGTCGATGCGAGAACCCATTCTTCCCTTCTTTTACTTCATCATCCAGAAGGTGAACATACCGGTCAATATAACAGAGAAAGGCAACGGTGATAAGTCAGACATTGAATTGAATCCGTTTTATTATGATGCGTTTTACCATTGCAAGACATTACCAACTACAACCTTAGTTTTCAACGCTCATTCGACTTACTTGACTCCGACTGGTAGTAAGCAAATTCAGGATTTTGAATTGTGTACACAAACCTACGACTTGGAGACTTTGAAAGTCAGAGAAATTGGTGGGTTATTTGCTTTTGGGCATGGAAAAAGCTACATTCTCTAGTGCCGATCTCTAACATAATATCTTATTTTAGCGCCAGCAATACCTGTCTTATTGAGTGAACAACCATCTGCAAAATATGCAGATTTCGCAGCTGGTCGGTACGAGTTGAACAAAGGAATAGAGAGTGTGATATTTTGTCAAGGTGAACATTGTGGTGATGTTTCGAAGTTTGATGATGTACGTTTAGTCTTGTTTATTTTTACATTTTCTACTATAGTTTATTGGGGTTGCAAGTTTACGGATATGACAAAGGTTCTCGGTTACAGACGGAGGAGATGTCATGATTTGGAGCGGTTTTAAGTCGCTGATTGACACTTAATTTCAATTTTTAAAAAATTTAAATTTATACACACACTTTTACTGCAGTTGTACCCATGTGACAGTTCAGTCGATGGCAAAATCGTATATAGCAGAACGGCGTACTGCGCAGCTTTGGTAATTCCATCGTCTCGGAACATGACCGATTTGGATAGTGCATTTATAATGACAGGCTCGATTGAGACCTTCCTCAAGAACGACGATGCCCGCTTCTGTACAGAATCTATAACTGGCAGCTACTGCAAGCGAAGCGCCGACGAAGCGTATGTTCTTTGATGACAAAACGGGTCTTATTTGTTGTTGGAGTTTTATTTTGTTTAGTGTAGGCAATTAGGCTTTTTTTACTTTATCTATAGCTTATTTACTTTGTTTTAGTGGCACTTTATCGTGCAAGTGTTGTTGTGACGCAACGGCTTCAGAAAAAGGGGTAGCATGCAACGATTACAAGAAGGACGAGGCAACTAGGTCACTCATGGAGCAGTGTTTGAAGACTTTGCCTGACGCAGATGTTGCTGATACGATGCTTGGGCTAGAAGTAAGTAGCTAAGCACTTGTGGTATGATATACTTTTAATAATGTATTTTACGTGCTATTAAGTACTGAACAGTGCTAATCGTGTACTATGGAGCAACGATTGAATTTCAGTTTGTCCGACCTGGTCTTCGGCCGTTCGCTCGAAGGATGTCCATACCCGAGGAACAAGTGTACGGACTGTACGAGTCGTTCCAGCCCATTTACGAGTATGCCTTTGTAAACGCAACTTCTGGAGTCTTGAAAGACGCGGGCTTGGTATTCTACCAACCGGGTGTGATTTACGATGCGGGCAGCTACAAGGCCGTACTCACTTGTACCAAGTTTTGGCTCGCTGACACTTCTAGATACTGTAGATGCGTTAATTACCACGTGAGCGGCGAAGGCGACTTCAACGCGGGAGAGTTTGCGTGTTGTTGTGGGTATAGTAAGTTTATCTTTTGGATTTTTAAAAAATTTAAAGGAAAATTTAATATTAAAAAGTTAAAAAAATAAGATTTTGAAATGACAGACTTTTTATTCTTGACCTTTTTAATTTAATTTTTTTCATTTTATTAAATTTTAATTTTTTGAATTCCAGATGGCTCGGAATCAATTATCAACCTGATCGGAGTAGCCAAATCTAGCAGTCGATACCGCCCCAATTACCTTGACTCGGTTGATAAATACGAATTTGTCCTGAAATACCGTGAAGGCTACGACTACTTCAGCAAGGTCAACAGTTCAAATATAAATCCATTTAGGGAACAAAACAGTGCCAAGGTCAGACTACGCTTACTCGGTTGATGACATTTTCTGAATGAAGTTAGGCAAACATTTGTTTTGGATGTTTCACTTATCTCACTTGGATATGTTCTGAACTGACACTGCTTGCTATTTTCTTTCCTTTGTCCTCGATGTTCTTAATCAAAACCTCACTTTCTGCCAATCCCTACAATAATATATAAAAGTTTATTATATTATTATACTTTGAACAATATGCCATTTTCTATGCCACGGTCGAGATGATTTGCGAAGTTCGCCCGATCTTGGAGTCTCTTAACAATTTGGAATGTTTCCCACAAACCATTGATATCAACGCGTTCTTGTACATGGGCACGTTGATAATGACGGCCAGAGGGTTGAGGACGGGTATCAGATTCATCATACAAACCCCAACTAATCCGAACTGACTAGATTCACCCGGCTTCGAGATCAACGGGTAAACAGCGATCATACCGGTCGGAATGACCAGCGCGATGAGTGGGTATGTCGCCTGCATTATCATGATCATAGTGATGTAGCGTTGAGCATTGGCAGCTTCTTTGTTGAGGTTGCCAATGGTTTTGTTCAGCTTCTTCCAAATCGCCACACCAAATGAGATGGTGAAGGCGTAGGATATAAGAATCATTAAGTCGCAGTTGAAAAAGTGGAGAGCCATGGTTATTTTTGTCTAAAAAGGGGTTTATATTATGATGTCTACTACAATATTTTTAAATTTATGTTATAACCAGAGCTAGTCAAAAGATCTTTTCTGGAGTAGACGAAAGTACCTACCGCATCCCCAGCAATATAGCTCCCGGGCGTATGTGTCCTATATATCTCATTTTCAGCCAGAATCTGGTCGTATTTGGGTGATCGTTTGTCGAAAGTGAATGGAAATATAAAACAATGTATAGCAAGATATACACAACCCATAGCATAAGCGGCGACTATTTGGTAGGGTTTGAAGGGTTGATCTCGACATACCAAACCATATCGGTACATGAACTGCAAAGGTATCACAATAATCGTCAAGTAGAGGTTGAATATCCAGAAAGCGGCCGTCGCTACAGCTAGGTTCGGATCTTTGGGGTAGTTTGGGTTGTCTGATATTAGGTACAGGACGGCGCCGTGGAGGTCTACTACCTGAAATGTTGGTTTTACAGTTTCATATACAGAATTTACCATTAAGTAGTCTTCAAACTTAAAATTTTAAAATTTTTACGTGTTTAAAATTTAAAATGATTATTTATGTCTCATTTACAGCCTTAAGCCTAGAAGCATGATATTTTAACTCTTATCCTACAACAATAATATTGTCGTATCCTTACCTCCATAGTAACCAAATCTGTAACCGAGAACATTATATCAATGATACTGTTAAAAGCTATCATTCGAGCGTATCCTTTGAAGTGAGGGGGTGTCTTCATCATTACCATGTACAATACTGTACTGTTCAGAGCCAGAGATGACCCGAATAGACAAACTTCGTAGTAAAAGTGGAATATCCGTACTGGATGCCATGGTTCTGCTTCCATTTGTTTGGGTTTTAATTCTGAAAGTAAAGTTTAGATTATTAAATTTTTTATTTAATAAAATCAAATCTACATACTGAGTAATATTAAAGTTAGAAAATGTAAAAATGAACGTGGCAAGGAGCGTTACTAATATTATAAACAAAAATATACCTAAAAATCTGAGATTGTTCTGATTTATAATAATAATTCCAAATTAGTCTTGAAAAGACCTTGGGATGCGGGACCTAACTAGAGGGAAAGGGTGGATCCACTCTCTTAAAGCCAATAATATAAAATTGTAGCGACGGCTTTGCTTCAGATGTCAGGAGCTGCCTTCCTTCCAAAACTTTTTTTAGTTGAACGATCTAACACAAAATCAGTGATAAAAAACATTTTTACCACTCCCATCTTTCTGAATAAAGCTACCCGGCGCACAACTTATATACAGTAAAACCTCTGTTCTACATAAAGAATACCAAGGAAGCGAAAAAAAATATTTGTTATACGGGTCCTTAAACAGTGGCCTTCAAGTATAACAAATTGCTCGGGGACTTGAAATTTGTTCGTTATAAAGGAGTTTCGTTATACAGGAGTTTCACTGTATGTACGTGAAAATTTAAAAAAAAGTCTACTTGTAGGCCAAAAATTTTTTTTTCGTTTTTCCACTCTCCCCTTCCCCCCCCCCTATCTCGACTAGCAGAAAACTGTAGCATCGTCCCTGGTTATAGGGCAGGTTTTTATATAAAATTCTCACTTATAACCCCACAAATTGCAACATTTAAAACTCGAATTGAAACTTTTGAGCCATTGAAAGCGTTCGAAACGCAAATTCTTGCTCAAAAGTCTAAAAATAAGGCCAAACGCGGTTGCAAACAGCCGGATTAAACATTACACCTAACACGCTCGCATAGCTACAAGTTACAGTAATACATAAAAGCAACATTCGACTCGAATAGTTATTGATTTCATTGCCTACACCCATCTCCGTTCTGACATACGTTTTTGAAGAGAAAATTGAAACATTCGAATAGGTAATAACCCCTTCGAATTACTACCTAATTTTGTCAAAAAATGAAAAAAAGTCAAAAGATTACTGACACATACGCTTAGAAGTGGCAGTACGTATATGTAATTTGATGATTAAATTCTTATTCAGCTTTTACATAATGGTAAGTGTATATTCAGGGTTTTTACATAATCGTAACGCTACATATGCCTTTTTATGGTATATTCAAATCATATAATGGCAACGTGTTTTACCTTTATATAATGGCTGTTTTACGATACTAAGACTCTTTGACCACGGTAAACAACGTGATATCCGCCAATTACCACGGTATATGAATGTAACGTAGGCAAACTTGTTTCTAATGAACACTTGTTTACATTAAGTACATTTGTTTAGATTGTGGTAATACTATGTGAGTATTATAAATCAACATGTATTCAAATGTGTCATAGAACAAATTGTAAACAAAATCTATGTGTCATTACAGTAATTTTTAAATTTATAATGTATTACATGTTTATTATAATATATATTATTGTAAATAAGTAGCTCAAGAAACAAAACTTCACCATCTACTGCCTACATATACAAAAAGCCATGTTAAAGTAGAAAAAATAAGTTGCAGGTTCCATCTATCAATTAAAGTTTTTTTTGGTTTTATTTCAAAATACTTGTACGCTTCGCCCTAGTGAATTAGAAATTTTAAATTTGTACGTTTAAAATTAGAAATTTTAAATTTGTACGTTTAAAATATATATTATACACGCTATAAAAGTCATGTAAACTTTTATTTACTTTGGAAGACAAAAAATGACCATAAATGAGTTATTCTAAATTCTAAATTAGTAAACTCGTTGTATCTTTAATAAGATAAACGTTTTTACGTACAAAAAACAATAACTTATTTTGCTTTGTAATTTAGAAGTAGAACTAACAAGAAAAATTCTCGACCTGCCAGTTCTGATTGTCTTTTTACATTTTATATATTACTTTAATTCGTCCACCAAAATTGGCCATTCTTTTTAGAACAACCTAACAGAATGTTTATAAAAATATAACTCCTTTAGAAAAGTACCAAATCGCGTTTTCCAATCAATCAAGAGAACATTGAGATTAAAAAAATTTCGTTTTGATTTTTTTGCTTAATTGGCATAGTGTTCCAAGCCCATAACTTTGTCATAATTTGACTGTCAATCAATTTCTTAGATATACTGATAGTAAACCTTTAAATGAATCTACGTTTTTAAATTTGTAAACTTACATTGCCCGGAATATCAAAAAAAAGGCTTGCAAAACTATGCCAAACTTGCCAAATTGGCGCAAAATTCAATTTTTTTAAAGTAAAAATTTATTAAAGGTACTATTCATGGCGCAAAAAAATAATGTAAAGATTTTTAGTTTTATTTTTAAACTGTTATTTACCGCTACAGTAAATATGATATTACTTTCAAAGTTATTTTACTGAGTCAAATTCCTTTTTGTTAATGTTGCGTTAAGAACATAAAAATAATCAAAAGAGTCATTAAAAGACTTCGAAAATTTTTTATAATATAAAAAATGTTGCGGCCTCAAAATGTTTAGAAAGTTTTATAAAAAATTTGTATATTCATAGATAATGCAAAAAAGTGTGGCTTCAAGTTTCAAAAGAACCAATATGTCTTTGATAAGTTAAACATAAGCACGTGTACGTTCTGTCACAAGAAATGTTACAAACTACTTTGTTACAAAACTGTAAAAACTTCACATTAAAGGGCAGAAGGAGCAAGGCAGGGCAAGGCAGAGCAAAGCGTCTTGCTTAGGCTTAAAAAAGATGCTTATTATGTACTTCTAAAAGTAACTGATGTTATTTACAAAACCCATAAGATAAGAAATAGTAAGTGTCAACTTAAATCTCCTACGGTATAAATCTTTACAAACGTGCAACAAAGTACCAAGAGAAAGAACAGGTTACTTAGACCTTAAGACCTAACACTGTAACCACGTTTTGCCCAACTAAATTACTATCCAATCCTATACAATACTAAAAACTATTGTATAATGTAATTACCTTAACTTTTACCTCAACATATGAAAAATCCCGCCTACTTATACCCATTTATATTTCGTACAAAGATCTCGAATCTTTAAACTTTAACATTCTACCTATCCTATTATAAACTAACTATCGTAGGTTAGCCTACAAACCCCTACTTTTGTAAGTGACGTCTCAGAAGACAGCCAATTCTCAGTCATTAACTTTTAGCCAACATCCGTAATTATAAGCAAGGTTAAGACAAAATTAAGATTGTATTTATATCTTTTAATTGCTATCTGGCAACATATAATCTCTTTCGTGAAACATAGTTCAATGTGTTTACTACAAAACGAAAAAGTGTGACAAAGTGCAATATACTGTGAAAGGCAATTCTGAGTAAAAAGATGTTAAGTTTGTAGCAATATTAATATGAAAAAAAGAAAATTGAGCACAGTACGTACAATTATGTTTCGAGCTTGTTTATGTTAAGTTAAGGCAGGGTTAAATAAAAAACTTTTTGTTGAGAAAAGATACCTTTCATCTGCCCTGCCTTGCCCCGCCCTGCCCGACTCGTTTTTCACTCCTATATACCACATACCGCAAAGCAATGAAAAAAACTACGTGAATATACATACTTAACTATATAACATATAACCACGTATTTTTTATCTACTTTAACATATAAATCTTAATGTTCTTTAACTTAAACATTTTTTCGTACTTAAAAATGCACTAATCCTATGTTTATTTTGAGTTAATGCACTTTAGCAACCATTACCAGTTATGTTAAAAACACTATAAATTTTAATAGACAATTAAAAAAGTTAAATTGACATCCCTAGAAAAGAAAGTTTAAAGCTTATTTAAATGTTGCGTAAGCCAAAAATCTTTTTTATATTGCTCTTTGTAAGTATCAAAAATCGAGGTATTTGACTTGTTCTATGTGTGTGCATGTATTCTTGTACTTGGCGGCTAATCCGGTATTATTCTACTTGACTCATAAAAGTATTTTCCGGAACTGAGTTCACATAGCACGAAATATATACGTTTCTTACAAATCACATAGTATAAAAGTATAAATGTTACATTAAGTTACATATATTTATATTTTTGATGTCATAATTTAAAAAACGCGATAAACAGTACTTACAAAGAAAAGAGAAGTAACAAGACTTTTATAGACGACAGCGATGAGAAGCTTTAACCATAAGTCCTTTCATAATATCTCCTACCTTGTAAAATAGCAAGAAGGTACACCTATTCTTCTATGTGACAAATTTCCGAACCGCCTTTGGTCCTACAAGATGTTAAGAGTTTAAAACAGCAAATTATTAACACAGCGTAAGCTTAGACAGTTTAGGTATGCTAAACAATTTTATGTTCAACATAACCAACACATCCAAATTTGCAAGCCTCGATTAGACCACCACTACCCAGTTCCGGTAGAACGATCATCGTATTACCTCAGTATAATCCTTTGAACGACATACAAAAAATTTAAATTTGAACCACTACTTTATTGAATAAACAATGAGCCTGTGACATATTTAAAAATTTTGCAATTTTATACCGTTTGAATTATTATATCTCAAATGCCATAATGAAGTTTCCGGACGATGCGCGGTTTCTATTTTTTAGTTTTTTTCATGAGTACTGTGTATATAGAGCTTATCATGATAAATTAATGAATCGTCATACAAGTCCTAAAACGTAACTGACGAATGATAGAGACCAATGACAAATTTTCTACTTGTCCATGTCAGTGTTTAAAAATAAGAAAGTCAATATTATTCGCTTCCCTGCCGTACGCCAACAAAATTTTTTAAAAAGTAACTTATTTTTAGTCATTTTTAATCTTCAAGACATTGTTAAACAAAAAATCAATCAAAATTATTATAGTATCTCAACGAGTTCATAAATCAATCTTGAATATAAAAATTCTCTTCATTACAAGTTTACAAGACTAATAAAATTTCAATGATAAGTTATAATTGTCATGTACTATAAGTAATGTGTTAACTGCCAAAGATAAACGAATCTTCTGTGTGGTCCGCCTTTTATGCCATAATTTTATCAACCGGTAATTTGGTTACTAAAACGTCTGAAAAAGGCTTTATATTCTTGTGTCTACAGTAATCATGTGCTAAAAGTGTAAAAGTTTACAAAAACAACAAAGTCCATCTAATTGACATCAATGTCTTACTGTGGTTACTTTGAGTTACATAATATAATATACCCGACCTGAGTCTATAAAAACCCGCACAAAAATCACTCTAAAAAATATAACGACTTCTGTTAAAAATATGTGCCGACCACAGATACTATAAAAGGCCCTGTGCTTCTCCTTCCTTTCATTCCATCACACAACTGATCAAACCCTTGCGCCTCGGCTATCTACTCAGCTCATCGACCAAACAGCACTAAATTTGAGTTAGCCCACTGCTCTTACAACACTATCTTCTGTCATTGAACTTCCAACACCATCTTCCGGCCCACAATCTGTTTTGGCCACTTCTTCAGCTGATAAGCCTAATATATTTTAGTATATCTTTGATAGATATACTGATTAATTAGTAAACTTGTAAAGTTACCAAAGTAAGTTTTCTATTTAAGAATACAATAAACAAGAATCTATATTATAGTAAATAAATATATCAAAACAATAATTATCATATAATACGAATATAACTATCATATAGCATATACACGTATATATACTATTATCCCAAATATATAACCTATAACAATATTCCCGTGTTAATCACCCCTTTTCAGTTTAAAAATGAGCGATCTCGAAGCCCTCCATCAAGAATTAGAAGACGCTATGCTGGCGTACTTTGAGAAGTACCCAGAACCACCAGCTTCCAAGTGGCAACATGGCCGACTTCAAGCCGCGTTGGCCAACAACAATATTAATAAAGAGAAACCGTCCAAAAAACCAAAATTTGGTTACAGTAACTCGAAAGTTACTATCCAGAAGTAACCAGTAGATAATGACTTGTGATACATATTATACGTTCTTTTCTTGAAATAATAAACATGTACCATCGTATATAAATAAGACGTACTTTATTTCATTCACAGTGAAGGATGTACTCATATACTGTAAAGTTATAATAAAATTATCGCATTTGTTGACCCGTTAGCTAGTCTAATAAGTAAACAAAATTTGTTTGTGGTCTGCAAGTACAACTGCCAATTAATCCGTGGTTAGTTGTATTTTTGATTAGTGTTTTTGTCATTCCTTTGTCGCCGTCGAACCTTTTTTAACAAAATGTTCCTAGAAGAATTAAAATTAATCTCGGAACTATAGTATGGCTACAGGAAGCGGGCTTGTTTTTCAACTTACTAGGGGTCGGCACATAATGGAAATCGAGTTATGACTAGTGGTATATATGTATATAAATAGTTGAAAAAGTTTTTCGAGCGTTTAAAACCGGTGGTTGCCTTACAATTGTTAGAAGCTTTACGTATGGTTATTTTGAAAAAAGTACGTCCCTAGGTAAAAACACGTTTCTGTTGTCTTAGTTTGTTCAAATAATTCTGTGCCTTTAACCCCAAAAATTTGCATTGAGAGGTGGCACAGAACTATTTGAAAAACCTTGTACTTTTGAAAAATATTAGGTGCCGACATAAAGAACCCCCCATTTTTTACAGGAAATTAGAGAAAAAGTATGGCGGGTTCTTTATGTCGGCACCTAATCCGTCATAATGACGGATGTACCAGAACAAACTTTGCCACACCTTATCACACCCAATTGTTGCTTAAAAACGTAAAAAGTGGCATATTACTGTTTTTTGACGTGCCTATCATTTTTTTGTGCATCAAATTAATAGTAGTAATTCACCATAAACAGGCTGCATGCTTGCACTTAAAGTACAGCCTTTTGCGGGAAAAATGCATTATTGTAATGAAATTTGTAATAATTTAAAGATTTGTGTTAAAAACGCCAAAATAAATAGTACCATACTTGGAGTAAAGTAAAAAATCAAGTAAACTAAACAGCTATTATTAATGTCGCAAGGCAAGGCAGGGGATAACATGCAATTTGTTGCATTTTTAAGCGCCAACTGATTGTGATATGGCTTGCTGTAAAACCATTTTTTTGAAAATCTGTCATCATGACGTATTTTTGAAAAGTGCTTTAGAAAAGTGTTTTTGAACTTGACTTTTGTCTCATTAGTAAATCTTCTATTATGAACAAGCAATTTTTGTTTATTGTGACATTATTTTCGAGACCGCTATCTTGAATAAATTACCGTGGATGATGATGCATTACACGCCAAAAAATATTTTTATTTAACTGCCATTTTTAACGATGCAATTTTATTTTTGTTATCTATTTACTATGCTGTGGAGAAGCTTAAAATAGCTTCTGTTAGCTAGCCAATTTTTGTTTACTTGAGAAAGATTACCCTCTTATTATTGTGATTATTGTGGCCCCCCCACTGTACTTTACCGCCGCTACGCTAACTTTCTAGCTTTGACCACAACTTTTTTCCAAAACTTATATTGTATCATACCGTGAATATAGGTTTTTCAAATAATTCTGTGCCCCATAACCCTAGAAATTTGCTTTGAGAAAGGGCACAAAATTATTTGAACAACCGCATAATTCAAAATTCTTAGTTGATTCAATAAGTTCCGTGCTCTTTTCCATGTCTGGTAATAAGTAATATCCTCGTGACTTATGTACAGAATACATAACAGCATCACCCACTTCAGTGTCAAAAAACTGCCTCTATCCACGTCGTTACCGACTCTGTTGATGGACATTCACACTGGCTACAGACTGCTATGTTATACAGTATATTCCGTATCTTTTGTTATGTGTATGCTTATCATAATCTTGTCACAGCAAGTCGCTTCGAGTACCCCGAAGTACCATCAGCAATATGCTTTTATTGTCATTTTCAATACGACTATAGACCTAATTGTCTCTAGTATTACGGTTTTTATTGTACCGGTAAGTTTGTTACCTAAAAAATAGTTTTGAAAAAAATGAAAAAATGTGAAATTTTGAAACGAAAAATATTAAATTGTTCAAATAATCATGTGTCCTCTAATCACGCAAACTTGCTTTAAGAGGGGGTACAGAACTATATGAACAACATAATAGCATAAAATGTCATAAACTGTGACCTAAACCTATAATTATGTTGTCTTCAGGTAGTCGTGGTAACAGAAAACACCCTATTTGTAGCTACAGAAAACGTATATTTACAAAAACTACAGTATCGAGAAGCCAACGCCCTCTTGGTAACAGACGGTGCTTTAATAGTAGAGTAAAGGGACCGCCCACTTGGGTGGATCCTAAAGACCCGATCTGAATCGGAGAGAAGAACGTGTGAACGTCTGGGACGCGGTCACGTCCCTTTTGTACCTTTATATTTGTAAGTCTGATGTTTCCCTACCTTGGGATGTACACTTTAGGTGTAATTAGTAATCAATAAACTTGATAATATAAAAGATCTGGGCCATCTTTTAACTGTAGCAATGACTCAATTGATCCACTTTTGGTACCGATACAACATAATCTGCAAAAGTAATTCGTGGAGTAGAAAGAAATACGTAGCCATGCACTTATGTGTATCTTGTGTAGTATTCGCAGATTACGTGTTTTCGGTTATTGTAAGGGAAGATGTCACATCGTATGTTAAGATTATGGCCAAATTGAAGTTGTTTCATAAAGATAATCAGGCTTTTGTTATGTTTGGGGTAGGTTTTTGATCATTTTTATTATAGATGACTAAAAATTTTGGATTAACTGTTTTTGATTGAGTACTAAACTGTACAATTAAAAATATGAAAAATAGTACTACTCAGTACGAATAATACCACAATAACTTAGTAAAACTCTTTTTTATATATTAATTTTTAGCTGACACCAATATCAGTCGCCAAACTGTTAATATATCAAGTGATCATATCAGCTTTTTACGGGTTTACAATTTATTTTGGTTATCAATGTCGTATCACTATCAATTCACAGAATCGAACCTTATCTTTACGTACAATCAAAGCTCAGAAAACAATTTTAAGGATAATGACACTACAGGTAAAGTCATTTTTAAAAAATCTTAATTTAAAAAAATTTTAATTTTTAAATTTTTGAAATTTTACGTTTTCTCAAAACTAAAAATGCCTTCATATCATAATACAGTAATTTCAGGCCCTATACCCAATATTCTTGTTCTTCCTACCAATCTCAGTCGTATGCAACTTTACATTTTTTCGAGTTCAATTAATTTACAGTGGTTAATTCCTAACATCTATGATAATATTCTTGCCATTACTCAACGCAGTATCAGTTATCACTTTGATACCTTCATATCGACGAGCTTTACAGCGTAAAATTGTTCAAAAGTTGGAGGTTTCAACTTCTGATGTCTCAAGACATTCACATAAACAGATATAAATTATACCTTTTATTGCAAAAGTACCTACATTACTGTTGTATACCTCATGATATGGTAGTAATTCATAAACCATTAATTAGTAATATTACGTGTAACTACGTAAAACGACAAAAACAGAATTTTCAATACCATACCCACTGTTATTGTGATTATAAACTGTTAATGTAAATATTTTTTGATAAAAAATAAAAAGCTGTTATCAATACGTTAATTTACTCCAAAAAGGTAGTTATAGTCGACAAGATTCGAACCTTTGCGGGAAGAGAAAAAATGTTAAAAGCTATCTTCCGCTCCATTTGTTACCTAAAAACCTCAAAAAAGCATGCCGCAGTCGACAGGATTCGAACCTGTGCGGGCAGAGCCCAATTGATTTCTAGTCAATCTCCTTAACCACTCGGACACGACTGCACAGCTCTTCCAGCTTTTAAAAAGCGCTTCATTTTCAATTCGTTTTCAAAGCTATGACACCACAAATAAAAAAGATATATATAACCAAAAAAAAAGTTTTAAAAATTCAAAAAATATGTTTAACAATAAAGTAGTTTACTCTCATTGTCGTCAACAAACTTTAAGTTTAGAAAGTTCAATCCTACAAAAGAAAAAACTCAGTGAAACAAAGTCAAAACGTAGGTCTTTGCTTGTTAAAAATAATAAGAAAAATTCGTATATCAAACGATTATGTAACCAAATCCACAAAATAAAAGAAAATTCAGTTTATTACAATTAAGAAATATAAGAAATTAGAGATTAGACCAAGCAATTATGACTAGAACCAACATACCAATTAAAACATTAAAAGCACATCTAAACACAAACCTAGAGCACAATTACTTGCCAACAACCATACTGGTCATCATCATCTACTAAAGTGCAATATTTGAGCCCAAAGATGGTAAAAACGATCTTCTTCATCAAAAACTGTCCTCCACAAATATTCCGACGCAAACTTCTTAACCGGCCCTTTTGCTTTGAACTCAGATGGTACTTTCAAATGCCATTGTGTGCAAATCGCTGTGAATCGATGAAGCCACAATTTTACATGATCAACATCAATGATATCGCCACAAGGCCCGTGAACTGGCAGTAACTTATCCAGCGGCTTCGTGTGATGCTTTTCAAGGGTCCAGAGATACGATAAAAGAAATATCTACAATAAAAAACTTAATTAAGCTTTCAAACTTGCACAATTTTATTTAAATTTACGTTATCCATCAAAGAAGTCAATTATCAGGCAAAATGACAGGGTATTACAAAAATGAAACTTGACAAACCCTAATTTAATTTGCAACATAAAGCAAACCCCTTACCTGCTTTGGTTTCATGATAGGATCCCGTTCTATCCAGTACAAGATGTCTGTGCTGGGATTCCGATGATGCAGCCTTCGTTCGTCAAGTGCAATACCCAAACTCCTCAAGAAATCAACGAACTCGCTGTCATTCATCAAAACACACTTCCTCATCCGATCGACGTCCATGTTCCTCAGGTTTTCCAAGCCACTTCGAGAAAATATTGCGCATTCCGATGTTGAACTTGATTCGGATGTAGTTTTAGACATTATTCAGCTCACGAAAGCAACAGTTCGGTCGATAAAGCTTGGTAAAAGTCGATCCAACTGATTTGGCCGTCCGCAAAAACTTGAGGACGTCAATTGACTCATTTTGCGGTCGAATTCGTCCACGTACTCAAAAATTTGCATGAAAAACGAAAAAATTGCGAAATTTAAAAAAGACACGTTATACGCTGAAACCTGTCCGATACAATATTTGTCTTCAAAATCAATAAAATAATGATGCTTTACTTATCAAAACTATGTTATCTTTAAGTTTACTGTTTAATTTCCCGGTTTTACATTGTATATTAGTTTATTGTGACCTTTAAGTATTAGTATTCCAATTATAATATTGTAAGTTTGTACAGTTATTAAAAGCGGACTCAAGATTTGTTTTTTGTGATCCTGAGAGCAGTCGATGGTTTTTTGAAAAAGTTTGCAGGCAATGGTGGAGCGTCAGGAATTCTGGAGCGAGACTTAACATCGTCGTCGTCGTAGTCGGGTTCCGGTTCTGGGTATTCTGGTTCTTCTGGGATTGAGTCGGTCGAGCTGTGGTTTAGCTAAAAAATTTTTAGGTAACAAAAAGCACAGGAATTTATATTTTTTACAAATTGATTATGAAAAAGTTCGTTTTGCTTTAAAAACATAACAAACAAGCTTGCTGAAAGCTTGTTAAACAAGAAAAACTTACAGAAAACCTTCTGGAATAGACATCGTTATAGTTTTGGTCAAGTTTGTAGCCAGTGTAATGCATTTCAGTTGGGGATGGTGTTGAGGCAGTGCTGCTATCACTTTGATTTCCAGACATTTGCCAGAAATCAGGCAAAGTTGGACGTTTTGGTCCTTTTTCCTTGATTGTTATACCATATTTGTGGGCTTCGTTGCGGACTGACTTAAAGGTGAAGTTTAGAACAGTATTTTTTGTTTAATTTATTCCATATATAGTTTATGTAAATATATTGAACTAGGCCATCCAAATTTAAAACCGAAAATCGTTTTTTAGGTTTAAAAACCAGAATAATTTCAAAAATTTTCAATTTTTTAAATTTTAAAATCCAAAAAACTAATTTTTTCAATTTAAAAATTCGAAAAATTTTAATTCCTCGTACGGGGCTCGAACCCGTGACCTTGGCATCGCTCAGTGTTTATAAGTACCACGCGCTAACCAACTGCGCCAACGAGGAACGCGTTTTTAACAACGAAATGAGACATCACATGCATCCAAGGGAAAAGGAGAGGGAAAGGGAGGAAAAAGGTCAGACGCGCTTCGTATTTTAATTCCAGCCATCAAAATATTAATTTAAACTTTTAATGGTTTCAAAAAGTAGGGTGAAAGGGGTTTGAAATTACCAAAATGAATATCTGCTTATATTGTGAATGATGAAATTGAGAGTAATTAAGAAAATGGCCGAATATTTAGAGACATTTTAGAAAGTCAGACTAAAAAAGGAAATTTTTGTTGTACTACAGTAAATCCTACATGATAGTAAAGTACCCGGGACTTGAAAATGACTAATATTTATCATCACCTTACCTTATAGAAGCCTTGACGTCCAATGGTGGGTACAAATTCCATTCCAGCACACTTTGGCCGCGGGATTTCCATTGGCCGAAGCTCGAACTTGAGCAAGTTCTCTCGGATTGTCGCAGCCATCACCACGACTGTTAAGAAAAGCCGTCGTTCTGTAACCGGTTCGACTGAAAGAATCCTAACATAATAAAAGTTACCGAAGAAGCAATATAAACAAGTCGCGGAATATCTTGTGGATAACAACATAGTAAATCTGAAGTAAACATTACAATGGATTTGATGCACTGTATAAAGTTTAAAATATGTGAGGTTAGGTTTTGAATAATAGTATTAATTACCATATAACTTTAAATCAAGTTTTATGCAAGGTTTGTGAGCGTAATGAGTATAATAATAAGTTCACCCTATCAAGGGCCTTACAACAGGAATTTCACTGCAGTAAAAGGCAGTCTGCTAACAATGTAATGAAGTTGAGGTGACTGTCAGTCCGGGCCGGTAAAATTTTTTTTTAATTTTAAAGCAGTAGGTTCAGCCTTAACATTTAAGGACCAAACCGATAGTCAGGGCTATAAAAACAATGATTTAAGTCCGGTAAAAATATTATCATAAATTATTTTTAAATTATAAATTGTGTTTCAACACGGATGTTAACTGTTAGCAATGATACATGCAACAAAATGATACGTTATCACAAAAATTCATTTGAAAAAGTACACCTTGTTTCTAAAAATATTTAAAACAAAGCGCGTTTCTTAAAAATGTTTTATTATGTAGATAATATTTTTGAAAATCAAAATACAGTAAAACCTTTTTAGTATCACTCTCAATAGTATGACATCGTTTTTACAATGACAGCTTTCTGTCCGCGCTTTTTAATGGAACTCGTATCTAAAATTGCTTAGATAATGCAACATTCTGGTAGTAAGGCCAAGTTTAGAACATTCTATTCAGTGTCATAGTAAAGAAGCTGGACTGTAATTATTGTGATATAAAAAATAAAAGCGAAGTACGATTCTGTCAATAAAAAATGTGAACTTCACATTAAAACTACGTTTTTTAACTAATAATAACTAAACTTAAAAAAAACTCTTTTTTCCCAAAACATATTTTCAACTTACCACCGCCTTAAGTTAAGTGCTACAAAAGAAACCCGAACTACCGAAGCAATATACAAATTACTCCGGCGAGGATGTTTGTTGTGTCGAAAAGCCTCCAATTTTGGATGGAAATCCTCAAAAAGCTTCTTTTCAAAACAAAAATTGGTTGGCATTGGGAGTAAAACAAAAGAAAAAAGAGAGATCGGCTAGCTACGGGGGTAATCTATAGCATTAACATAGACAGAGTAAAGTGTTAGGGTGATTAATTGAAGGCCGCTTTTTGAGGAAGGGGGGGGGCGGGTGAAAACTTTATTTACAGATATTGTCAAAGCAAAGAAATAGGTTGTTCAAATAATTGTGTGTCTTCTAATTGAAAAAAATTGCTTTGAAAGGGGGCACAGAATTATTCGACCAACTGTTATAAATAAAAATATAGATTTAAACTTTTAAAATATTACACCCATAATATACCCTCCCCCTCCCCCTTAAAATAGTGTGAAAAACATAATAATTTACAATTAATTACTGTTCGTTCCTCTTTGCAACTGATTAGAATTCTGGAAGGAAGCGATAACCAGAATCTGAATACCGGCTATAAAAGGTTTCGTTGAAAGTGAATTGTTATCATAATGAGTAAAAAATAGTTGGAACCAGGGCCGGGCGCGAGGAGGGGGGGGACGGGGGGGAGGGGGGTACCCCTCCCCCCCCCATAAAAAAAATTTTGAAAAAAAGTTGAACGTGGTCCCCCCTGTGGATTTTTTGGACCCCCCGTCCCCAGACCAAAAGTCCCCGCCCGGCCCTGGTTGGAACTCCAACTATTTTTTTGTTTATCACAAGCCTATTAAGTGGTTTATCAAACGGACTATTGTACATGGCCTTATCAGAAGCTCTTTGTGGTCATTGTGTCTAGAAAATAAATTTTTGCTGTAGTGCGTAAAATGATGTTAGATGACTTTTAAAACCTTAACTAGACTTAAATGAGGTTGTAATCTTAGTTTAAAATTTTAATTTTAAAGAATGACAAAAAATTGTGTATATAAAAAAACTTTGTCATTTTAACACCTAAATTTTTGTACTATGTAGAGCTTTACAATCTCAGTATAAAAACAAATTAATAGTGTTTTCTTATAGAATAGTATTAGACAGTTAAATGGCATAGTATAATAAAATTCCTAAACCGTTCAATATAATATGTTTGTAAACAAAGTTTTTGAACAAAAAACAAATTGCTTTTTCAAACATTCATAGTACAAAGAAGTCGTAAATTATTAACGACTAACAAATTTGCAAATAAAAACAGTTTTATCAGTAATTTAATGATGAGTATCGTACAATTTGTAGTTTTGTTTTTCAAAAACATATCTAATGGCTGTCATTAACAGAAAACTTAAAACTTTCATTTTATCCTCATGTTTTTAAATATAAATATTTGACTATAAATTTGGTAACTTTGACATTGTGTTTCAAGTCCTTTTTTGGCCTTCCAGTCAAGCTGCGATTACGAATTTAAAAATGTAAAGCTATCTAACAAAAAAATCTATACAGTTAAAAATAAAGAATTTATAAGCTTGAAACACTATGCCAATTTAGCAGAAAATTCAAAACCTAATTTTTTGATCTCGACTTTCTCGATATTATTATAGTTTTAATTGATAACCATAAATTTTTCAGAAAAAAAAACATCCCTAATAAAAAATCATGTTCCTAAAACCCATGTAGCAATAAATCAACTTCATTTTCACTAACAAATTGTGTACTTTATTTACATCCCTACCGAAAAACAAGCTTCGCGCAGGTCAATCCCCCACAACTTCCGCAAACTTTTGATTCCCCTTCTTTTTATTTTTTGTTTCACATAATTTATTTATCCACCAAACTGAAAACGTTTTTGGTTTTGGCTTTGTCATAACATGAGGTTTACCAAATTTGAAGATTTTGTAAAATACAGAGCATCTACGACTGTTATATAAAAATTCTCAAAAGTTCATAAAATGCATAAGAATTATAAAAACAGGGCCCAAAACTATATTTTTGAACAAAAAAGCATTTCAATTAATTTAAAATTCCAAAAATTGCCTCAAAACATGAACAACATAGACCTATGAAATAAACCCCCCCCCCACCTATTCAATATCTCGAGTTCCACGAACACACCAACTAAATTTTGCAATACTGAACCTGATAAAATAACAATAAACGCAGTCGCCTGAGGTTAAGATGCAAAAAATCTAATTTCATCAACGAGTTCATCGTTGAATCCACCACCGTTACAATGTCGTCGATGAAATTTATCGCTGTTGTGATAAATCGTAAGTGGATAGAAATTAGTCGATAAAAAATAGTTTTGGTGGGGTCGAAGATCATGTTACGGTATAAAAATAAAATTTTGCTTTTAGGTCTAGAAACATACCCTAAAATAAAAAAGATTTTGACTGAAACCTCTTCACTCATTTTTAAAATGTTTTATAGTTTGCTACCCTTCTTCAGACTGTAAACGTTTACCGTGCCCTATAAAATACGTTTGTTTCAATAATAAAAATAAACAAAAAAGCGACAAAGATGACATTACTTTCACTGTTCCACGTAATGCGTTTACCTAAATTAGCAGTCAAAATTAGAACAATACGTAATCCGATTTGTTCCAGTTTAAAACAAATAAAGACATGTTTAATGATTCGTGAACAAATTTATAATTTTACTTTTTAAAAATGATTTTTTATTTTTTAAATTTATGTTAATCATAGTTCTCAAAAAAAAAATCAACAACGGCGTTTTAATGACAGACAAGCAATGTCTATAGAAATAGAAGAAAGGCCTTTATATTAACATGCCTTGTATAATAACATAATTAAAAAGTAAGGTAAAGGCTTAAACATTATGCTATAAAAATAGAAATAAATCAAAACTAAAAATATTAACCAAAAAATAAAAAACAATTTTAAAAACAAAAACATCAAAAATTAAAATTCTTGGTACTATTTGGTTGTTCGGAAAGTTTGAGCCAAACAATGATTTTTAAAACATTGGTCGTTATAGCAAAATTACAGAAATACTCCTCTCAGAACGTTATAGACAAAAATCAAACAAATGTGAAGATCTTCGCCCAAATTAAAAAGCTTTTGACACATTCAAGTTGACAAACTTGCTTAAACACGGTCACCCACTTGAGATTTCAATTAATTTAAAATCGTTTTTTGATTGCAACTTGTAAATAAAACAAAGACAAGTTCAACTACTGTACAAATTTTTTAAATTTCGAAATTTAGGTTTGTATAGTAATAAGTAAAAAGCTTCAAATTTCAAAAAATTTTAAATTTTTAAAATACCTAAATTCTCCATAAGCTTAGTCACCATTTTTTTCATAAATCGACCAATAAATTGCCTTTTGCCAACAACACTGACATCAATCTATGAGAATATCTCCCTCAACACCTCTTTTCATCTTCTGTTTTCTATAAGCGTGTAATTGAAACAACGGCAGCGAAACTTGACGGATTACTCGAAAAACCACTTAAGGATGTTTAATATGAGAAGAGATGATGAATCAGCGAGGAAGATTATAATTACATTGCGCCGCATTGTTTATCAAAGTAAAAAAATGCTGCTTAAGCACTAAGGAAAAGTACTGTAACATTCAGAAAATACTGTAATTTCTAGTTTTTTTAAATAAGGATTTAAGCGTTTTGTCATCATCAGAGCTAGACGTAGGTAAGTACATAGAAAACTTGAAGTTTCTTAATCTTTGAAATACACCTTAATGTTATAAACGGCTTATACTCTACTCAAAACTACAAGCAAAGAACCCTGCAGATAACAAAACGATCCTAGGCAGATTACTATTTAAAATCATCCTGAGTCATTGAACAAACAAAAAATACTCAAATTTTAACAAAATAACGTGTCACCTTAAGCCTAAGAGTATGATCCTCCCAAGAAGTATACTTCCCCAACCCGACTATTTTTTCTCCCCAATCAATTGGCTAATCCTCCTATTTGTAGTCTAACTAAGATCTGGCCGCAAAAGCAAGACGGTCGTATAAGCAAGAGATTTGAGGTCAGGTAGAACTCGAAAAGCGAGTGAGTATACTTTACTCTATTGTTTGCGCGTCTTCTGATGAGGAAAAGGAAAAAGCTGGATTTCTCCACAGGTCAAGGTGTGCACACATCCACAGGTTCAGCATACGGGCCTGGAGGGGGATATGTTTTGTATTAGCCATAAAAAATTTGGCTGAAATTAGACATACAAAGGGCTGTTAAATTTTAAGAACATAAAATTGAATTTTTAAAAATTTAGGTCTAAAATTGTGCAAAAAGTCATACTTAACTGTATATAATGCTTTACTCTGTTTAAAACAACAACAGCGATAAACCTAAACCTACCTTAAAATCAAAGTCTACTACACCGTAACCTTACCCTTTACTAATTAATGTTCCAATAAACAGTAACTATCTTCCTCTTCTTCATCATTGTCAAGTCACTCTTTTACTGCCCTATTACTCATGTAATACCTCATAAACCAAATTGTTGGCGCGAGGAGTGGTCATCCCTCCACCCCACACAACGACTTTCAATTTCAATCGGTCATTGTAACAAGATTCTTTTGATCGATGACGATATTAATCCGTTCGATAAATCCAATTATTTTTTGTAAACCACTTATATCGTCGTATGCTGAATACGATGGTATTAAATTTAATTGGTTTCTTCAAAAAATTGGAGCTTGAATTTGAATAAACGTTTATGAGTCAGAAGTTCTTTTTTTAGATCTATAGCGTAAAGTTTTTTTGAATTTTCGGTGTACCATCAGTACCAAACATAAAAAATAGACAAAAAGGTTTTATAGACCACAAACGTTAATACACAAAATTTTTAAAGATCTGTAGTTCTCAAAAAGCACAATATTCATCTTGAGCACACCAAAATCTGACAAGAAATGTAAAAAACATTACTTTAACAATAACTTGTATATAAGAAACCTTGAATCCGAGTAAAAAACGCAAAAATACTCAAGGTTTGAGTATTATTCGAGATGACACTTGAAACGATACTTTTTCTCTTTTCGAGTAACCTATTGTATGTGGATTTCGATAAAAAAAAGGTTTTCGTTTAGCTTCGGCTCACAGTCAGTAAACGTAGTTAATCTTTTGGGTATACAGGTGTACACAACATATAAAGTAATGATGTAGATTGTACCAAACAAATGTAATGATATGGAAAGTTTTGAGCAAAAAATGAGTATAAAAATCATAAAATTAACTTTTATAAACGTAAGTATGAATTATAAAACCCAAGTGAAAAAATGTAAAAAGCAAAGGTGACAAAAAATTTGAAAAGCAGTTTTTGAAAAATATTTTTTTTAAATCAAGACTACATATGTCCGACTGACAAGATGCACCGGTTTGTGACAGTACTTATACATCAATGTTGTTTGGCTAGCCATTAAGTAAATAAACAAGCCTGTTAGTAGTTAAATTGTTTGTTGATAACCATTTACTTTATCAGTTAATATAATCAATTTTAAAAACAGCTTTTGTCTCTTACACTTAATTTTTGTTAACTATGATTTATAATTTTTTTTGGCTTTAACTCAACGAAAATTTTAAAATAAAGTGGTTAAACAAATTTTTAAAACAAGTTTTCTCAATAAAATTAGTCAAAGTCGTATGTACGATCAGTTCCAGAGTTTTATTGTTTTTTCACTCAACGGTTTGCCACTTTGTTCAGAAGGTAATTTACTCCTTCTATTCAAATCAAACTCTACTGAGACTAATTAAAAGCCGATGGTCGTTAAAAGAGACTGTGTAAAACTGGATCAAGGAGTAGGTTTGGGGTGGATTTGAGTAGAACGTAAAAACTATTATACAGTGTAGCTTATGCATAACAAACTCTTCTATAACGAAACTCCCGTATAACGAACAACTTACTGAAACTAAGACTACAAAAAAATATGTCAGCAAGGTATTTGGCTGTCACTTTGTTTTTCCTCATCATCATAAAAACAAGAAGAATCATGTGAAAAAAACGGCAACATGACCTTCTGGACGCATTAAAAACACGTAAAAACAGTCTCAAAGGCCTGCATAGATTGAAAACAAGATAATTTTGACAATTTTAAATTTCAAAAAAATTGAAGCTTATTGTTAGACTTTTAATGTTGCTATACATCAGAAAATTCATCTTCTCTTCTTTAAAAACAGAAAAAAAATTATCTCGTTTAAAATTTTTTAACCTCCATTGTCTCGAAATATAAAATTCACCCACCCTGAGCTGGTGATACGTACACATAGCTGAGCATAAGCACTAAGTTTCTTTAAATCATAATAGCTTTAAAAATAAAAGTAGAATCCAAAAATATCCAGAAAGCTTAAAAGTCCATTCAAATTTCCTGAGAACTCACTCCAAATAAGAGTGAAATGAAAATAAACAAAACTCCTCTGCCCGTGCCCGAAGGTCGTTTGGATGTGCGAATTTCGAGGTTAACGCAGGTGACGAGCCGCGAACACCCTCCATCTCCTTAGACGGTAATTTGTAACACGAGATAAATTACAACTCAATGTCGTTCTGTTTTTTATGAGATTTTCTGAAAGGATTGTAACAATGCTTACTATTAGGCTATTTAAAATTCATTTTTGGATAAAATAGAAAACGCCGTTTTACACTTTACTTATAACAAAAAAAATAGTATAGTAAAATACGTCCAAAACGTTTTTTATTTAACAGCAGAAACTGTAAAGTAATCTGTAAATATTGTGTTGTTTTAGCTGTGCAATCAAATAAGTTTTTGCACTTTACTGTACAAAATGAGCTCACCAATGTTGTGAATGAAGAGTCGTGACTAAAACGCTAATTTTCGAATATAAGTAGCATATTTTTAGTCATCAGAATTTGAAAGATCATTCAACTGACCGATGTAAGAAATTATATTTTTAATTTTGTATATTGTCAGTTTTGTAGTATTAAGGATTGAACAGTATATTCACATTAATTTTTTTTTAATTATTACGAATTTCACATTTACAAACTTGCAGTTTTGTTGTTAGGTTGTTCAAGTAATTTTGTGCCCCATTTCAAAACAAATTTTTGGTGTTAAAAGGTGCAGAATTATTTGAAAACACAATATTTATCTTTTTAACTAATTAGCCTTTTATTATTCAAATATCACATAATCTTTAATATAGAGCACATCATACAATATTAGTCTTCTAATTTGTTTTTGATAAAATATTATTAGCATTTTGTTTGTAATTTAGAACTTATGAATATAATAACAAAAACTGAACCATTTGTACTTCAAAAAGTTAACACTATTTTAAAAAAGTGTTGTTTATAAATAAAGACCTAAAATTTAGAACCAAAAGCTGTTTTTAGTGATTTATAGCAAACGAATGACCTATTGAAAAGATAAATAACAGAAATCAAAGTTTAGACAGAATGGCTAGTTGATCTTGTTATTATCTTTTGTCTTATTTATATCTCTTATCTAGAAAAACTTATTGTTATCAGAATAACATTCTTATTATCTTAGATCCTTATAACACAAATTTTAACAATAATATTTTTATAGTTGCGTGTCAAAAAGAACGGTGATTTTTTTGGCAAATCAAAGTTATTTTTATTAAAATTAATTTTAACCTAATTGATTTGATTTTTCAGTATGTGGCCCATACATATATTCTTCTTTACAACACCAATATTGCTAATATCAGCCTGGAACCCACATATTCCGCTGACCGGTCGAGTTTTACCACTCCCACGGAAAATAACTTATCAACCAGCAAATCGGACCGTTTCTCCAGGACATGTCACAATTGATTTTGGTCATCTGGCCAACAATGACATATTAAAATTTGCTAAAGAAACATACGGTATGTTTTTTGTTATATATATTTCGGATATTTACCATTATTATTCTCTACAGAGTTTTGGTATACTGTAAATTTATTTTTTCAACAGTTTTTGAATGCTGTAAATAATAAATAGCTACATTGAACGTTTAATATTTCAGAAAACTCGTGGTTTTTTCCAAGAGAACATAAGCGAGTTGAACAAAAACAAAGCTCAAACGATGACTTGGTACTAAAAGTAACGGTCAAAAACGTATTACCGGATGACAAAGTTTATCCGCATGATCAGATGAACGAAAATTGTAAGTCAATAGTTGTCAGTTTTCCTGAACGCTGAGAAAAGATGCATAACATTTTTTAACCTTGAAAAAAATAGTTTTGAAATTATACTGTAATATCAGGTTGTTCAACTAATTCTGTGCCCCTAACCCCAAAAATTTTTTTAGGAAGAAGCACGGAATTATTTGAACAACCTAATACATTGTAAAAAGCTAACAACTAATTTTAGACACACTAACGGTATACGAAGACAAGCCTGCCATTTTAGAAGCCGATGAAGTTTGGGGTGCTTTGAGAGGAATTGAAACCTTCAGTCAACTTATTTTCTTTCATGAAGACCAGGTATTCATGTTTTTGAAAAGACAATAAAGTTTTGCTTAACTTTAGTTTGTTTTTGTTTTTTTATAACTTTTGTTTAATTTTAGTATTTCATCCGTACTGCCTACATCAAGGATTGGCCTGAATACGCGTATCGTGGCCTGTTGATTGACAGTGGGCGTCATTTCTTACCTAAAAATGTTATTAAACGACAAATTGTAAGTATAAACTGCACTACTTGGGCTTATATAAAGATGTCTTTTAATTCTCTACATCTACCAAAATATAATTTTTCAAGACTATGTTCCATTTAAAAATCGTACTTACTTGCAATATTATATTGTACATAGACAAGTACTAGTTGCTAAAATCTAGGATCTTTTGTCACAAAACAAGCTCAACGTTCTTCATTGGCATGTATCGGATTCTGAATCCTTCCCCTATGATTCAAAACAATTCCCAGAAATGACTAAACAAGGTGCTTATGCTCCAAAGTACGTATACTCTCCAGAAGACGTTCAAGACATTGTGGAACATGCCAGATTGAGAGGAATTCGAGTATTGGCTGAATTTGACACGCCTGGTATGTACTGTTGTTTTATAGCAAGGCGTTAGTTAGGGAGATGACAGGACGATGTGTTAGTTGGCATAAGCTCTGTACAACGAATGAAATGTGTCCAGTTAGATATTGTCATTGCTATGCTTAACTGGATCACATAGAGCCAGACAAAGACATACCAGACTAATATGTTCTACATTTTAGGCCACATGGCTTCATGGAGAGGTATTCCCGGACTGATGACAAAATGTGGCGATGCCGAACCGAATGTCCTCGATCCTTCCAAGAACTCTACTTTTGAGTTTCTGGAGAAGTTCTTCACGGAAATTCACGAAGTTTTCCCAGAAAGCTTTATCCACCTTGGTGGAGATGAAATCGGATTCTTCAGTAGCTGCTGGTAATTTTAATATTCTACTGCATACCTATATTTTATTTCTTGAAAACAGGATTTATACGTTTAATAATAGTGGGGTAGAAAGTAGTTTTCATTTTTTTGCTTAGGCAGCACAGTGAAGACGTTGTCAAGTTTATGGAAGAACAAGGATGGGGTAAAGATGTGAACAAGTTGGTCAACTACTATTTTGATAGGTAAAGTGACATATAACGGTATACTCATATATATCATAGTATTCTTAAATTAATATTTTAAAAAACGAAAACCCAGTCAATATTCTCTAAAGAAGTATCTTTCTTATATCTTCTTACCTTCAGGTTCCAAGGGATAATTGAAAACATCTACAACACCAAAGACGGTTCAAATATCATACTTTGGGAGGAAATCTTTGCAAACAACAACCCCAGACCCAATTCCATTGCTCATGTCTGGTTAAATCGCGATTTAGTCCAACAAACCACCAAGAAAGGCCACAGAACAATCGTATCCCAAGGATGGTATCTTGACCACATCAACACTGGAGAAGACTGGTCCTACATGTACTCCAATAATCCCCGATCCTTCAAAGGAACTCCAGAACAAAAAGAGCTTATTATCGGTGGAGAAGCTTGTATGTGGGGTGAATTCATCGATGCTACAAACTTGGAGTCGACTGTTTGGTATGTAGTCATTGAACCTAATTGTACTGGAAAAAGTTATAGTTTACCAGTTGAAACACTAAAATTCCTATAATAATTCCAAATTTCCGTCTTTTAACTACCAAACCAAAAAAGTTATAACAAAAAAATGCAGCTGTCAATCCTCTACAACAATATTATTTTGATAACTTCTTCAGGCCGCGTGCACAAGCTGTAGCGGAGAGATTATGGTCAAATCCCACTCGTCATGCTAGTGATGCAACGGGATCAATGTTTGAACAAGTTTGTCGTTCAGTGGGCCGCGGATATTACGTTAGACCTCCATCTGGCCCTGGTTTCTGCCCGTTTACGCTGGATTTTCCTTTTCCTGCTTAATTTTAAAAATAATATCTACATAACAACTTCTTAATTATTTAAAAAAGGATAATAAATATAAAATAATGTCTAATAAGGCATTTATTTTACGGTAATAAGGTTACTTTCTTCCACCAGTGTTTAAATTTGACCCACCACGAAAGGCAGGGAACGTTTGGCATTCCGTTTCAAAAGAATATTTTTGGACAATATTTTTTGTCAACCCTGGAAAACAAATAGCATGTGCTCATGCCAGAACGAGATGTTTTTTTCATTATATTTTTTCTGGTTATTGGATGTTATGTTTGCTTATGGTCAAAAGCCAAGCCTTTTTTGTTTTTACTCGTTTTTCGTGGGATTTTGAATGAGTTTTGGCCAGAACATCGTCTTCTTTAAAGACCTGGCATTTATGCTTGAAAGGAATATGCGGGAGATTGAAAGAGGTATGCGAGAAATATATTATTCAAGGAAATATTCAAGAAGTATTGTGACTTTTGGTAAGTTTTTTCTTTTCTTTTGATGTTTTAGATTGGCTATCATAGCAAAAGAAGGAAAAAGCGTTCGGCGCCAAGTTCTGAAGGTCAGATAAGGTTGAATAAGTTAAAAGAGACTTGACTTTATTTGAATAAGTTTTTAGAGTCAAAAGAGTCTTGTTTTGCTTAAAACAAGGTTGGGTTTGAGAATCTGTTGCTTCTTCGTGCGAACGAATGTGTGTTGTTGAATCTCATGTTTTTTTTCTTGTGACTCAGAATTTTTTATGACTGTTGTGTTTCATTAGTGTTTGCTTTACAATCTACTATGAGTGTGAGATTGTGGAGTTCAAAATTGATGGTTAAGATTATTTTTTTCACAATTTTATTTTCTTCATCGTTTCAGAAAGTTTTCTAATGTATTTTTATTGTAAGTGGTATTTGTTCTGAAAATTGTACTTCATGTTAAGAAGTATAACTTCAATTGATATGCTTAATTTTTCAAATTTTTTGTATTTTTGTTGCTTATAAGAAAACCTTTGGCATTCATCATTTTCTATATTGATGGTTTCGCTTTTAGCTTACTAAGGGCGAGAAAGAAACCAATAAATTTAATTTTTGTCCGAAAAGGGTTCCCTAATGTGTGGGCTTTTCAAGAATTCGATTGTTACTGGACAGTTATTGGGTAGCTTTGCTCTTTTTTATTTTTAATCTGAACAAATTGGTGTTACAAATGTTGTTGCAGGATGTATCATTTTATAACTTTATATTGGTACTTTAATATTATTTTATACTTTTATGTAAATAGATTGGCACTTTATAAGGTCCTTTTCTTGCTAATTGTTATTATCACATCAAAAATCATTTTTAGGTAACAAAAATGAAGTAATTTCAGAAATGACTTGTGACCTAATTCTCTTTCGATCAAATACTAGAATTTTAATGTTTTTGGAATAACCCAAATATGTTTTGGCCTAGATTCTCTAGGCTTTTGAAATTGACAAACAATCAGATAACTTGTCTAGCATTGTTATGGAATGACACAGCAGTTTTTATGCTTTTTTGGGAATGAATTAGTTGGGATTTAAGCGTTTCTGGATAAATTGAAACGGTGTTTCAAACGGATTAATGTGCAATTTGGTTGTTCTTAAATTTGAAGACATTGTTTGAAGATTTCTATATTTATATTTCAAGTTTTCATTTGATTTTTACGAAATTATTGAAAATCTGACGAGTTTTTCGAAAACAATAAGTTTATTTTGTTGGGAAATTACAAATTGTTGCAGGTTAAACAACTTGTTATAATACTATAGTTATGACCGAGCCAAACGACCTTCAACAAGTATGTTATAGTTGGTATTGCTTTGCTTTTTGTAGTAGATATAGCTTTGCTTGTTATAGTAGATATTGTTTTGCTTGTTACAGTGGATCGTGCTTTGTTACTTTCAACTTCTATATTATTTTTATTTAAAACTATTTTTAAATATAAACATTTTATAAACACTTGACTAGCTTTTTATAACATTTTTTGTTCATTTAAATGGTTGATAACAGCTTTTACGTTTTGCTTTCGTGTATTTTGTCCAATCCTACTAATCGGTTTACTAATATTGATACTTGTGTTAGCCAGCGATGGGCGATTCTATGCCAACGGAACTCAAGGAAATAAAGCCCAACGAAGGTGAGCAACCAGTAAAGCAAGCTGAAGTTGAGAAGGAGCAATTGTTGGACAAAAGCAATGGAAATGGAGTTGTAAGCATATTTATGTCATTGTGATGAGTTTTTGTCAAAGTTCTATTTTGGTTTATGTGGAGAGATAAACGTACTGTTCTCTGTCTATAATCAACTTACGCAGCTTGTATTTCAATTTCAATATTTTTCGAAACATTTTGTAACTTTACAATACTAATGCACCTTTCTTCATACTTCATGAATAGTAATTGAAATGGTGATGGTTTTCTAAATACGTATACTGAAATAACACGTGTGTGTATAGGTCCTGTATATAGGTAATGAATGTTGGTAGAAACAATTATGTTCTGAATACAGTGTTGTTTGTATAATTAATGCATAATTTAATGGTTATTGTATTAATAAAGACCCATGTTTCTTGCAGAACGATGAGACGGAAAGAATGGTTCCGGAATCCGCGACGGCTGCCGAGCCAGAAATGGCCAGAACTTCATTGAGGTAACAATTAAAGACTTATTTTATATTTTAAAGAAGTTAAAAGGGCTTTGTGGCTGTTATTTTACACTTGAGTATGTTAATAAGATTGGCTTTGAGTATGTTTAATAGGGTTTTGGCAAATGGGGCAATCTGTTCTGAGTTTTGGCACGCTATATTATTAAATTTAGCTTGTGGACCGGGTTGAGACCTAATTTGAGCATTTCTAGAAATTTTATCAAAACTTTCTGATATTAAGCTATCAAAAACATATACTATAACTTGTCAATCAATAGCGATTGATCGAATTTTAAAAAACGTTTATCTATTGTTGATATCAGTAGTCAAAGTTTGTAATGAACGCGTTAGCAAGTCATTGATTGTCTAAAAAACGTTGTAATCACATTTTTAAGTAGCGTGAAATGATTTTATGGACACAAACATGCTTTAAAGGTGTACAAGAAAGCAGCAGATCGGAATTTAAGTTCAGTGCGAGGCTAATACTTGAAAATTTTTTAGGAAATTGGATGATTTAAGTATAAAGATGTAATCTTCTGCAACATAGAAATTTTTTAATTGTAAGACAAGTATAACATTAGGAAAACAAAACTGAAAACCATAAATTAAAGGATTTAGTTAGTATAAGCTTTTTTGACGTAAAGGGAATTAACTACCAGCTTTTGTAAACGGGAGAACACTATAAAAATAGTTCCTGACAAGCACAAAAAACCATTCAAGTTTTTGCTAATCGGAAGAGATTCCTTATCATAAACATTAATTAAACATGGTTATCAGCCTCGTTTTGTCGTGGAAACCTCAGGTACTGTCGAAAGCATAGTTGATTGTTAAAATATTTTTATTAAGCGGATTGTCCTACATTTAACGTACTATTTTGGAAAAGTTAATTTAAAGATACTTTGAAGTATAAATTCTGCTACTCTTTTTGTTACAATTATACTTAAAGGCTACTTTTACTGTTCTTCAGAACTAAATCTTTAAGCTTAAAAAGAACTTAAATTAGCTTTTTTTTATTAAAAATACGTAGCGTTTGGTAGTTCTCGAGCTATTGCATTTTAAGTAAAAACGACTACTACCTGTTACAGTGATTTTTTAACACTGGTATTTCTTGTTAACATTGGCAATACATTTTTTGCTAGGCTGTAATATTTATATTGCAGTGTGAAAAATTTGATATTTTTTATTTTGTGAAGTCGTCCTCTACGAGCTTTGTTGTGCTATAAATACATGAGAATTTCAAAAAATTTGTGTTCTAAAAGCATTTTGGATTAAATTTTTTAAAGTGTATATTTTGTCTCCAAGAGGACCCGGGTAGAAATATATTACTATATTTAATACTACTTTTGGCTTGTGACTTGTAGTGCTGGTACTAGGTTATTTAACTATTGGAAAACCTGATTTAGAACTAATTTTTAATTTATACTATTATTTTTAAACTTTGCTTAGAGAATTATCTACTATTGTTGCTTATATTTGTATTCAAAGGCTTGATGACTATATGGTTAAGATAAAATAATATCTACAAGTGAAGCTAATATTTTTGTACAAAACTGTAATATAAACTTTACTAATAGCATACTCAATGTGTAAAATAGAGCCAATAGCCCCGGAAAAGCGGGATTCATGGACAAAGCAGTCGTGTACAGAATCAACTATTTCTATTCAAATTCCTAGGGTGTACAAACAACGATGGATTGTACTGGCTGTAGTGGCACTTCTTAATTGCACCAACACTTGTGCTTGGATTGGATTTGCCAATGTTGCTAATCATGTAAACAAATTTTATGGCACTGACGTGAGTTCTTATTTTTTTACTTTTGTGTACATATTGAAGTTTAAGAGACAAAAACAGTTATTTTTTAATAGTTTTTTGTTATGTTTTTAAAAAATACTGGTTTTGATTATTTTTCAGACAGCAGCCAATTTGTTTTCTGGCATTTACATGTTGGTTACAGTTCCAGTTGGAATTGTTGCTATGTGGGCCGGCCGCTTCTTTGGCTTACGAGTTGCTATTCTAATTGCTGCGTGGTCGAATTGCATTGGAGTGCTAATTCGTTTAGGAAGGTAAGTATTTTTAGATTTTCATTTCAATTTTTAGAAAAGTTTTAAAGTTTAGAAGTATAGTGCTATGGGAGTAGACTCTAACCATTTTTTGCTATAGTATCCCGTTTCAGTTCATGGGTTGGAATGGACGCACGTTTCCCAATAGGATTGACCGGTCAAGCTATCGCTGCTGTCGCCTATCCGTTCATCATGTTCTTGCCTACAAAAGTTGCTGGAACATGGTTTGGAGCTGATCAACGTGGGCTTGCTACAACCATCGGAGTTATGTCAAACCCTCTCGGAGTGCTATTGGCTAGTCAGACATCTCCAAAGCTCGTAACAGCTCCAGAGCACGTGGTATACCTGAATGTAATCGTTGCCATCCCAGCGGTCATTGTATGTCTAATGGCTACTGTTGGAGTAAACCGCTCTGAACCCAAAACTCCACCAACTTTGTCTGCTGCTACTACACAAATGGAGTTTGTAGAAGGTCTGAAGTCGTGCTTTACTACTCCACAATACATCGTACTGTTGATTGTTATGGGCGGAGGCATTGGTATGTTCAACTGTCTTTACACAGTAATGCAACAACTCCTATGTCCATCTGGTTACGGTAACGACTTCTCTGGATGGTGTTCGTCTCTCATGATCATCGGTGGAGTTATTGGAGCTACAGCTTCTGGAATCTTCGTCGACAGAACCAAACGCTACACAGAGACTATGAAGGTATGTATGACGTTGGCTGTTGTTCTTGGCCTCACCTTTCTCCAACTGACCTTCGTGGAGAATATTGGATGGGTGATTCTGCTTTGCTGCTTCTTCTTCGGAATCCTCGGCTTGGCCATCTACCCAGTTGGCTTGGAAATGTCCGCCGAATGCACTTTCCCAGTCACAGAAACTACCTCAACCGGTCTGATCGTACTCACCGGTCAAGTGATGAGCATCATCTTTGTTGCGTTAGTGTCGACTATCAACAAACCAATTTCTGATGCCAAGAAGAAGGTTCAAGTGTGTGACTTTAAGAATCCAGAGATGGCCAAAGACGCGTGGTGGGGTCTGTTTGTGATCTCGATTATTGCCGTGTTGTTGGTGGTCATCTTGATCAGCATCTTCCGACCGGTCTACAAGAGGATGTTGGCTGAGCAAGGAAATGTGACTCATACCGAAGTGGAAACTGCAGCTGTTGCGGTCGGAAATGAAGTGCAACATGAAGTTGAAGGTAAGACTTTTGAATTCTTTGAGGGTTGTTCTTGATTTTGACTAGATTTTTCTTATTGTAACATTTTTTTGTAAATTACGGTTTTTTAAAAGCTTTAACCTTAACATTTGCATATTTTCAGTTCTCACTCATCATCATTAAACCTCAGAAAGGCACACATCGATCACCACGCAGATACATCGCTCATCGTAACAACTCCATTACTAGTTCTATAATTTCCCTAAATTATTATTACTCAGCTGTTTAGCAATTCTCATCACAATATTATCTCTGAACAAAATTCAAAACTTTGCGCATTGTTATTGTCTCATTCCTAATTTATTCTGTTATCAATGCGATCTAATAAATAATATAAATATTAAGTTTGTGGTAAATGAAGTTTTCATAAAAGGTATACAAAATAGATTTCTATGTAAATATATTTTTATTTTTATAAATAATTTTCAAAATTGACAAAAAATGAACAAAAATGACAATAAATTTTCAAAAATTCGCTTTTTTTAACTGTTTTTACTTCACCGGTCAACGACAATATTGACTACTAAAAGTATTATTATTTCTACGATACTATTAGCTGATATTTTCTTTGCTAAAAATGATTATGGGATATTCGACGGCGACGATAAGCTACATGGCAGCAATAGCCATTTTACTGTTTATTGACCTAGGAGTAACAGTTGTGTTGATTATGAAGAAAAGTATGCATTTTATTTTAAAAGTTATTTGTTTTTAGTATTTATAAATCTTTATTAACTTGTATTTCCTTTTAGAAGTTGCCGTACTAATATGGAACATACACGGATCGACGAGACGAGCAAAAGTTCAAAAGACTTCACTAAAGAATAAAAAGTGATCTAATGTAAATTATATTTTAAGTAAATAAATATATTTTTAAAAAAAGCTAATGTGCCATTTTTATAACTGTTTTTTTCATTATTCCTCTTTTACCAACTTACTTTGCATATTAGAAACACGGTCTCACAGCGAAAGCAAAAGCCGCGCAGAATAATGTTTGAAAACGAATTTTTTATTTTTTTTCGGAATTTTTCGTCGGTTTTTTACGTTTGAAAGTACTTTTTTACTTTGTTAAAATTAACAGTTTACACATAATATATATTGTTATTTAGTTTGTTTGTTGTTGTTTTAAAGATTATTTGTTATTTTAGGCGTTTAAATGGCACCACCCAAAAAGTCGCGTAAACTCAAGGAAAATAAGAATCAGGCAATTCTCGATGAAGTGAAAAAAGAGTTGGAGGAACATGTTGAAGCTTGTAAGTTGTTTTATAATGTTTTTCATTGTTTAGGTTTTCTGTTAACGAGCTTTGGCAGCAGTTTACGTTATTAGTTCAACATACAAATGATACTGTCTTTTTTTAGGGAACGAAAAGGAAAAGAAGTTGGTTGAAAGAACGAAGATGATCATATTTGAGAATATACAGGATGTCGTCAAAGTAATGTTCCAGAATAGGAACGACGGTCATCTTACAGTACAGGAATTTTTGGAAAAGGCCGAGTAAGTTTTGGAATTATTTTACAAATGTAATATGGTTTTTTATGACTTGTATTTAGTTTAAACTCTTTGAGATTAAGAATAATGGATTTTACAAGAAATTTTCATTTACCGTTCAAATTTTCACTTACAAAGCTATCATTGACATTTTACAGAAATCCCATGGAGAGAATCATGGAATTAGAGAACGACGATCCTGACCTTGACAACATAGACGTTATACCAGCATCACAAAGTGACGATGTCTCTGTTGGCGATACCACAATGATGGTTATTGAATCTTTGATGGAGAAAGCTGCTAAACGTGGACCTGGATATAACCAGAAGCTACAGAAGGTCATGGAGGAGATGCGAAACAAAAAATAACACAGTAAACTTATTTTTATAACACGTTTTAAGTAATACATTAATGTGAACTGCTTATGAATGTACATATAATGTCACTCATTTGAATATTGTTTAAATAAATCCTTTCAAAGGGTAAAGCATTGATGTTAGTTATATTTAAGGCTTTGTTGACGATTCTAATAGCATCGTTAATGCTAAAAATTACCTCTTTCGTTCAACTACTAAAGTTTTCCTTTTTGAAAACGCTAATAAATATCAATACTGTTAATTCCTCAATTTATGACTAAAAACAGAACTGAACAGTGAATCTAACTTTATTTAGGCCTTTAGAAGTTCTTGGTGAATTCGTAGCCTGGCAATTTGTCGTATCCGTAGTCCTTGTACCATTTCTTTTCCCACCAGTACTCTGGTTGAGGGATAAAGAATTCGGGCTTGTCATAGCCCAAGTCTTCTGGGGTGGAGATGCCGAGTTCCTCAAGGACGGGCTTGACCTATAAATAGATATTTATTACCATAACGAAGGATTAATATGAGGAAATCTTTTCGGATTTTAAAATATATTACAGCAGTTGTTTTGCCTGTAACTTAAAGACCTTTTTGTCTTTTGGTATCTCGGGACTTCAACAAATCTAAAACGCTAAGAAAACTGTCTAATCATAAGTTTCAACAGTACTCAAATTACCTCATTGATAACGTAAGGGTAGATCAGATCGCAGTTCTTCTTTGATCCGCACTTGATTTTGATGGATTCAAGGAATCGAACGCACAAAGCGTAGTCATTCACACGACGACAAGCACGAAGGGCAGCGGCGACAACCTTGGGGTCTGGGATCACATCGAAGTCGTGCAATTCAGTCAATCCTAAAACATTTTAGTATTTACAGAATTCAGCAATATGCCTAAGCAAATGTAAAGCGATTGTGTAGTATTCAGGCTTTGGACATAGAGCAGCTTAGTGAAAATGCTTTGGATCTACCGTGCCTAAAGTACAAAACAAGAAACCTGTCGAAGGTTCAATCCTGGGTGTATTTCTGTCAAAATTATACCTAAATTTAAAAAAATCAAGATAAAACTGCCTACCCTTTCTGACTTCCCATCCATCGATCTCGGGACGACTGAAGTAGTCAATGAAATGTTTGTCAAACTTTTCTGGACCCCATTTCTCCATGATGTCGTCTTGACCATGGAAGACCTTGGCTGAAGTGCTCAACGGCCGAGCAGCAACTGCCTTGGGGGCTTGAACCGCCAATTTGGTGATGTTACGGAGCATAGTTCAAGTCTAGCTAAAAAATAAGTTACATGAAACGTTAATGTTATAGTTTAGATTGCTAAGCTGCAATAATACAAGTTACAATATCAAATAAAAATAAACGGAAGTTACTACAGAACGGTTAATGAAAAGTAAACTACTTGAAACAATATCAAAACGCGTGATAAAAAATAAAAAAGATCCTGAAGATAACAAATAGCGTTCTGCCAAGAAGATAACCCTATTAAATTACTGAATAAACATTATTTTTACATTTACCACAACCAAAACCACAAAGACGCACGAACAATATACTTTTACACCAAAAAGTATATTTTATCAATCAAATCAAAACTCGGAAAAGTTCTTTGAAGTCCGAAAAACGAAGAAAAGAAGCTGAAAACTGGGTTTTAGGGAGGCGAAGAATCCACAAATATTATTAAAACAATACTACCCATTTGGACATTAAAACATTAGAAACGTTCAAAAAAATGAAAAATACAAGGATTTGGCCACAAGTTATGTAAAAATGAACTTGAATCCGGGGTGGAGATGGTGCGTACGTGCGAATGCTTCTTCAACCGTCCAAGGCTTGTCTTTGTATACGAAGTGTCAACAAACAAAAGTCTATGCGAGCGAAGTGTCACAAGGTTATCGAGCTTTTTCTCCAAAAGTTTCTTTCTAAAACAACGAAGTGTCAAAAAACCGATAGTAGTAAAACGAAGTGTCGCATTAATAAAATTTTTATTTTCTGCGCGAAATTGATCTAATTAGTGATACACCGTTTAATTAGTAAGGTGTGTGAGTTGTTTTGCGTTTAAATTTTACAAATAAAGTTGAATATTAAGTTTTGCTTCTTGTGGTTAACATAAAGTATGTTTTTCGATGTAAATTGGCTTGTTTTAATTGGGGAATTTGTTTGTAGAGGGAAGAAGGCATAATATATTTAAAGAAAACACTTTTTTATTGTCTATATTGTGTTTCCTTTATGTTGACGCGGATTTTCTAGATTATATTGCAGTTTCGTTTGGAATTCAAACCATTGTTATATTACTCATCAAGGATTTTTTTCAAAATTTCGCAACTCTAGTCGGGATTTGGAGAAACTGGCAGTTCGGGATAAAATTAATGTTTATACGCTATAAACAACAATAGTTATTTTATAGTTGTCGAGGGTTTAATGCGGTTTTGGGGTCGAGAAGGAGGATTATAAGGCGAGTTACTTAAAATTTTTGATAAAACATTGTTATTTCAGAACAAAATACAGTCTGTGTAGCATAGAATAGGATGAATTTTTGAGTACAGCGTACTAATAACATTTAAACAAGTATTTAATATTGAAGCTTGAGCAGATTGTAATTTCGGATCGTAGCGTTTAAGCTTTTAAAATTTACGAGTCTCGCTGTTTTCATAACGGATGAGCAGAAAGTTGAAAAAGGTCGTTTCGCAAATCCGGCGTCTGTTCTCCAATTAAAGCGAGAGTAAACTTTCTCGAATTTACATTCGCTTTATACAGTTCTGTGTTTACGCTTTGTTTCATACCCTTGTGGCCCGATTCGGAGGCGCTCGAAACCGTTTTCCTATGTTGTATTACTCCGACTCGGGTCAGGGAGATGACGTTACGTGAAGTGCTTCAAGAACTTTTTAGAGAGCTGGCTATCTTGACTTGAAGGGTTGGGGCGGGTAATTTGCATGTGGTATACGACCTTCAGGTGACGCATTTGGGGATCTCGAGTGAGTGGATGTTAAACTTTTAAAGTAAATGATCGTTTGGAGTAAAGTCTTAATGATTTTATGAAAACTTGTTTAAAGGTACTTGTTTTTACTACCATTTTGAATATATTGGGCTTATTGAAACATAAGATAGGGTTTAATATTTAGTTGTTTATTAAGTTTTCGTTGGTCTCGAATTTACTCTTCTGATGTTTGGAGACGTCCTTCGTAGTGAAATCGACTCCAAATTTTAAAAAGTACTATTTGTAGTAAAAAATGTAAAATCTAGAATTTCTTCAGACAAAAGTAGATTCTGTATATTAAAAAAATAATTTTCTCAAAGTCGTTTGTCTAATAAACCTTGTCGCGCACGATTTGATGGCCTTTTTAGTGGTTTCTAACGGGAATAACAAAATTAATTTGCCACACATATCAAAATGAACTACTTGATGTAGTTATCCTAAAAGACACTTTTTAAATTTGTTTTTTTTAATTAGAAAAACACTTCAGAAAATTTTATACTTCAATTTCAATAATTTCATGCTAAAAATATGAAACAGGCCTAATGTTTCGTGTAAATAGTAGTCGCTCGCTTCAGACACATTTTATGACTTTTTAAACACGGTTGAGGAAAGAATACTATTACAGGAATATATGAATCAGATATTCGCCTCGAGCGTTTGTTTGACAAAAGCTACATTTTTGGACTTGGATGCGAACTTTGGGGTTTTTGCGATTTTTTGGGGGGTTTATGGCCATTTTGGCTGATTTTTATCGCGTTTCGGCTACTTTTTGAGGTAGTATTGTATACTTGTTTGTTGTTATTGTAATATATTATACGACATAAGTCAAAATATGTATTTTATTTTGTCTTAAGGCTGATGTTAAGATTTATATTAAACTTGCCGAGCCAGTAAAGTACGTTTATATAAATATACTAAATCAGCCATTTAGAAAGAAGTTTTTTCTCAAAAGTAACAATCGTTCCAATTTTAACAAGATTTCTTTGATTTTTGCACTCTCACTTCGATTTATAAAATTAGTTTCGATTAATTTCTGACTCTTACACGTTTTTGAACGTTCCGGTGGCGGTTGATTGATTTAATGACCACTTAGCTATTTTTTGGCCTTATTTTTCGCTAGTTTTTTGAGGGTTCTACTAAAATACGTATAGGTGTTTTTAAAGGTTACTAAATGGGAACTAGTCTTTACGATCTTATTCTGGGGTAAGACACTCTATAAAAGAAAAATTTTATAGTCAAAACAGAACACTTGTCTTATGGTGTTGCCTATATCGGGGGTCCAATTTTTAGTCTAAAGGCTGTTGTCTGAAAAGTTCTTGCATCATTTTATAAATAGTTAAAAGGGCATGGTATAACAGCAAAAGCTAAGCTTGGACTAATGTTAGAACTAGGGTTACGAATAGGGCTACCTTACTTATAACCGAAGAGGTACTATACAGAAGAATTTATTTTAGTTTTATAAGCTTTTTTAAATTGGACAATTTGTTTTGAAAAGAAGAAATTGAAAGACAACTTTTAATCGTTTTGTACGAAAAACAATCAAATGACAAAGTTTTGATAACAAAAGCGCTTTAACTGGTACTTTTTGCTTTTTTCTTGATTTTATGTTCTGAATATAGAAAATTATGATTTTAGGTCTTAAAATTTTTATCTTAGGCTTAAGGTCTGGCTTGAGTTTGAGTTTTTAGGGTAAAAAACCTTATAGGATTGGTAGAAACTCGCCTTATAGGATTGGTAGAACTATATTATTTACAGCATTATTTCCTATAAAGTCTTTCGGGGTAATTCTGTACCATTGTGCTTCTTATTCTATTCAACTTACTACCCTATCTTAGTGTACCCTACCCTATCTTACACTTTCATTAGCCCTAATCTATTTATAATATAATATACATTAATTTGCGCATATTTTAATGACCAATTTGCTTATGTTATTATATTGTTTTAAACTTAGGATCATCTGTAATCTCCAACAGTTATCTTCGTCAATCTTTTGTTCATTCGATTGGAAATGAAGCCGAAAGTCGTTTGAAAACCCGACACATTTCTTTCTTTTGTATCTGATTTCGAAGATTAAAGAACTGGAACAAAAACGAATATTTTGGTAAGGAATTTTAAAAATGTTGAGGAGCTAGTGTAATATATCGAGTTTTATTTTATGTTTTTTGTTTTTAAAACGCGCCCCGACAATCCGGCCTATTTTAAATCCGGCCAATTGAAACCCGGCCTATTTCAATCCGGCCTATTTTAATTCCGGCCTATTAAAATGTTAATATTATTAAAAAATACTATAAATTGTTACTTTACAGTGTTTTACCATAGTAAAAAATCGTATGTTAACTTTAGTTTTACCCTACCTTACCCTTGCCAATCTTAGTCCTACCAACCCGATCCCTGACCTCTTTAGCCCTACCTGACCCTACCCCTGACCTCTTTAGCCCTACCTGACTCTATCCCCGACCATTTTTTTGAGCCTTACCCAAGTCCACCCTTAACCTTCTTAGTCCTACCCGACCATACGCATCATACCTAATATACCATACCATAACATATCCTACCATAGCATAAGGTAAGGTATGGTACAGTTTGGTATGGTATTGTAAGGTATGGTATGGTAGATAGTATAGGGTGTAATGTAGTAATTTATGGTATGGTGGGGTATTGTAGGGTTTAGTATGGTAGATAGCGTAGTTTATGGTACGGTAGGGTATGTTATGGTACAGTAGGGTATGGTATATTAGGTATGATGCGTATGGTCGGGTAGGACTAAGAAGGTTAAGGGTGGACTTGGGTAGGGCTAAAATTGTCTGGGTAAAGGTAGGGTAAAACTAAAGTTAACATACGATTTTTTACTATGGTAAAACACTGTAAAGCAACAATTTATGGTGTTTTTAATGATATTAACATTTTAATAGGCCGGAATTAAAATAGGCCGGTTTAAAATTGGCCGGGTTTCAATTGGCCGGATTTAAAATAGGCCGGATTGTCATAGCGCCTTTTAAAATATTTAAAAAAGCGAAAAATAGCAATAACTTTGTTTACAAAAACTAATTAGAAGAAACTTTCTTTACAATGTATTTTTTAGCTTATGAACATTCCAACCTGAAAGATGGAGCTGTGGCAACAGTGCGTGAAGTGGTTGCGAGCCACTGGAGTTTTGCAAGATTTTATAAAATTTGAAAAGTTGGAAGCTTTTGCTTACTTTTTAAAAGATGGCATATTATTATGTCGATTGGCTCAACGTTTGGACGAGAATTCCATCGACGAGTGCCAGATTCCAAATAATGCAACTTGTGATTCTGAGGTAAGATGAATTTGAATTTAAATTTAAACTTTTTTGTGAAGGATAAGATATTGTGTAATGGTACTGTTACTGATTGGGGTGCTAGTGAGTGAAAAGAGGAAGGTTAGACATCGTTAGGTTATGAAAATATGTAAAAATTTAAAAAGAGATTAGTTTTTAAATATTTTAAAATTTTTAAATCTAACTTTAAAAAAGGTATTACTATGACCGTAGTAAAAGAAAAGCGTAGTAAACCCTGGTCTAAAGACCCTCTTATGTCCAAACTTATTTCGAGATTGGACCGAAAATCTTGAGTGTTTTTTTTCGTATAGAATGGTCATTACGAACATTTCGTTTTCTTTGAAAAGAAATTATGGTATTAGATAACATGTTCTTTTTATAACTATCATGATTATTATTGTCGCTGCCTTGTCGTTTACATTATATTATTGTTTTGTGTATGATTGGGTAAAAGGTTTTTGTTGTTTTGCCAATATTGTGGGAATTCAATTACCTTTAAAGTGTTATTTTATGAAATTGCGGTAGTAGATAACTGTGGTTTATTGAAGTTAAAAAAGAAATTTAAAAAAATGTTATTTTCAATATTATTATAGGCTTAAAATAGAAATAAAGTTTCTAAAACAGCGATATATAGAAAAGTATAGTGAACGGAAGTAGCATGAAAGTAAAGTCTTGAATATTATGCATGCCTGGAGTACGAAACTAGAAAGTAATACTATTGTTTTTGAAGGATTACTAGGATTTAGAAGGTGTATATGGGAAGAAAATTTTGGCTAGAATAACAAAAATCTGCTCTAGAGATATTTTTTTAAGTTTTATGTTAAAGATAGCGAACATTCATATCTTTTTGTTACTAAAGGCTTGGTGTTTTTAAAAATTTTTATTTGTATTTGTAAAGCTAGTAAAATATGTTATTTTTATAAAATTTTTACAAATTTTTATTGAAATTTCTAATTGGAAACAGGTATGGAATCGTATTTTATAAAATCCGTTTATTGTTTTTATTTACCACGCCCTGAACATGTTTACTCACCGGCTTTTGTGTTATTTTTGTGACACGTAAAGAGGCTTTTACAACATTGGAACGCTCCACAAATCCACAAACGTTTTTACTGCGGTAAATCGGCTAATTTGCATGTCGTAGCACGGTTTTCAATGTAATTTGCATACCATAGCATAGTTTTTTAAAATAAGTAGTATCTAAAGGTAGTATCATCTTGTGAAAAAAATATCTTTTTTTGAACGCAAGGTATATTAATTTAGGCAACGGGGTGGATGGTGTGTGTTTGGTGAAGACCGTCAGAACAATCCATTGTAGCTGCTCCTATTTGGGCCCTACGTAGGTGATCCTGGTTCTTGAGTCACTGAGTCGTGATAAGGTGCTGCTCAAGAATTCGTAATGTTTTGTATTAGGTTAATTATAAAATGTACGGTAAAAAAAGTTTAAACTTAACTATATTTAACTCTCTATAAAATGTGTTGACCAAGACTAATGGCTACAAAATGGTGTTATAATTATAAAAGCTGGTATGGTTTTACGACTGATTAGGCGCCATAAAATTGTTGTTTGGAAAAGTGGTTTATTAGTAAAGTTTAAAGGAATTCAGATGTTTGTTTAGCTTGAAAATGGTCTCATTGTAATTTGGGGGTCAATTTATTAATTTAAATCTTGTTGATAGGATAATGTAGAATAAGATAAAAAATTTTTTTATTTTATGCAAATTTTTGTTTATCACTTTCGATGTTGTGTTTTTGGGTTGAAAAGTTCGAAATTTATCCTAAAAGTATTTGTGAACAATATTTCTGAGTTTTTGGGGCTAATATAGAATTGCTTATACAAAGATTATACAAATATTTTAAAGAAACTACTCCTATAGCTATAGTGTTTTCACTTTTTCCCACAAAAACTCCTCACTTTCCGCACAATTGACCCAAATCAGTTTTGACAGGAAAGAAACTGTATTTTGACTGTGAAACAAATCGTATATCCGTTCTATTATAATATCTCGTATTTACTCATAACAACAATAAACTGCTCTACGTAGATGTTTTGCTAAGAATATATGACTATAGTTAGGGGCTCTTGCTAGCAATGTATTACTATAGCTTGGGCTTTCGCTATCAATATATTGCTATAGGTATTTGTCTTGTTAAGAACATATTACTTTACGTAGGTGTCGAGTTAACTGGGTTATGAGTAAAGTAATGAGAACAAAGTAATAGGAAGGCTGTTAGCAATGTGTGGGGGTCATAGAGTATAATATTTATTACAAAATGTAAAGAACTGTTATACTAATCAATTTTGAGTTTATTATAACGAGTTTTTACTATAATAATCTTTCCAAATTTATACTACTGTAACTCGCACCCACCACCCAGAGGTTGCCTCTTGCAGGTGCTAATAAGCATGTTTAGCACAATATTCAGGTGTGCAAGAGTCGAAGAAGGGAAACGGTTGTTTTGGTGTGAATGAATAATCTTGGTAGTTATTATGGATATTATACAAATGACGGTGTTTTGGCGGTTGTATAAATTATTAAAAAAGGGAAAACAGCCGCACGGTTGGAGATTTTTTAATAATAAACGGATTTGTTTGGGCTTTGGGCAAACTTGTTGGCTTGGGAATTGAATATTGAGCATGCTTTCGGGGTCAATTGTTAAATATTGTCATATTTGCGGTTGGCTTTTGATAAGATTGGTATAGCTTAGCTATTATTAGTCGAAGATTTGCATTTATTGGTTTATATGGAGGAGTTAAGGGAGTAAACGATAGTTTTCACTAGACATTTGAATAATCTTTGATGAGCTTTTAGTGCTTTTTTAAATTTTTTATTAATGAAACGAAGAAAACAGTAATTTATATTGTTAAATTTAAGTATAAATTACTAAAAACTAGCCTTAAAAGTTTACAAATTAACTTTAACGGTCCTCAAACTAGCCGTAATGGTCCAAGAAATCATTATTTTTCTTATTTGTTGATGTTTCTCCTAATGTAGTTCATAATTTGTATACATTTACTTATTCATTATTCATCGGTTTGACATTTTTCGGACTTAACTTTAATATTTTACTATTTTCAGTTCATCAGCGCCTCAAATATTGCGCGATTCTTGAGGATTTGTAAGGAGAACTTCGGCCTCTCCGATGCCGAACTGTTCGACGAAGCCGATCTGTACGAGCTGGGCGACTTTCGTCGCGTCCTCCACGTCCTGTCGCTCCTTTCCTGGTCGAACAACAGCCGAGGGCTGGGGCTCACGTACGTTTATTTTGGGGTTTTGTACTTTGGGTATAAAAAATGTTTTTTTAATGGATTGAATATAAATTTAAAATTTTTTGAATTTTTTTTGGTTTTGAGTGTTTAAAGCTTAAAGAAAAATGTATTAGGTGCCTGCAAAAGTTTTAGGCCAATTTTTCTAAAATTTACCAAAAAATTCTAGACTGTTCTAGAACTTTCTGTTGTCAACCTATATAAAGAGATGTCCAAGGACTAAAAACTATTATATGTTCAAGCCTTCTGTTGTTTACGGTGGTTCAAGAAATCAAGGTAAGACGTGGTCATGTTAGGGCAATGTTGCTTCTCAAATTACGTGAGCACGGCAACGCAACAAGAGCGACGAAGGAAATATGCAGTGTTGTAGGGTCTTCAGTTGTCTTTCACGACACTACAAAAGTTTGGTTCCACAGGTTCAGAAACGGTGACTTTAACATGTCCGAAAAGTTCGATCTGGTAGACCATCAGTGTTCAAGAAGCCCTATCTTCTGAAGCTGATCGAAGAAGACCGCAGACGAACCTGTACTCAGTTGACTGTAGAGCTTCAGTGTGACCCTTCTACCATATCATTTAGACTTCACGCCCTTGGGAGATCATGGAAATATGGTCAAGAGGTTTCACATGATTTGAACAGCGACCACCTGAACGTCGAGTGGAAGTTTGCACTTGTTTGTTGATGTTCCCAAAGACCTTTGAATGGCTTGACAATTTGGTTAGTGGGGATGAGGAGTAAGTACTGTTTGTTAATCACACCAAGAAGAAACAATGGCTTGCACGTGGAGAACAAGGTACACCAACCCCAAAACCTGATCTTCACCCGCTGGATAGGATGATCAGCGTTAGCTGGAACTCAACAGGTATTGTGTACTAGGAAATGGTACCACATGGAACTACGATCCCTGTGGATGTCTACTGTAGACAAATTAAATCTGTTGCGGCGGCATTGCATGGTGAACAGAATCGAACCTTCTTCATTTATGATACTGCTCGCGCCTATGTGACAAAGTTGACCCAGCACAAGCTGAAAAGCTTCGGCTGTACTGTGATACTATATGCACTGTACTCAACTGATGTTGTGCCTACAGATTATAATATGTTCCACTCTCTTCAAAACCATCTGAACGCAACACGCTTTGACAATCGAGACTCAAGCGATGGTGGGTTAACTTTTTCAATTCTCAAACTCCAGATTTCTACAGGAGTTCAATAAAATGCTGCCGAAGGGATGGCAACAGGTCGTTGATAGTAATGGTACATATATTTGATAATTAGTAGTTGTTGTTTTTTTTAAATAATAAATTTTGTTAAAAATAAAAGTTGGCCTAAAACTTTTGCAAGCACCTAATAGTGTAACATTAAGGATACCTTTCTTTATGGAACTTTTGTTTAAATCTTTTTGAATTTACAAAAATATCATGTTAAACCTACAATAACATCATTTCAGGCCCTTCCCTCAAACGGAGCCTCCCAACCGTAACACCTTGAACCTCTCCCACGAAGAAGAAGATCTCTACACCGAACTTCGGCATCGGGCCGACCAAGTCAACGATGAAGTTCAAGCGATACGACAGAACTATCGTGCTCTCAATGGCATTAAACAACAACGGGATGAGCAACTTTACTCATCGTTTGTCGAGAAAAAACGAGCGATTTCCACCTTTAAACCAACGAATAAAAGAGAGTTTTATATGAAAGAGTTACTGGATACTGAGAACAATTACTGTGATACATTGGCCATGATTTTACATAACTACTACGAACCAATGAGCAAGTTTGTACTCGACGAAGACATGAAAAAGATATTCATCAACATGAAGGTATGCTTTTTAAGGTTTTGGGTCTTTCTTAAAAATCAAAAAATTGGATTTTAGTTTTTTTAAATACTAAAGCATCAAAAAATTAAATTACACTTCAAAAACGATGCTAAAACAACAATAACTCAACTTTTTTAGGATCTCTTACCTCTACATCAAGACTTCTTAAAGTACCTAGAGCCAGCTGTCATGCATTCCCTCAATCTCGAAGTTCCAACTTCATTCATCGATGCAAATGAAAACCGAAATATTACAGTAGGCGACGTGTTTTTGGCCTTCAAAACGAGGTTTGTCATTTACGGAGAATATTGTTCATACATGGACAGTGGAAGAGAACACATTCTGAAATTGATAAAGGAGAATCCGCAATTCAACCGGATGTTAAGTGTAGGTGTTTGCTTTGTTAAAGGTTGTTGTTGTTGGTAATTGGTAAAGGTAGGACGTATATTGCATAAAAATATTACTTGTGTGGTTTTTAAGGCCTAAAATTAACTCAAAAACTGTTTTGGGTTCAAGTTATGCTCGTTTTTAATTGTATTGACTTGAGATACCGAAAAGATAAAAGCGCAAACATCTCAAAATATTGTTTGTTTACGTCAAGGAGACCCATTTCTGGACCGATCACGATAAAAACTGCCTCAGGAGGGAAAAAAACGATTATTTTCGATAAGAAATTAAATTTTATGACGAGCATTTGACAGTTTCTCAGTTTTTTGTAAATGATTTGTGTTTTGGAATGGTAGAAATTTGAATTTTGGGCTTTTTGGGATAATATAAGGTCTTTATATTATCTACCATACAACTAAAACTCTATCTATTTGCTATATATTACTTTATATGTCATCATAACATGAGTTATAGTTAGGTTTGTTACTTTTATCCAACAATAACGTCAAAAACTTTAAAACAATACGAAAAGCAACATCTTGCAAACTTTTGCTGAATAATATAAATATTGTCCAGAAAATCCACCACACGTCATCGCTAAAGCTTTGCTCTGTACCTTATAGTTCCTTCTTGCGCCTTAAGGCTATTTACGCTTTTTATGACATTAGAAACCATTTTGTTTGCTCTACAACAACAGCAACATGCTTATGCTTGTTTTCTTATACCGGATATTATGCATAAGCTACAGGTTTCTGGGATTTATTTGGTGTTAACTATGTAACATATATTGAGTAACAGTCTTGGCTTTAATGTTGAATCTGTATGATATTAGGGTTCGCTTTTGTGGTATAGTAGGGGTAGTTTATGTTGGAAAGATATACGTTTTTGATTTTTTGTTAAACTTTTTATAATTTTAAGTATTTTTAGATAATTTGAAGTCTTTTTTGGTATTTTATAGTTTTAATTGTCTTTGAAAAGCATTTTTCCTCGGAAATGACGCAAAATTGATAATTTTTTAAATTTTTAAAACCAAGGTTTGCCTGGTTATCTAACATGGTTTAAATATTTCTAGGAAGCCGGTATAATGTTCTTCCGAGTCTTTTTCAAATTATAATGTTATTTAAAAGTAGACCTACCACCACTAATCATATTTTACTCTGTTATATCGCGATTACTATGATGCTTTCGAATTTTCTAAAATCCAAGTTAATTTTGAAGGGAAATCTTCGAAAAATGACAGATTATGAAGAAATTCCAACTGAAAACACCTTGAATAAGTTGGCCCGGTTGCTGGACGGTAAAGCGTTGGGAAAACCGATGCAATTATGGAATATATTCCTGATTTATATGAAACTTGTCCTTGCCCAAACCTATGCCAAAATCAAAAAGAAAATGGGGAATGGAGTAAATTTTGTCTTTTATATAAATAAATTTTAAAAAATATATTTAAATGAGGTAAAATACGCCTGATCTACGTAAGAATTTATATTTTAGGAATGCGACAAGAATTCGGAACAAAATCAATTCAAGTTATGGGATCTGATCTCAGTGCCAATGCAAAGAATCCTCAAGTATCATGTGGTGTTGAAGGCTATCTTCGACAGTACCGAAATCTCTCATCCAGAACATAAACCAGTCGAAGATGCGTACGAAGGGATGAAAGATGTTAGTGACTACATCAATGAAGCTAAACGCGACTTTGAGACCATGTTCTTCTTCAATGAACTTATGCAGAAGGTGGGTTTTTACGTTTCAAAAAATTTTTTAAATATATTTTTGGACGAATTAAGGCTGTAAAAACGGGCCATAGATTTAAATTTAAAATTCAGGTGCAATACGAATGTAACTACATTGCTTTTGGCCGTCCGATCCAAGACGGCCAAATCAAAGTATACGACCCAAAAGTGTCGGACAGCACAAAACAACGGCACGTTTTCCTCTTCGAACGAATGATAATGTTCTGTAAGATTGGCAAAAACGAAAAGTACGAATTCCGATCACAGTACGCACTGTCAGACCTTCAAATGGCAGACGAAGACCAGTCGAACCGAAACAGCACGTTACCCCGGAAACTGACACAAACCATTTTCGATAATCGAAATTCGTTCATGTTGGTATTCAGAAGTCAACTTCCTACTGGAACTGTGCCTGCCACTGAACCGCCTGGCTATATTCAGTTTATTTTCAAAACTGAAGCTCAACGTGATCAGTGGAAGAAGAACTTTGAGAAGGCACTGTGAGTTTGGCAGGGGTAAAAGTGAAGCGAGGTGTGGGTAAAATAAAGTATCAGATTGTTCAAATAATTCAATACCCCCTACCTAATTCAGAAGATTTGCTTTCAGAAGGGGCACAGAATTATTTGAAAAACTTGTAATGTTTAAGCCTACCAAGAAGAGTGGTTTCTGTTTGAGAATAAATTTTATTACAAAAACTCGAACAACAATATCTTAGACGTTTTTATCGCTACTTTTTCTTCAGAGACATCAGCGAACCTCGACAAGCGGTCGAAAAACAACACAAAGTCTACTACAAGACCTACAAAGAAGCTGCCACTTGTGATGCCTGTAAAAAGTTGTTGAACGGGTTGTTTCTACAAGGATATTGTTGTAAAGTTTGTAACCAAAACTTGCATTACAATTGTCTTGGTCTACAAGTCTGTGCTGGGAACAGACCGAAGCCACGGCTTCGAATGTCACACAGCAGTTTCAATGGCACTTTAAACAACAATATACCTCCGAGATGTGGGTTTTGGAAAAGTTTAGGTCTAAAAGTCTAAAATTGATTTTTACTCAAAAAAAGGTTTTTTTAATAAAAAAACAGCTTGTTGAATTTTTTAAATGTAAAATACGTCTAGTATTGCCTTTAAATTTATTTTAGATGTCGGTAGAAGCAATAAGAGCTCAAATATATTAAAATATTGTTTTAGACATGTCTGGAGAGCTAGTACAAGCAGTTCAATCAATAGCATCACCCGACAGTGCCGTTCTCAGCTTCCAAAAAGATGATATGATTGAAGTGGTACAGGAAAACTTTGATGGTACTATTACTGTAAGCTTTATCATTATTTTGACTTTTTTTTAAAGGTTTTGGTCTAGAAGGCGAGATCAAATTTGTTTTTGATTTTATTAGTCTTTTTTTTACTTTTTTAAAAATTTTTTAAACAATGAAAGTTTGCTTGGCTTAAAATTAAAATTTTGAAAAGATATTGAACTTTTACATTTAACAGAAGGCCTAAAAACCTTATTATAGACCTAAAAACGACATAGAGAGTAAAAGTCGTCATGTACGAAGTAGTTTTTACAAAAAATCAAAAATCTGAAGTTTTTAGGTAACAAATTAAAACAGATTAGGGGGACGTGTGGAAACCGAACGAATTTGTGGCGTTTTATATACTTTTTATGTGTTTCAAAGTAGGGGTTTTTGGGAAATCAGGCGTGAAACGAAGGATTTTCGATAGTTTTTCGAAATTTCAAGACGTTTTTTTAAAGTTTGGAATTGATCTTTTAAAAGTTTTGAGGATTTCGACAAGTTTTTGACGGTGCAACTCTTTGAAATATTGTTAAAAATTGTGGCAATCGATTAAAAATATCGGAAAAATGAATTTTGTACATGTTAAAATAGAAATTTTTAAAAAATTTCAAGTTTTCTGTAACTGATAGCCTACAGGTGTTTTTTTCAAGTCCGTGTAGAATGCTCTGAATAATAATGACGCATGTAAAACACCTGTCCGTAGATTGTTGAAGACCGAAATCAGATGCTTTTATTATTCATCCGAGAAGCGAAGAAAGAATAGTGACTCAGTCTGCGCGGACAATTCATTTTTCACTTACTTTAGTTTATTCTGGGCCTCAATTGGAGTAATTTTAAAGTTTTGAGCTTTAGACGGACTCATATATTAAGCTGACTTGCATATAATCTATGTCAGACGGTTATATGCCAAGAAAGTTCTAAATTAGAGGATTATATTGAGGATGGTCTTTTCTAGTCTTGACTCTGAATATTTGGTATTTTAGTGATATTGATATGAATTTTTATCAAATAGGTATGAAAAATGATATAAAGCATCTTTTCAGGGAAGATTAGTACGATCCCCTACAAAAGTTGGCGTCATACGACGAGATTCGGTGCGCCGTGTGTTGACGAATCCTGGATTCACACCAACTGGATCTCAATCGTCACTGGTCCAACGACGATCTTCATTTAATCATCTGACTCAGGTTGATAATCTGCCTGCTGGAAGGTTGCAGGTAAGACAATATTAAAAGTATTTTGTGGTTATGTATCATATTTCTACGTAGATTAACATTACACATCCATTTTTCAGCCCCGCCGCTCAACCCATGATCGAATCTCAGCCTCATCCACTTGCGAACACCTGAATATGCCTCTGATCAGTGATGGCGTATTAGAGTACCATTGTCCATCCGAGTCCGACCGACCAATCAAAGATTATCCATGGTATTTCTCCAATTTGTCACGAGATGAAGCCCAGAATTATCTGGAAAATCAACCGAACGGCACGTTTCTGGTACGTTGGAGTGAAAGTCAATTGATGTACGCTTTGAGTGTAGCATACGGTGGACAAGCGAAGCACATGAGGATCGAATACGATCAGGCGAAGTCAATGTTCTACCTTCATGACAGCATGTTCTTCCACAACGTTCCGGTGGGTTTTTGGTAAAAGAGTGTTATATTAGGTATAGTACTAAACCATAGAATCCTAAACCTTGGTTTTTAAGATTTTTTGATTTATAATTTTTTAAAAAACAGAAAATTAATGTTCTTATCAGTAGTTGAAACAAAAAGTTGATATAAAAGTATAAAATATAAAGAAACTTTAGTCCTTGATCAAGTGCTACCGTACGAAGGATCTCAGTGAAGGCTTCAAAAACATGTCGGGAACATTGACTGCAACTCCTTTACGAACTACGAGGTTTCGTGTAGTACATGCTTATCAACATGCCGCCGAGAACAATAAATACTTGTCGATGGAAGCGAACGAAGTCATCAACGTTCTCGACACTTCTGGAGAACAAAACGGATGGTGGAAGGGGAGAGCGAATCTACTGGAAGGGTAAGAGGTTTTTGATGTAAAATACGATTTATAATACTTACTATTAGCCTTGTCATAACTAAAAATATGTGTATAATACCTAGAAATACTTCTGTAGTGCTCTCATGAATGGATTTTGAACATCCAAAGTTATATAAATTGGATTTTATTAGGTTGTTCAAATAATTCTGCGCCCCCTAATCCCACATATGTGCTTTCAAAGGAGGCACAGAATTATTTTAACGACATAATATTATCTAAATCTATAATTTTTCTTTTACTTTTCATGCCTTTTCAGATAGGCTACTTCCCTTTAACGTACGTCAAGGAGATACCACCATTTAACGACGAAGAAATGACGTAATACATAAAGCCACCCACTGTGATACAAACGTATTTATCACCACTATGCAGGTCATCCTACATGATTTACTACCAACTCATCTTAAACGAGTATCCCAACCATAAACCTTTCACTCTCGTATCTTCATTACCATGACATTTATTTGTATTAGGTTGTTCAACTAAATCTGTGCCCTCTGATTTAAAAAATTGCTTTGAGTGGGGGCACAGAGTTAATTGAACAACCTAATAATAACTTTACAATGTAACTTTATTTTACGTTTGTATATCTATGTTGTACTATTAACGTTTAGAAATAGTAGTATTTGATTGCTGTAACAACAGTAATCTTCATATTACAGAGTAACTCATTTAATGTAAATATTTAGGTGTTAAGCATTGCAACAATGCATTGTACTAACTAATAATTGTTTCCTAATAATGTTGTTGTATTTATTAGGTTTTTCAAATAATTCTGTGTCCTCTGATTCCGAAAATTTGCTTTGATAGGGGCACAGAATTATTTGAACAACCAAATAAGCGTTTTGTAATTGTAAATTATTTTGTTGTACGACTAACACGATATGTTGCTGTATAAAGAAAGCATTTACATGGTGTCACGTCTTCGGGTCATTTCAATCGTCTTTATCGAACCTACTTTAATATTTTTATACTTTGCCATGATAAAAGATATAAACAATATTAATAATTTTCATTTTGTGTTTACTGATGTTTTTTATTGATTCTACAGACCTTTGTCCAATGTTTTTATAGACTTTCTAACAGGAAAACGGTTTTTTAAACTTTAAAAATTGATTTTGAAAACCATATTGCCATTAAGAAAAGATAAAAGACCTAATAAACCTCACCCCTAAACTCCTGTTCAGGAATACTACAGTACATTGCCACTGGCAGTACGATAGACAAAAATGCATATAAAAACATACAGAACCGGTCGATGGCCATAGCCATGAACCTCCAATCGGCTTGTTCAATCTCTTCTGCTTCTTCTTCTTCAGCTCTTTGCTTGGACTCAGCTAGGTAACACCGAAGCATCTTCAAGGTATCCCAAAGGAGAGTTTCTGTAGTTAAGTGGGTTTGGATGGCATCTGAAGATTCTGAAAAAGATATTGTTTCAGGTTCTGAAATTGTATTGTTTTAGGCGTTTAATTACAGTGAAACTCTTTAGTATGACTCTCGAAAGCGTGACACGTTCTTTATAATGACATATTTTTGACCGCTCTTTGTAATAGCACCCCTATCAAAAAGTAGCTGGGTAGCGTGACACCCTGATTATAATGACAAGTTTGGGCTAGTCGTTTAAGTGTCATACTAAAGAGGTTTGAGTGTAGCAGGTAGAGTGCTCGGCGGGGGGGGGAGGGATCCCCGTCCCCGCGGGGATTTTTTATATAAAAAAATTATAAATAAATTGAAATTTAATAAAAATATTTGCTTGAGTCTTGCCACGAAATTTCAATTGAGCCAAATTTTTGGCATTGTGTTTTATCCTATTTATAAACTTTAAAGATCATAGTGCGGGTACTGGAGAAGTTCAACGACCTGACGTTAACTTTTTCATCAGACAACTCAACAGCATCTGAAATATTTCCCATGCTCAACGGACTTGTGGACTACTTAATGTTAATTTACAAGAGGAAAACAGAGAAGTTTTGATGAAGAAAGCAGTCAATCATCAATGGACCTAAGTTTTTTGGACAATGAATTGAATGTGAAAGAAAACCAGAACGGAAATAATAAAGCTAACAATTTTGCTAGTGAGTTTAACTTTTGCGTATACTTTTACCTTAAACTTAATATTTGTAGGAAGAATGTAACAAGCTACGTATTGGAAACTTCAACAAAGACGTTTTCAGTTTCTGGAAGACAAGCTCAAACATTTTTCCGATTATGCACCTTATTGCAAAGACGTTATTAGGAATCCCAGCTTCATCAGTTCCAAGCGAAAGGTTCTTCTCCCAAACGACTTTATTATTTGCGGACAAGCTCAGGTCAAACTTATCAGAATCTATGGCTGAGTCGTTACTACTATTACGGTGCCAACTAATTTAGAAGAAAAAAGTTGATGATGACAACAGTGACGACTTTAATCAAGACATTGAAGAGTTTTAATCAATTTATTGTTATTCTCTGTTATTTTTAAACTTTTTTACTGTTATATTTTGAATTTATAAGGTTTATTAAATAAATTGTTTAATTGTTTTTTGTTTTTACGTTAAAATTTAAATACTTAACTTATTAAAGTCATAATTTTGCATATTAAATTTAAAATTTTGTTTATTATTTAAATCCCCGTCCCCGCGGGGATGACTTACAAAATCCCCGTCCCCGCGGGGATGACTTACAAAATCCCCGTGGGGATGAGGAGTCGCGGGGATGGGGGTCCCCCCTTCCCCCCCCCCAATTATTGATATATCATCTCCCATACCTTCATCAATGTCCTCCTTGTTTACAATGTTATCATGAAGTTGTTGTAGTTTAGGTTTTGTCATCATGCTGCCTAATATCCAAAAAAAAAAAAATAAATAGAAATATTTTTGAGTGATTCAAGAGAATTTCCTTTGACTAATCGTGCACCATCTTTTATAGGTACCATTTTGTTTTTGGCTTTGTAAGGGAATGATATTGAGGAAGAAGTACTGGACGATCTAGAGTCTGATAAACTTGAAGCTGCTGTTTTGGATTGACTTCTGAAAACATGGCTTTTAGTATTTCAGGTGCGGCTTTAATATTGTAAGTGAAATAAGTTTGTTTTACTGTACTATTTTCAAGTTTTCACCCTTTAGTCTATACAACAATATACAATAACGATAAAATTCATATTGACCTACCCAGGTCGAGTAAACTTGACGTCAGGGCGTGTCATTAGGCATAGCCATGGTACCCATTCCAGAAAGATTAATCTCAAAAATGGTGACATTTCATGAGTTTTTGGTGAACGAAATGAAATACTGATAAGTAAGATGGTAATAATGACTGATGATCCTAGTAGTACCATTTGTAAGGCAAAGAAAGCTCCAATAATGGGTACTGAAGTTGAGGTGGGCGGGGTAACTTCCGCGACCATTCCAAGAAACATTGTCACTGACAAAAGATTGTTGGTTTCTAAAAAACAATGTTATACTTGATTGTACGTAACATAATATAATTTTTATTATTTTAGGTTGTTCATATAACTATGTGCTCCCTAACCCCGCAAATTCGCTTTGAGAGGGGTCTCTGAATTGTTGAACAACCTAATAATATGCTTATAAACTTACGTAAAGTGAACTTTTCCCCGCATTCAGAAGGCAATGAGAAGCCGAGAATGTTACTGAGTAAAAACAGAATACTAGGTATAATCCAGTTGATACCATAGTAAATCGTCTTCCTTCTCAACCACATATAGAACATCAACTCAACGTATTGAGCACCTTCGTACTCAGAAGGTTTTCGGTAAGCTGGTGTTCCAACAATGTCCCACGCACCATTTGGAACATAATATTGTAGATCCATCTTATGGTTTTCAGTTAAACGAGAGTCTTCTATGAATAAATTGACCTCTCGACGAGAGTAGGTCCAGGAACCGTACTGAAATTGAGTACAGTATAACACAAGAAGATAAATTCGATTTTTAGTTACCATATATCGATTATTTGGTATCTACAAGGCCATAGCCTGTGCAGAAAAAGCTACTTACTTTTAGAAAACAAAATTGTTCGTCAAATGGGAACCTAAAACAATATAATGATAAGTTGTTACCTAAATATCAAAAGTCAATGTAAAATTAGCCGTAACACTTCCAAAACTATTGTAATACGTACCAAGTGATGTCTATAGCACAAGAACTTTTGAGAATAGCTGGAGGAGCTTGTAGCACGTTTCCAGTATGGGTAACAACATAATTCACAGCAAATCGAGCATCAAAGTTTTCATCTGCACTAAAATTCTCAAAAAGTTGGTTTTTAGGCTACAATTTTGTTACTTTATTAGGTTATTCAAAGAAAAGGATAAACTTTATCTGTTGAACAGAAAGATTAAAGATTACTGGTTATTAACTGCAATTTCTGATATCTAAAGAAGGTGATTACCTGTGGAACAAGAAGATGTCAGGTTTCCAAACAGCATCATTCGGCAGTCTGATCTCTGTGATGTTACCGTACTCTTCAGGGTCCCATTTTAGTTTATAGTCAGTCCATGTTTGTTGTAGCCAGATGACTAATGTTACCATTTGGTTCCGTTCATCCTAAATTTTAAAAACTAAAATATTATTTTTGGACCACTTGACACTCACTCTGGTTTTGTTTGTTTTGCCTGAACTGTGGCCTGTGGCCATTCAGCTTGATAAAGTGGTAGGAAAATCAAAATTTGTTTTGTTACTTACAATTTCCAGAATTTGTTGTAAAAGTATTCTAACATATACGTCAACAGCTTCGGAGTGGTTACCGACCGGGCGTTCTACAGGATCATAGTCAATTTTGAGGTCTTGAATTAGACGGTATTCGTCGTCAGAAGCCCATAAAATGTTAGTAAAGGATAGTAGAATTACAAAAACTGTTTTTATTGATAAAATTAAGTTAATTTTTTTGTATTTTACCATTTTTACTGCTGAAACATCAACATATTGTTGTAGATTTGAAAGAAGGTAAATTGTTTTTTACTTGAAAGAGATAAAGTTAGAATAATATAGACCTAAAATTAATTGAGGAAAGTTTGTTGTACCATAGATTAAGCTTGCAACTTGTTTTGTTTCCGCATTCGAAGTGTTTTAATAGTTTGTTTGATTACGACCAGATTAATAACCGAGAAAGAGGTTTGACTTCTGACGGTAATCCTCGCTTCGAGAATTCAATGTTTTATTAGAAAGTACGTTATTTTACAAGAAAATCAATAAAAACGTATCTAGATTGATTTTACTTTACTACACTTTATGCTTTTACTAGTACTTGTGTTCACGTTATAACATGGTCACGATTTAGGACATTTCATGGTTTTAAAAAACTAATCGTAGCAGTCTTGCAAAACTAGTTTAACCATGGTATTTTACGTTATAAAAGTATTATTTCTTGTACTATATTGTGGTAAACTTGTAAATTCTTCTGATGATGAGTATCGTCTAATTCAAGACCTGAAAAACGACTATGATCCAGTAGAACGACCGGTCGGTAATCACTCGGAAGCTGTTGACGTTTACGTTCGAATTCTTTTACAACAGATTTTGGAAATTGTAAGTAAAAGTTTTTTTTTACAAACAGACTTTCTCCACCATTTCATCAGGGAATAACCACAGTTGGGCCAAACAATGAAAGCCAGAGGCAGAATTGGCACAGGTGTCAAGTGGTCCAAAATAAAAATAATTTGACAATTTAGGATGAACGGAATCAAATGGTAACATTAGTCATCTGGCTACAACAAACATGGACTGACTATAAACTAAAATGGGACCCAGAAGAGTACGGAAATATCACAGAGATCAGACTGCCAAATGATGCTGTTTGGAAGCCTGACATCTTCTTGTTCAACAGGTAATAACGTTATTTGGATATTAGAAATTGCTGATTATAAACAGTAATCTTTTATCTTTTTTTCAACTGGTAAAGTTTGGCCTCTTTACTGAATAACTACGTAAATTATATAACAAAATTATAGTTAAAAGACCTATTTTTTGAGAATTTTAGTGCTGATGAAAATTTTGATGCTCGATTTGCTGTGAATTATGTTGTTACTCATACTGGAAACGTGCTACAAGCTCCTCCAGCTATTCTCAAAAGTTCTTGTGCTATAGACATCACTTGGTACGTATTACAATAGTTTTGGAAGCGTTATGGACAATTTTATATTGTCTTTTGGTATGTACGTAACAACTTATTATTATATTGTTTTAGGTTTCCGTTTGATGAACAATTTTGTTTTCTAAAAGTAAGTAACGTTTTTTGCACAATTTATGGTCCTGCAGGTCCAAAATAATTGATATATAGTAGCTAAAACTTAAATTGATCTTGTATTATATTATACTCAATTTCAGTACGGTTCTTGGACCTATTCTCGTCGAGAGGTCAATTTGTTCATAGAAGACTCACGTTTGCCTGAAAGTCACAAAATGGACCTGCAGTACTATATTCCGAATGGAGCATGGGAACTTGTAGGGACTCCTGCGTACAGAAAGCCAACTGAGTTTGAAGGTGCTCAATATGTTGAGCTGATGTTTTATATGTGGTTGAGAAGGAAGACGATTTACTACGGTATCAACTGGATTATACCTAGTATTCTATTTTTACTCAGTAATATTCTTGGCTTCTCATTGCCTTCTGAATGCGGAGAGAAGATTACTTTACGTATGTTATGTAATACTGAAATTTTAAATTATTACTTTGTCGCCATTTTTAAAAGAATATGCAGTAAAAAAACCTATAATAACATGATGTAAGACTAATTTTCAGAAACCACGAATCTCCTGTCCGTAACAGTCTTCCTTGGTATGGTAGCCGAAGTTACTCCGCCTACGTCAACTTCAGTACCATTGATTGGAGCTTTTTTTGCTTTACAAATGGTATTACTTGGTTCATCTGTCATTATTACTATATTAGTCATCAATATATCATTCAGGTCTCCTAAAACACACAGAATGTCACCTATTTTAAGGGCCATGTTTCTGGAATGGGTGCCGTGGCTATGTATGATGACGCGACCTGATGTTAAGTTTACTCGACCTGGGTAGGTCAATATGAGCTTTACTATTGTATAGGCTAATATGGATGTTTTTATATTAAAGTAGCTATGTTTAAATTCTTGACTTATTTTGTATACGTTGTTTTAGTGTTTGAGATGAAAGTAGTGATAACGTCATCTGACAAAAAAAAATATTTTTACAGCAGACGTCAAAAGTCATCCTCAACATCCTCCTCGTCGAATTCATCAAAATCGACGTCAAAATCTTCACGATCTTCTTCTTCAAAGTCCTCTGCTTATAAGATTACCAGAACCTTTATGCCTTTGAAAGATGGTGGACGATTAGTGAAAGGAAACTCTCTTGGATCTTTGACCAACATTGCGAGGATATTGGGCAGGGTTGTACCTATAAATGAAGTTGAACCTTTGCGAGAGAATATTGTTGAAGATGGAGAGATTGAAGACAAAAGAAGAGACGAATTGGCTACTATCAAGGAGGAAAATGGTACGTTTGAGCTTGTTTTTAATAGTACTTATTATGGTAACAAGGATTCTGTCTACCATGTGATCAGGGACGTCGTTTGGATGGGGGGGTTCGGGGGTGACTCCCCCCCCAGCACCGGTCCGAAAAAAAATAGCTAGCTACCTGTGGACCAAAAAATTTTTTTGGGCCTCCACCCCCCCAGAGAAAAACCGTAGCGACGTCCCTGCATGTAATGGGAGTTCACAATACTATAAACTATATAATACCCTCGCCCTGAACGCAATGGTAAGCAGTACAAGCTGTACTGTACAAAATGATAACCAGTACAAAGACATGATTCAGAACCAGAACTCCCACAATCTCCAGAATCCTCTGAAGCCAAGAATCAGCCCGAAACTACAGAAACCCTTCTTCGTGATACGATGAAAGAGCTACGAGCATTTCTAGACGAATCCAAGCAGAGGGCTGAAGAAGAAGAGGAAGAAGAGATCGAACAGGCCGATTGGAGGTTCATGGCCATGGCAATTGACCGGTTGTGCATGTTTTTGTACGCATTTTTGTCCATTGTACTGCCTACGGCAATGTACTGTAGTATTCCTGAACAGGAGAGTCGGGGCGAGGTTTATTAGACGTATTTGAGAGAGGGGTAGGCATTCCGGGAGGGGGACTTGTGAATTTTTTAACTGCCACTTTGTGAATTGTACCTTCAAAAACTTTTATAATTAAACCTACATAAATAAATAAACTTATATTATAATAACATTATTACCAAGCATAAACAAAACTACTATTATAAATAGACATCTACTACAATATAAATCTTAAACATCAACAATTTACTAATCCTTAAGCACATTTGCTCACATCGTCATCATTTGGATATTGGTGTGAATCTCGCGTAAGTACCGTGAGTAACTTCGGACTTCGAGTGTGTGTTCGTCTTCGACCAGTAGGGATTCAGCAGTGTAGACAGTAGATGAGTAGCTTCGTGTCACTTGGACCGACAGTCTGCGGGGTCGGTCCTTGTTCAGGTATTCCAGTACGTCGTGAATAAACTTGTTTTCTTGGGTTTCGTTCTTACGGATCATGTACTGAAACAAATTTCATTTAAATTTTACAAAATTTTAAATTTAAAAGTATTATATTAGGTTGTTCAAATAATTGTGTGCCTCCTGTCAAAGAAAATATCTTAACCTCCTCATCTCCTCATAACTCACAGTCTGCCTTGAAGTCAATTCCTCATCGTCCTTCAGAGCCAAGTACTTGTCCTGCTTCTCCTCGCTAGCGTTCGTCCCGATCCACAAATAGCCGTTGATGCCATTCTCGATGAAATACAGGTTCCTTTCCTCTAGATAGTAATTCGCTGGTCTGACCAAATACTTTCGGATTTGAGATGGATCCAAATTGTCCTCTAGGTGATGCACAACATCCATTCGGTAGACTTTTGGGAGCACGAAACGAACCACCTCTTTTGGAGTCATCCTCGACAGTATCATGTAGTGGAAGGCGTAGCCATCTTGCTTTGGGGTTTTCGCTGAAAAATTTGATTTTAAATTTAAACCGTCATTACTTTTTGTTTTTTAAACTTTTTTCAATTCCACAAAACATTAAATTTTAATATTAGGTAGTTCAATTAATTCTGTGCTTCCTCTCGAAGCAAATTCTGATCAAAAAACCTATTTTATGAATACAAATCAACCCAAAACCCAAGTAACCCTTACTTGGAAAGAGTTGCAAGTTGTTGGCGATCGCATGTTGTACCAATGGGCAGGGTCTGAAGGTTGGTGGTATGAACAATGAAGTTTGTTTTATATCCGAGCCAAATCTTCTTCTGATCGATGACAAACTAAACACCAACGCCCTCATCAATGCCTTTCTTGTCTCCACCACTGTCCACTGACCTTCTCGAACTCGCACATCTGTCAGCTTCAAAAAGTGGGAGGTCTAAAAATTTTAACAGTGAGTTGTTTTTAGGACACTATTCTACACCTAACATAAGATTACCTGCATCTATTTCTCTCGAACGGCATGAAAAACTTCAAATCTCCCCCAAAAGCCTACCCAAACAGACCAATCCACGTTATCCACCACCTCCTCCAGATCTGTTGTTGTCCCTATGCACAAGTTGATGACTCGTTTCCATCTGTTCCCAAATACATCTGTAAACTCAATCGTGGCTTGGAATACCAATTGCTCTGGTAATTCTATTGTCTTCGGGTCTATATCCATGTCATACTGCAGAGTACTGTCCGGGTTTACGCATGCTAACCTTACAGTCTCTGACTGGACATCTGGTGATAGCTTCTTCGTAGATTTTTCTGGTTGGGCTCCATATACTCCGAGGATTTTCATCGCTGAAGATTAGGTTTTTAGATCAAAAATGTTATTAAAAAAGTTATTAAACTTCAAAAATATCTTTTTTGAATATAAAAAACTTAAAAAGTTGACCGTACATTTGTGAGTCCTGAACTCCAATATCGTGTTGAATCCACATGACTTTCGTAGAACGAACTGTATGTCATCTTGTAAGGCTTTTCCGTCGTATTCTGCCTACAAATTTTATATTAAATTTTTCAAATAATTCTGTGCCCCCAGCCTCAAAAATTTGCTTTGAAGAGGGAGCACACAATTATTTGAACAACCTAATAATAATTTTTAGATCCATTAATTCTTTCGAATATAACTTACAATGTTTAGTACAAAGTATTTTTAAAAAACTATAACAAATAACCAAACAGTGCATAGTTAAATATTATCTTACCAAAAAGTCCTCGTACCAATAAATATTGCCACCGGTTACTGTTGAAAGTTGTCCTACTGTAGCCAAGTCGATTTCTGTTCGTGAACAACTAAACAAATCGATCCCCACGCCCTTTTCCAAAAAGGTTTTGGCAGTCAAAGGATAGTACTGTGTTACTGGCTCTAATTGGGACTAAAAACTTTAAAATTAGGACCAAATTACCAAAAAATGCCTCAAAAACATTAAAAATAAAAAAATCAATAAAAATGACTACATAAAATATCAAGAATTGTAAATTAAAATCTTCAAAAAATGATTGTTTACCTTATTCTGAACCCACTCAGACTCAGCACCATACTGATTCCGTTCGATTATGTTGCCCTGAACATTCTTGGTAGGTCGTTTCGATAAAAACAGTAAAACCTTGCCACATCGACCAGATTCTTCAAATATTTTCAAACCAAACTCTAGGGCAGGTCCTAATATCGAAGGTCTATCTGGTGGAGGGTGAATTCTGGATTCTAACGGTGGTTTCATCCTGAAATACCCAATTAGCACGTTATTTAAAAAAGTTCAATTCTTATGGCCTACAGGTTTTTAAAATGATTTTCTTAGATCAATACTCACCTCTGTAGAGATTCGATCATTTCCTGAGGCGTTGAAGTGATTCCATCCAGAAAAGGTATAAAAATGTCATCAAAGTCAACTATCGAGCACAATGTTGGCCGACTTGACCTCATGTCCAAAAAGTGTAGGTATTCATCGAACAAAATCAATGCTACCCGTGGCTGTGGACAGTTATCTGGATTCGAAATCAGCTTCAAATGAGATGGTAATGAGGACAAAATGGTCTAAAATAACATAGGAAGTCCGTTTTTTTTCAATTTTTATATATATTTTACAGAAAAAGATTCTATTATAACTTTTCCCGTATTTTACAATAATAATTACAGTATAATATTGTAAAAAAATAATAAACAGTATATTTTTAACTTCCACATAGCGCCTTTTATGAACAACAAGTGATTTCAAGAAACGCAAGAACAAGGCCTCCTTAGCTCAGCGGTAGAGCGTTGGACTTTTAATCCAACGGTCAGGGGTTCGATCCCCCTAGGTGGCTTGGTACATTTTTGCACTTTTTACTACTGATAACAAACAAAAGACGTATACTATGCCATAAAGAAACATCAGATCAATTTTAAAATTAATTTTTTAAACAATAAGCAGTTTTCTATCACCAAAACAAGCCATTTTTTAAATTATTTTCAATGAAAACCTCAAAAAAAAGTCAAAACTCACAGGAAAAAGATCACAATCCTTGGAAGCGCCAGTAATATCAACCATGAATATGTACAATGGTGTCTTCTGATCACATCCATTCCCCAAATGAAGATCATAGATCCCACGATGCATTTCCAAATGACAATCCCTGTCCATTCGGATACTATTTTGGTTTACAAAGCCAAAATATTGTTGTGGAACTTGGTTTTTAAAACTGGAAAGGAACAAAACATGATAAAGTTTTGCTTACATAACACTATAAATAGATGTACCTACCCACAAAAGCAACATTCAAAGTGTAATCCACTGGGTTCGAACAAGTTATAGCCATTCATCGCGGCCGAACATTGAGAACAGCACGGTGGGTTGTCTGGCTGTTGAAGCATGGCTTCTATTGTCATTTCTTGTTGGTTTAGTACTGGAAATGGAGTCACCATCATTGATAAAGGATAGTTCAGGTCTTTGAAGGAACGGCCACAGCGAGGGATACGATACATAGAGGATCTGACATACTTGGGATGGGGGTTACCTGAAACAAATTTAAATTATATTTTGAAATTTTGTCAAAGTAAAAAAGTTTCAAAGTAATGGCTTGTTCAAATAGTTCTGTGCCCCCTCTCCAAGCAAATTTTCGAGGATAGAGAGCACAGAATTATTTTAACAACCTAATATAACAATTATAACACATATCATTTATATATAAACCTGGTAGGCCCCAAACCAGTTAGAGAGCACAGAATTATTTGAACAACCTAATTAAAAGCCTACCAGTATCAATAGCAAAGAACTGAGAATCAGGAAAGGGCGGTCGATTGGCCGTGGGTCGACCAGTCTCGAAATAGCGCGAATCCCAATTCTGTTGGTTTTCCAACAAAAAAGTAGCTACACAAGGCTCGTTGGCCATTTACACAATTCAGTGTCAACCAGTCGATATCGAATTTAATAGTAAGTAATAAAATTTCATTTTGAAATTTGGGAAATTTGAAATAATTACATTTTGTCATTTTTTCCTTTTTTTAGGTTGTTCAAATAATTCTGTTCCCGACAACCCCAAAAATGTGCTTTAGAAAGGAGCACAGAATTAATTGAAAAAGCTAATACTTTTCAAACTTTCATTTTTCTTATTTCAAACATAATTTCTTTTAAATTTTTGTATTTTCCAGGACTTTTTTTTCAATACCTGCCTAGCCAAACCGCTATGCCCATCCCCCCCCCCTACTAGGGGTGAGAAACGGGCCGTCTAGGCCCGGCCCGGCCCTACGATCGGGCCGGGTGGCCTTGAGCTAAAATTGAAACGGGCCGGGCCCAAAGGTTAGGCCCGGCCCACGGGCCGGGCTTGAAAATTAGGCCCGGGCCCGAAAAAAAAATTTTTAAATTTTTTAAAATTTTTTATTTTAATCCCCGTTGATGTTTTTTGATTTTATTGGATACCATGATATATAAATGATCTAAAAGAACAATGCAAAGCCAAATTTCCGTTTATTTTTTGTTTTAAAATTTTTAAAATTTTTTAAAACGGGCCGGGCCGGGCCTAGAAATTTTCTGACCGGGCCGAGCCGGCCTGAGAGAAAATTGAAAACGGGCCGGGCCTAAAAAGTGGGCCCGGCCCGGCCCTTTTCTCACCCCTACCCCCTACTTTCCAAAAAAATGCCAAACTTCTCAAATTTTTAAAATTTTTATTTTTCAAAATTAAAACTTTACAATGACAATATAGTAGTAGGTGATGGTAAGACTCTTGTATGTGGATGGAATTTTTGGCGGAATTTTTAAAATTTAAAACAAAATTAGAGTAATTTTAGTTGGACTAACACTCAAAAATAAAAAAACTGATAAAACTGTAAAATTATCAAAGCTAGAGTTACTGTAATGTAGATTATCACAATCTACCAACGTTTAGCTTACTGTAGCTACGTTACTTATACATTACGGTAGTTAAACTAGTTTCAAAGTACTGTAGCTACATTACTGTATACATTATGGAAACTAAATTACCGTACAGAAGCCGATTACAGTATAATTACTTTCAAAATACTGTATAAAGTAGAGTAATCAAATTACCGCACGAGATACAGAAATTAGACTACTATGAAGTTACAGTAATTAAACTACCATAGAAGATCCTTGAGACGAGATTACTTAGGTATGCGATTGTAGAATCGGCGATGCATATCGTCGACTTGAGTAAGGTAGTAGGTGCCAGGGAAGAGTTGGTCCGGCTTCACTGGGGTCCGGCCCTTTTCGGTTTCGGCCAAGGCTTGGCGACGCGACATGGCCTAAAATACGATATTAAAAAAGCTCTAGAAACCTAATATTTAGTAAGATTCCTTTACAATACGTCATAATAAAATGATTCTACATAGTAGATTGTTCAAATAATTGTGTTCCCTCTCACCCCAAAAATTGTTTTTGAGAGAGGCGCAGAATTATTTGAGCAACCAAATATAAAATCAACTCTCCTTATAAGACCTTACCTCAGTATACTCCTCTGGAGTGGTCAGAATCCTCTCGTCCAGCCGTCTCAACGCTTCTACAGCACATTCGTGAATCTTTCTGTATCCAACCTTCTCGGCTTCTGTGTTCACGTTCAATCTGATCGAGTACATGGCAGCAGCCGATCCCGAGCCATAAGAGAAGGCCAAGATCCGCTGACCATTCAGTTTTTCGGATAAAGTTGATCTGGCCAAGAAAGCGACCAATTGGCCATACATTGAGGGCGTGTACATGTTGCCAATCCTCTGGTTGAAGGTGATGTTGGGCTCGACCTTTGACTTCAAGAGGTCTTTGGAAGACTTGGCCGCTGTGGACAGGAAGTTGCGGTCAAAGTAGGTCTGTTCGTTGGTTAGTTCGCTGAAATAAGGGTGGTTCATATAGTTAAAATTTTAAAAAATAAAAAATGAAAATAAAAACCAAAAATGTTAGCGAGTTGTTTACATTAAAGTAAGGTGTTTAAAACATTTTTTTTAATTTCTTTATAAAAAAAAATATAACTTTTGCATAAAATGAAAAAATTGTTAAAAAATATTAATATCTTACCCTCCAGCCTTAATAATGGCAGTAGCAGCTTCACCGCCTTCTGATCCGCCCAAAGCATCTTGGTAATAAATTCGTGCCAATCCTTTTTGGACCAGTTTATAGAAGGGGCAGTGCATGATTATGGCCGCGTAGTCTTGCGCTCTTGGAGCTGAAATTTAATTTTTATAAAAAGTGCTTCGAATACCGTATTTTACAATTTCAAACCCAAAGTTAAATTTTAAAAACACTAGGTTGTTCACATAATTATGTGCCCTCTAATCCCAAAAGTTGCTTTAAGAAAGAGCACAAAAATTATTTAAACAACCTAATATTAGTTTATATAAAAAGTAATGAGCTATGTATCATAACTTTTGATGTAAAGTTCAGTAGCTCATGACTTATTATACAACCGAATATTACAAATACAACATTATTTATATCATCTTAAAATAAAAGCCCGTATTTTACCATAATTAATAAAATTTCAAAACCTACTCGACTCCACCAGCTTTTCGTGCCGTGCCTTGTACCGTGAGTAAGCCTTGTCCACTGAACTCAGGTATGCCACCATACTCAAGCTACCATCAACCAATGGGAACTCGCTATTGATGCCTTTACATGGCTTGTAAAAGTCGTACACATTAGACATGTGGAAGGTGCGTAGTCCTCTTTCAAACGCCAATGGTGCATTTGGTCCGACCAGGAAGGCGACAGCGCCAGCACCACCAGTACAACGAGCTGGGCCTGGCGCATACGCGGCTATGTCAGCACTTACTACCACTGCTAGACGGCCTGAAATTTGAAATTTAGTTTTTGTCTAAAAAATACAGCCTTTTTTAAACGATACACATCTTCAAAACCGCAGAACTATACCCTCTATCAACCAATATACACCATTAAAACAACCTTAACCTACCGTCGGTCTCCCAGTTCGAATAAACCCAATCGACAGCGTGGAACAAGGCCTGTGTACCACCATAGCACCCGTTTTTGATATCTACACCTTCGGTATCTTCATTATTGGCAAACAGTTCCATTAAACTGGTCTTTACTGATTTGCTCTTATCAATCGTCGTCTCTGTACCTACTACAACAAACCCAATTTGTTGAGAGTCGATTTCGTATCTTTCTAGAAGTTTGGCCGTAGCTGTGAGACAGATAGAATTAATATCCTCGTTATCATCACAGTAGCCCATTTGTTTTAGGCCTAACCCAATGGTGTATTTTCCTTCGGATTCTCCATTAAACTGAAAACCAGATTAACGTATAATTAATATGTATTGTTGTTATAATGACATTTGCTATACGATATAAAGCAAAAATTCTTATTTCAATCAGTTTTAAAGTAAATTTCAAACAAATTTACCTAATCTTTTCAAAATCAATAATTTTTGTGACATTTCGTCAAATCTAAACTATACAAGTCTACCCAGTCGTATTTTACCTTTTCAAAGTCGGTCTGTTCGATGTATCGTCGTGGAAAATAGAACTCAAAAGCTTGGATACCAACATTTTGCGGTGTTGTCGCACTCATTGCTATACCCCTGAACAAGATATAGTTAAAATAAATAATACAATTTTTCATAAATAATTTTTAATTTACGACCAGGTAACATTTTAAAAAGCAAAATTAAAAGCGTAAAACCAAATATATTCCATTTTTAAATAAAAGAAAAAACATTATTTGATATAAAAAAAAACCAATAATTTTCTTGGCATTCCGCTACATATTATACTCGCTCAACTATAAAACGCAAAATTTGAACCCAAAAGTCTAATTCTTCCAATAAAAAGTAAAAAAAAGACAAAAAGAGCTGTTAAAAACCCCCACTTTTAGTGTAAAACACTATTTTAAACAGCCTTGAAAGCAGTTTGAAACTTTGTTTATTAGACTCGCTTAAGTACCTGCAATTGTAACTTTTCCCGGGAAGGCGGGGACTACAGTAAATTCAGGTCACAAGTGAAAACAAATATAAAAGCTGTCCTTTAAAACACACGCAATACTTTCGGTTGAGGGCTCCAAAAAAGGCTCGTTTGCGCGAAAAAACACTTTGATACGTATGTTGTCATTTGTGTTAAGTGGACCTGATAATCGTTTACAATACGCTCTTATCTGATCTTCGCAACAGATGTGTTTCAAAAGTGTTTTTGGGGACACCCGTAAAGTGGACCAAAAGTTCAGGAAAAAAGGGGAATTTTAATTTTGAGAAGAACTCGTACTTTGACGCCGGATTTTAATGTCGCGGCTCTCATTTATAGATAAAAAACTATCTTTGGCCATTAAAATATGGTTGTCTGTTTAAATTTCAATAACTTAGACTTCTCATTTCAAAAAGCATCATATTTAATTAGATCACAGTATTATTTTATATAGGTATCAACTGACTACTCTATTCTTCATAACTCCATCTTTAAAATTAAAAGTAAACTGGTGGAATTTAAAATTTTTAAAACAATACTTTTTTACTATAATTAATGCTTTTTAACAATATATCCAGATTTTGGCACACAACCGCTGAACCCAACATGCTCACTAGTATTATTGACCTGTCTGACGCTGAACAATATAACTTAACAATTCGATCACAAAAATACCTACAATTTATAGCATGACACTAAAAAATGTCCATCTTTCTATTAAAATTAACACTTTTATTTAAAGACATCCGTAGCTCTACACAAAGCCGCAAAAACGTATCAACTCCCGTTTAACCGCATGGTTAATATACTTTTTACGCGCTACTGCAAACCAAGCCAAAACACATGCTAAACAACCTCTTATCTACAAGTTCAATGTCCGTTCCTGCTGTCGGTATCAAATTTTGATGGGTTTTCGCAACAAAACAAACAAAACTCGGCTTGCGCATATTATTATTGCTTCCGATTGCCGTATGTGTTATATATTGCATGACCTGCGCTAATTATCTTATAAAATAATACCTAAATATGAAAAAAGTAAATAAAAAAACTTACATTATATGGAAACCAATCTATTGCCCGTAGTTTTTGCTTCGTTCATCTTCATTTGGCCAAAAAATATTTCTCGGAAAATAAAAAGCTTTGGCCTTCTCTATTTTCTTTTTAGGTTTCGTTGCGGGACGAAGTGCTTGTGCCTACGTTATGGCCAATACCTTTAATTCACCATTTGCCATATAAACTTCTACAAAACATCTAGAAGGCTTACTCTTATATAACAACAAGGTAACAAAGAACTGTTTCAATTAATTCCAAATTAACAGAATTTCATTATTTATTACGTCTAACATAAATTAAGCATAAATTAACAAGACTATCACAATTAAATATGGGTACAATTACAAAAACAATCGGGAATGAAGGGAGGGACTACTGGACCGTTATTACAAGTAATATGTTTACACACGGTTTCAAGCTCCCAAGTGTACAATAAATAACCTAAAGTGCTATTAAAAGCTTATCCAATCAGTCGTATGCTATCAAGACAACATAAGATAAGACTGATTTTACCAAGATACAATACCACCTAAAGACCTCGTTAGCTAAAAAACCAATATTATTACAAAAATAAAACAACTAAACTACTATACTATCCTACTACATTAAAAAGCAAAAGTTGAGCAACATTGTTGATGCTCCCAAAGTGAACATTGTTTCCGGGATATTCGAATATGTAGAAGTTCTCATCAGATTTTCGAATCCTAATGAGTCAATTTTGAGCTGTTTGAGCCACAAAACCGTTTAACCTTCCAGTATGCTAGTTCAGTTACTGTTGTTGAGGCTGTGCTGAAGGATCAGTCTGTTGGAATGGTGAAGCAAATGGGCTTGATTCATCGTCATCAGCTAAAAACTCAAAGGTAAGAAAATTTTCGAAACAACTTTAATCAAAAATTAAAATAAAATTCAAAATTTAATATAAAATTATAAAACTTACTAGCTTGAGGAATAAATCCAAAGCCACTCATTGCTGGAGCAGCTGTTGGTACCATCGGAACCATGTTCATTGGTGCAGCAGTGGCAGGAGCTGTGGCAAAGCCATTTGGAGCTATAGCCATACCTCGAGAGCCTAAAAGTAGCATAAATATAAGTTAGGCCTTGTAAAAACTGTCAAAACGAATCAAATATTATCTATGACAATATATAAACCAAGAACTATTTTGAGGCCTCTAATTTTCAAGACCTTCAAACACAACAATATTTAAAATGCTATCAACCATAAACAAGACAAAAACCCCAAAACCTAACACAATATTACCTTTTTGCAATCTGCTCCTAGCAGGTACCGCAGCTACTGGATGTTGTGGCACTCCTCCAAACATGGGATTTGTGGCCGATTGAGCTGCTGGTACTGTTGGTACAGTCATTGGAGCAACAGCGGCTGTCTGAGGTTGAGTTGTTGTAGTTGATGTAGTATTACCAGCAGCATTCGTATTGGCCATGGTGTTGACCATGCCCATCGAAGGTGGTGGCGGTGGAGCGACCTCTTCTTCAACTCCATCCCCAACATATCTGCCTAGTTTCTCGTCCCATCGTATTGTGGGATTACTGTCGTCAGGTAGTTTCATTTCACTGGTCGATGGTATGATACTGATCAGCTTTGACTTTAACCCTCCAAAGAGTCCACCTGATTTGGCATTCTTATCATCCTTCTTCTGATCTTTTGACTGATTCTGAGTTTCTTGTTGTACCTTCTGAGCTTGTATTGGCTGCGATTGTGGTGCTATTTGATTTGGTACTGATTGAGTATTGTGAGTTTGTGCCATTTGATTATGATTTTGCTGGGCATTGTGACCTTGTACTTGTGTATTAACGGCTTGTTGACTTTGAATGCTTTGCTTCCGCTGATTCTGGCCTTGGTGCGATTGTTGACCATATCCATCATATCCTTGATACTGTTGGCCATAAGATTGTCCATACTGACCTGCCTGACTGCCATAATTAACCGCTTGATCACTGTAATCAGTAGCTTGGTTTCCATGCCCTTGAGCTGCTTGGGTACCGTATCCTTGATTATTTTCAATACCGTACCCCTGATTAGCCTGATTATAGCCTTCATGTGCATTGTAACCTTGCTGTTGACTATAATCATAGCTTTGTTTCTGCTGCCCATAGTTACTTTGATTGTAATCAAACTTCTGTTGATTGTAGTTACCGTAGCCTTGTGTACTGTGGGCTGGGCTAGCTGGTACTGGAGTGACTGGTGTTGGTGTAGCTTGTTGATAAATATTCTGAATGCTTGTTTTGTGCTGATTCTGTTCATGATATTGAGGTTGAGTTGAGACATGAGGTGGTGGGACTGGAGTAGAGCTGGTCAGAGGACCGTGAGCTTCGGGAGTCGCGTTTTGACGATCACTATAAATTAATTTGCTCTTTACCTATTTATTAAATTTGAAAACACAACCGTATTTTATATTTAAACATGTTTTACATAAAATACAAGCACCATCATTACCTTGTAGTAGTGCTTTCACTAACATCACTTGAAACCGAGGTTTCTGACACAGAACGATGCGATGAGCTTGTTCTGTTATTGGTGCTGACTGTTGATCCAGTTTGGTACTTTTTTGGAACAGAGAAGGCTGAATTCGAGCTGATTTGGCTCAAAACAGAATCTGGACGTCTAGCTTGTTGTGAAGGTGCATAACTTTGTTCAGGTAACGCCTGCCGTTGCTGTGGTACTTCTTGTCTTTGTTCATTCTGATATCCACCTTGTGTTTGTTGATACGCACCTTGTATTTGTTGATATCCACCATGTTGATGTAGCTCTTGTGTTTGACCATGATGATGTACCTCGTGTCGTGCATGAGCTTCTGCGTGATTCTCAATAACTTCAGCAGTCTTCTGAAGTTCTGGAGCTTGAGATTCTTGTGCGACATGATGGTAGGGTTGCTCTGGTGGAGGTTGAACTTGTGGGTTCTGAAGGTAATGCTGTACATAACAGTTCTTCATGGTTTCAATCCATTCGGTTTCGGCCTGTGATTGGCAGCCTATTACTCTGAAAGCGGCATGGTTAACATCAATAACTCGGTATTAACTTCAAAGAAAATATTTTTTTTTATATTTTCACTTTTTTTCTTATTTTATCAAAAATTTAAAAATTTTCCAAACTTAATACCTAAAATCCTACCTCAATGCATCAGCCAATCCACACAGATCAGCCACAAAAGCCTGGTCCAGCCCGTACATATTCTCCCAGACATTCTGTGCAATCGAAGTGCAGTAGGACGACACATTTGGAGCAGCGCCACCGTATTCGTTCAACAATTGAGCATACTCAAGTCTTCTCCTTTGGAAAGTGGTCGATCTTGTCAATGGTGTTGGTTGGTTGTTGTACTTCAGTCTCATGGCATATTCGTAGATTTCTGTTGCACAAAAGTCAAGAATCGACCAGCCATACCTAGTGTACTGGGAGTAGACATGATCGTCGGGGAGGGTGGCTTTGATCAGGTCAATATGTTGGCGTGAGACTTGTTCAGTGCTGAAAATTCAAAAATATTGACTTTTTCAATTTTACTTAAGTCTTTGAAGTTTTTATTCTAAAAACTTCTTTTTTTAATTTCAAACCTAAAACTTACTCAGTAACAGGTGAGAAGCAATCCCTATCAGCCAGTAGATTAGCGGCCAAGAAGCAAAAGTCAGCAGCCGAATTGAACTCTTTGGCAGCCAATGTCTTTCCCAATTGATAAATCGAATCAATGGCCGCATCCGTCTTCAGATTGGCCAAAACTATGGCAATATGAGCTCTCCATCCTTTACCATCATCTGCATCAGAGTGCATTAACAATGGCACTGGTTGACTAGCAGCCACACTGTAAAGTGTCATAGCTGGATGATGTGGTGAGCGGTTGGCAGCCAGCAATCGTTGTAGAATAGACTCCATCTTCTGTTTATTGCCTTCTGAATACATACGGTAGGCTAGGACAAAAGCGTCGAATAGAAGTCCAGAGTTCTCGGCACATTTTATGGCTTCCTGAAGGTAAAAATTGTATTTTGTGAAAATATGAGTACTTTATATATATCATAAAACCAAGCTTTCTTATAGTACATAACACCCTTTACATCTTCAGTTTAAAAATTTTGAAATAAAAGGCCTTGCAAAAATTTTTTAAAAATTTCATTCAAATACTTACATCAACATGTCCTCCAAGTAGGTAATTTGTAAAGTCTTCTAAAGCGTCACTTGGCACACTTCTTTCGTTTCTTAGACTTTCCTGACTTCCCAAGAGAGTACCTTCGTCGCTTTGGACTGATTTTTGAGCCCTGAGGGCTCTTTTAGGAAATATTTGATCTTTGCACAATAATTCGGCCAAATCTGCCCCTGTTACTCGCTGAAAAAACCATTTTTATTAATATCATGACTCTTTTTTAAACATGGCTCTCATTAAAAATTTAACTTTTAAAAATTTAGGTAACAAAATTATCAAAACTTACTCCCTGCTGTTTGACCACCATTTCCAACAATCTCCAGACCAAGATGCAATCATTAGTATCACTAGAGTATGGATTACCAATATAGATGTCAGAATCCATAATGTTCGTCAACTGCCTTCTGATGAACAGCAAAACACTTTGAGATTGAGTACTAGCGACTGACAATGGTCCTTGGAATTGCTCAAGCAGTTCCACATTCTTCAGTTCAAACTGATCCCTGATTAAACTCTTGACGGTTTTGAGTTCGAAAGAGTTTGTCATGACTTTAGGGTTCAATTTGATGATTCTGCCTCCGACTCCAAACTTCAGAATTGGATGGTGAGAGTTGAACTTCTTGGCTTCTTTTGAGTTCACGTCAGAGCTGATCTCATCACTGTCCACGTTCGAGAACGATGGATGTTCACTGTTCTGGGATTCAATGGTGGAACGTTCTTCCAATTGTTGACGAATAGCAGCTTGCTTCTCACGCTGAGCTTTATATTCTCTTAGGGTCATTTGACAAATCTAAAACAACAGTTCTTTAAATAATTTTCTTATTTTTTGCTTTCAAATAAAAAATTTTCGAAATTTTTCATACCTAAAACAAGAAAAATGGAAAACTAAAAACTTACCGTAACCAAAGCTTCTTCATCACTAATGTCACGACAAGTTAAAGAATAGAATTCTTTGTTAAACACTTTGACAAACTTTCGAACATCCGGAATATAACGACGATAACAGTTGTAATAATATAGATATGCTGCTTTTTCGACCGGTCTCATGTCCCAAAAGTCCTCTGGAGGTTCACATTCTTCCACAAATCTCGTAATCAAATCCTGAAAGAGATTCATTATCTTTAACATTATAAGAAATTGTAAAACCTTTTAAAAACATACAAAATACCCACTTAACTTACTAAACACAAGTTAACATAATTTTATAAATATATTTTAAGATGTTATAAACACTTACCGGCTTTAAATTAACTTTAGTACAGTAATAAATGTCCATATCAGTAAAAGTTTGGAACTCTTGTTGGACTGGAAGTACTCGGCGACTTCCTGAAGCTCGCGTTACTGGAATGTATCTCCTATCCATCGTATAATTCCCTCCAGCATGTTCAAATTCTTCTGAAGACGACGTTTCTCGAGTCTCTTCAAAAGCTTGTCCTCTTCCTGATGGATAACGAAACGCACTAAAATGGCATTATTTTAGGCATAAATTTATTACCTAAAATTAAAAAAAAAACATGTAATATACCTACCTATTTGGCCGACTTGGTTGATAATGCCTCATTGGCTCCCCCAGCTCAGAATTCGGTCGTGCAACTCGTGGAGCCGCATAGCTGTAGTCATTCCTACGATGTCGGTTTCTGCGCGACGAATGTACAAAGTCTTCGCCAAAACCCGCCATTCCACCTGTATATTATAGTACCCGTTCAAACTTCGGATTTTGAAACGAGAAAATAGATTTAACCTAAAGTAAAAAAATTAATATTGTTATAGCAACCCAATAAAATATTGAGATACAACGGCACATACACAACTAATTATATGCAATGAACAATCAAAGTAAACTTAGAAACATCTGCTTGTTAAGTAAATTCAGAGGAAAACTAAATAAACTTTGCAGAAAAAGTTAAACAGACCATGAATATTGTAGTTAAAAGATCACTAATACGTAAACTCAAAGTTAAAACCGTCTACAACATAGTTAAGCCTCAATACCTCAATCGCAAATACAACATCATCTGCATCATAAAAACTTAAAGTGAAATTAGTTTATCACATCCTTGATAACTTTATTAACTTTATCTTCACTTCATAAAATAATAATAGACATAATTCCACGTGGATCAATATCAATTTTTACTTCACGACCCAATTTCTCTAATTTACACCAAAAACAGCTAAAATAACAAAACTATAATCATGAACAATATCCTAATTTTGATATCTGCATGTCAAGAACCTTGCAAACGTTTTAACCAGCTGGCTGGTCTCGATTGAACTTGTTTAAGATCAGTTTCGTGAAATTTTAGCAAAAAAGACAGAATGCCAAACGGTGTGTTGGATTGGGTTAGTTTTCGTGGTGGGACTTACTTGAACTCCTGATGTTTGTCTATTTGTTTGTCTTTTACAAAAACGAATGGAATATATTTATTAATAACTAGCTGAACTAACACGGAAATGAACTTGTTATTACAATTTTGTTGTAATTATAAACTGTAGTAATGTGGTTGTTGTTTTTACCATAATTTTCGCTAAAAACTATAATTATGCTGTAAAATTCGACGAATAAAGACAAGAATACACCAAAATATTATCGCTTATCAATGTTGGTGACAGGCTAATAAAAAATCGTGTAGGAAAGCAGTGTTTGAAGGGGTGTTTAATACGAATTTAAAGAAATTTGGATGATTTACATTAGATTTTTGATATTGTTATTGTTTTTGGCTTCTGTAACATGCAAAAAGGTGTTATTTATAAGTGGAAAGGACACTGGAAGTCACCAGGAGAGTATGAGATCTTATTTTACAGCGTATGTTATTTTTTGAATATTTTAAAGCGTAGAAATTAGTGAATATTGTCTTAGATAATATAGGTGACAGCGATATGACAAATTTTTATAAATTAGTGTATGAAGCCTAAAATTCCATCAAAATTGTTGAAAGCAATTTTAGTTTAGCGAAAGCAGGATACAATGTGACAGTCTTGGACACCTCTAACGCCAAACTAAAACAATATGGCTGTAATATTGTGGTAGAACAGGCGTATGTCCCAGTTGAGCAAGCTGGTCGAGTTGAAGCTATAACAAGGTTTCTGACAAAAACATATAATGGATTCTCATTAAGTGGGGCTCAAAAGAATGGCAATGATAATATGTTAGATATTATTGATCAAAGGTGGGAGACGGTAAGGGTATTATGTTGTAGTGTATGTCACAGTATCTAGTACAAGATTGAGATACTATTATAGTATAAAAACATGTTTTTTAGTTTACTGGTACTATTTTGAGTTCAGATCTAAGCTAAAAATATAAATTTTGTTTAAAATTACGTTCATTTCAGCTTTATCGTGTCATACACACTTCGTACGATCTGGTTGTCATAGATGACATACCATGTGTTCATTGCTCGGTAATCGCGTCTGCTTTAAATAAGATGCACAATACTAAAATTATACTGTTTTCCACGACTAAACCTTTGGAGTACAACTTTATTTTGCTTGGTTTGGGTAAGTGTTGAGATTGTTTTGTTACAGTAACCGATATAGTGTTACAGTAAGTTTGATCAAAAGATAGTCGATGTATGGGCTTATTACGGTAGATTAGGTATCACCAAGGTTAATAGAAGGATAATATTTATATTATTTTATCTTTTCCAGTCAAATCTCCAGTTACAAATCCCTATATATTCACCTTTATGCCAAAGATCAATATCGACATTATGGATTTTAAAAACATTAAACATCGGATTCACAATTTGAAGTTATGGTTTTACGAAATGTACGAGTTTCTAACTACTGGTAAGTTTGTCATTCTTAAGCATTTTTAAAAAATTTTACATTTTTTAAGGGGTTAAGAACGGAATGCCAAATTGGCGCGAAATTCAAAAATGAAAATTTTTTTTAGTTTTGTGTAACAAGTTTATTGGTAATACAAAAGTAAATGTAAAAATGATTTTTCAGACGAATCAAGAGTAGTATCATCACACAAAGAGTTTGGTCAAACAGCTTTTAGTTGGACTAGTCTGTTCCAGAATATCGGTCTTCATGTCGTCGAGTCTGTTGATGAAAATGTTTGGCCTGTTCCTAGTAAGATGTTTTGAATTTTTTGTGGTTTAAAATGATTATTTTAAAACATTTAAAAATTTTTTAAAGTTTTTAGACTATTTTTATAAAATGACATATACACGGTTCTACATCAGACGTATTTTACCTTATTTTAGCTTATAATTAATCTTTTTTTAGCCCACAACTTTATAAAACATACTGGTCTAACCTGTAACCCATCATCCTCAAACTCTACAAAACCAATTCCAAGAGATTTACTACAATTTATGGAAGATACCACCTCAAAAGGCACGATTTACATTGCTTTTGGCAGTTACATTGACTTTACTTATGCTCCGGAACACTTACATTATGCTCTGGTCAATGGTATTCAACGACTGTCTGACTACAGAGTTATTGTGTCTGTCAAGATCAACAATACTTACATACCTAAACTGCCCTTTGTGAGATATGTTGATTGGGCGCCACAAAAGGAGATACTACAACATTACAGTACTAAAGTGTTTCTTACTCATGGGGGATTGAAGAGGTAGGTATTACACATATCGTGATATGGTATGTTTACCAAGTATAATGCACTATAAAAGTAATATTACAGTATAAAAGAAGCTATTTGTTCAAAAGTTTCAATCGTGATCATGCCATTGTTTGCCGAACAGTCAGCCAATGCTCATATGATTCTGAAGTCTAAAATTGGACGAATATTGAACAAGTTTACTGTAGATGAAAAAACATTTGCTACAGAGTTAAAAACGGTATGAATTGACAATAGTTTTGAAGTTTAAAAAATATTTTTCAAAGAAAGTTAAATCGGCTGCACTATGCAGAGATGAATGTTTTGATTGCACGGTGCGGACGAAAAGACTGACAAGGACAGTATTCAACCCGTCCCACTCAGAATCAGCCCAAAGTTTTTATATAAATCCTTTGTATCACGAATATTAAATTAGAATTCAGAAAAAATAAAAAGTTTTCTAATTTCAGGTAGCGTCCGCTACTGATTACAAGAACAATATCAAGAACTTGTATGAATTGTGGAGTGAAAGACCAATGTCACATCTAGAACAGGTTGTATTTATGACAAAACGTTATGACAAGGTTGATTCGAAGAGTTGGAACAAGTATTTACAGCCTCAATCAAAAAGATTACCTACTTATTGTACATACCTGGTTGATGTTATTGGGGTTGTCCTGATATTTATTGCTGTTGTTAGCTATTAAAAGTTTATATTATTCTTTAAAAATACAGAGCAGGATAAAATGGGTAGGGGTTAGTTGGGCTGGGCTGTAAGGACGGAGTGAGGCTTGAGTAGAGCTAGAATGGGCAGAAGTGGCCTTGGGTAGCGCTGTAATAAGCAGGGGTAACGCTTGGGAAGGGCTAGAATGGGCAGGAGTAGGTTTGAGTAGGGCTAAAGTGGGTATGGGTAGGCTCGGCTATAGCTAGAAAAGGCAGGGGTAGACTTGAATAGGGCTATAATTGGATTGGGTAGCCTTGGGCAGAGGTGGACTTGGGTAGGGTTATAATGTTCAGTGGTAGAATTGGGTAGGGCTAAAATGATGTTTGAATTTAGATTGTGGTGGCTTATTCAGTAAGGTAATCTCCTATACCAGGGGGTCGGAGCTTGCAACTTGTAAATTATTTTTTATTTAAATTTTGCTTTCATTTAGCGACCGGTCGGTTTTGCAATGTCTAAAAGTGTCATATTTTATTGTATTGTCACTTTAATACTGACTTCGTTGGTTGTGGAACTCTTGTAATGGTAGGTTTTAATTTTATCTTTTTTGGTCGAAAAATAAGCAGAAAATGAATTTTTTGTATTAAATTTAAAAAAAATTTAATTTAAAATATTAATTTTACATTTAAAAATATTTCTAAAATTAAAATTTAAAATTCTGCTTTTTCAGAGATGATAAGTAAGGCCTGCTTTTTTGATGATCAGTGTACAGACCCTTGTCGCGAAACAAGTTCTACCTACAACTATGGTATCTGCCTGTTCATTCAATGTTTGTGCTACGAAATCTGAATATTATTGTAGCTTCTACTGATTCAAATAAACTTATTTACAGAGAACTACATTTATTGGCTTTTAATTTGATTTTTGGCTTTAAATGGGGCTAAAAACGTCTAGACATATGTGTATGTAATGAACGACCATCTTTTTCCTTCTTTCTCTATGCTTCTGTGTTTCTCTCTCTTTCCTCCTTTCTCTGTCCCTTTCTCTCTCTTCTTTTTTCTCTCTCTCTCGCTCTCTCTCTTTCTCTCATTATCTCTCTGTCAGTCGCTATTCCTTTTTCTCTTACTTATTAATCTATCTCTCTTTATGCTTATTGTGAAAAGTGTAATATAATGTAAAATTCATAATTAAATTAGTCGGTTTAATTACTATGTCTGTAGATATAAAGCAAATCACATCATTTGGACTTACTTTTGTTGCCATCCTTATACCATGCATTCTATAACTACAGCTTTATTACTCTTTGTTGTTCTCCTTGTTAATGTTTCTACTGTCACTTCGGAGAGCGGTAAGAGTTATAAAGTTAGATAGAGTCTGTTGACTTGTTATAGACAAACCTCTTTAGCATGACATTCAAGAGGCTGCCTTAAATTGTCATTATACCAAGGATACCATGCAACCTACTGTCATACTAACATTTAACGTTTTTTTATAAATTTTAATGACATTTAAAAACTAATTTTGAACCATTCCAGAGCTAATTCCAAACTTCTGTTCCAAGAGTCCCGACTGTAACGATGCTTGTCTGGAGATAAATTCGAGCTACAGTGTTTATGAATGTGTACTCTTTGTGTTGTGTAGATGTTATATAAGCTGATTCTGGTTTTTGAAAATGACTTTTAGTTTTTTAATGTATTTTGTTGAAGTTTTGAATAAAGGTTATTGCTTTTTAACCAGCGTTTTACTATTTTTGCGTCGATACTATGGCAAATCATTTGCTTCTCTTACATTTGACTAGAGCCTGAAGTCTTGTGGAGCACCTGATCAACACTCGGTAGCTCAAGAAACAGGATCACCTAGATATAATTTAATCGGGAACAGCTACCATGGATTGCTTTGACGGTCTTCACCAAACTTTTTTTATTAAGCCTAACTTGTTTTGTTGCCAAAACTTTTCTTAAAATGTTAAAAAAAAGTATGACAAATTTATTTTGCTTTCTATATTAACAATATAAATTTAAACAATAAAGTTTAAATTTGCTTGTATTACAGCTTTCATAAACACTCTTTGTATACAAAGTAGTAGAAATTTTTAAGTTTGTTACCAATATAAACATATAAAATGTTCAGTAAGACTATACTTATTCTTACTGTACTTGTGCTGTCTTTTACTGTAACAGAAGCTGCTGGTAAGTAAAGTAACATTACATTTATTTAAAAGTTTTTTCTTTCCTTTTTGTTCCCCATCTCTCTCTGCATTCTCTACGTGCCATTAAGAAGGTTGATCGTATTTTATAAAATTCAAGTTTAATATTTTACATTTTAAATTGATACAGTATACTTTGATTCGCTTTGAGTATGTGTTGAATCTAGCTTGCTTATTAAAAAAGTTAAATTAAATAAAAAAATTTTTAGAAGTTATTCTCCATTCCTGCCGAACGAGTGATGATTGTGTTGAGCCCTGCCTAGAAGCGGACCCAAATTTTTGTAGATATGGATGAAGCGTTTTATAATGCCAATTTCAAATAGAAAAACAAAATTGGCCATAAACCGTGTCACCTCCTTAAATTTTGAAAATTTTTAAATGCCGAACATAAACTAGAGTTTTTATCTCATGTTATACATGTTGTCTGCTCCTCGCTCAACCTCTTATCAATGCGTTTTCGCTTATTTTCAACTTTTCAATTTTTGATTTGAGCAAATCAAACGCATTTTGACAAAAGTTATTTATTACTTTTTTTAAAACTACAATATCTCCGTTCTTATCAAAATTTTAAAGTTTTATTTAATACTAAGTAGTGCTACAAAGTTTTCGATTTTACATTACAACTTAATTTTTACTAACATATTTTATACTTTTTGCAATTGGCATTAAAACTGTAATTACCTATTGATTTATTGCTAATGAAACAAGTTGTTATTGCTGCTGACTGAAGCAACTTTTAAAACATTTTACTTAAGGAAACTTTAGAAAAAGTAAAAAACGAAACTACAAGTTAGAAAATGACTTTGAATTGTTAAAATAATCTGTAAATATAGTACAAGATGGACTGGTTCGAAAAGATATTCGTCTTTTTCTACCCATTGATCAAGAACTGGGTCAACTTCTGTGGTATGAAGTTATGGGTAAGTTATTGTTAGCTTTGTTGATTTTTAGATACATATCAAGGGTATAATTGTCCTTACGGCACTCTTAATGTCTTTTACTATTAGGTTGAACCAAAAGTAGCGGGGCACTTTCAACTGAAAAATAAATTAAAAGTGTCCCACAACTTTTGGTTCAACGTAATATAAATTAATCTGATATTACGTAAAATAGTAGTCTCTTTCACATATTACTTAAAGTTTTCGGTACTACAGCTTCCTGAAATTAAATTTTTTTGGCTTTGGCCTAGCTCTTGTTTGGTTTTTTTTAATTTTAGTTTTGGTTCTGGCTACAGCTCTAAAGCCGGAGTCGCTCCGGGGGTCTTTATTACAAATCTTTAATATTTCTGGATCTGAATTCAGCTCCGAAGCTGTAGCTCCATGGCTTTTTAGTACTGTTATTTGACGTTTTTTCCTGGCTTAAGCTCCGGTGTCGAAGATGCATTGGAGCCGAAGCCGAGCCGACTTTCCAGCTCTTGAGAACGCAGTTTACAACGCTAGCAAATTGACTTGTAATAGAAACTTTATTAAAACCTATCTAATAAATAGTATAACAATTGACCTGTTATACAAATAGTTGATTGTGCTCTTCAGTATCATATTATACCAAAACCCTTAATTTCCAGATTAATTTCTTAATCAAAAACCTTACTTTCAGACCTTCTCCATGTTGCTAGCAGTGTTTGCGTCGTTCGAAACGTTGGGCTTGATTGTTTTCTTCTCCGCCATCGAATTCGATACGGTCTCTTTTGTCTTGGGCTTAACTAATTTGGCTAACATATTACTAATAATTGGATCGACGCGACAATTCATTTGGTTACAGTTGTTTTACTGTGGTCTACAGGTAGTTTTACAGCATTTTTTATTGAAAAAACAATAAAAAATAAAAAAATAAAATTACAAAAACTTTGTTTACATTTTTTTTTGAAATTGTAATTTAAAATTTTAGCACTTTGTGTCACTTTTCAAGGCCTCTTTGTTTGGCATAACCTGGTTCATCCTCAATATTCTCGACTTTTTTGGTCTCGACATTCAAAACAATTACATCTACCCAGACTTGTTCGTGTTTCATAAAGGATTGGCAATGGGAATGGCAGTCTTCTTCATCATGGAGACCTTCTTTTATCAATTTCATATTGCCATTGTTTATCGCAACTGTATATTGTTGGAGACAATTCATCAACATATCATGGAGAATCGGCAAAGACAGGTGGAATCGACTGGTCGACGAAATACTGGCAATTCGTTTGATACGTTTTATGAAGATGTACGATAAAATGTACGGTGATTTGAGTATTAGGTTGAGGAATGAATTGTAATTACATTGTTATGTTGTTTTATACTGTCTTCTTTACTATTATGCCATTTATACTGAATTTGATGACATTTTTATAACATTTTGTATATACATATAATAAAATTCATTGTCAATGTTTTCTTACTTTAATATAAACCAACATCAATATAAAAAGCTCTTGTTATAAGCAACATAAGACCTAATTTTCTTGTTGTTACCTATATCAAAAGACTCGGACCTTACATGGTATATATTGCCCTACATATAAGGCTACATCAATATACTCACAACATATTATAATAGTAAGCCTACTAAACTCTATAACACAAGATTAGAGTAAAAAACGGAAAAACTGTAACACAGCAGACCACTATACGGAGTAATGTCGCAACGACCGCCAAGTAATCCCCTTCTTGTTTTGTTAATTGTTTTCCGGCGAAAATCGCCGATGGCATCGAAAACTGAATGGGTTACAAGAGAAGGAGATGTCTTACAACATTCGAACGTTTTCCGGTACTTTTACTCCTTTTTCTGTCATTAATTGGTGGCTTTTTAAATGCTTCTGTTTCTTGACATTTTTATTTTGACCTGCTTGTAGTAGAACTGAAAGGGGCTGACACATGTGGGTCTGAAGGCTGGGGTCCAAGCCAAGGCTCATTTACAAGTCTAGTCTGTAAGCATTTTTAAAATCTTAGTTTTATAAAGTTTTCATCAATTACAAATCAATGCCTGAAAGCTCTTCAAGGCTTCAGACCGTCGTCGGAAGCCTGTTTAGGCTAACAAGGAAAGTGCCCGACTTGCCCCGCTCTGATTGACTTCCAATTTTTTATATAGAAAGATCATGTAAATATACGATCTTCAGCAAAGTACTAAATTGCGTTTTGCAGGAAATCTCAGAAAGTCAAGATTAAAAAATGACATTTGGAATTTCCCTCCAAATTGGCATAGTGTTTCAAGCTTGTAACTTTGTCATTTTTTGCTTTTTAATAATTTTTCTTTAATATACTAGTATGAAACCTTTAAATGAACCTACGTTTTTAAATTTGTAAGAGAATCTTGTCTGGAAAGCCCAAAAAAGTGTTTGAAACACAATGCCAAATTTGCCAAATTGGCGAGAAACCCAAATAATTAAAATTTAAAACTCAAAAGCGCGAGCTAAAATCTTTTATGGGTCCTATTGGGGGTATAAAGAAATCATATAAAAATTTTGAGTCGATTCTGAGCGGGGCAGGTAGGGTACTTCCCTTGAAAGCAACCGATTTGCCATAGTCACTGCACACTGTTATCTTAAATTAAAAAAAAAGTTTATAATTTTTTGAAATAATTTCTGAACCTAAAGCCTTTTTATTTCATTAACAAAACAGTTTTTATTCAAAAAAATCTTACGCCAACCATCGACATTTTGTGAGTAATTTCGGTTGATTGCAACATTCGGTCTCAGCGACAATTACATAACCTGAGGCAATTAGAGGCCCTTCTTCTGTAATTGAATCTGACTTTTGTCGCGATTGTAACTCCTAATTTCGCTTTTTCCCTTTTGTTCCCTTTCGAATATTATCCATCAGGAAGGATGATCACGTCGTTATAAAATTGGCGGTAATGAAAGGGAAAGAGTGTTGAGAGGGTGGAGGTGGGAGAGAAATATAGAGATTTAGAGGATATTCAGAGTAGAATGAGAGAAATTAGAGAAACATTGAGGTATGTAAGATACACAGACTAAGAGTGAGAGAGTCGAACAGAAATGAGAGAAAAACAAACATTAGGTGGAAAAGTATACAAATAAGGTAACATATATTACTATGTATAACATATTTTGGCAAAAATATTTTTTTTTACTGTACGAAGGGCTTTACTGTTGTAAGTTAAGCTTTTTTAAACCTTATTTAATTATTTTTATTTTACATCGTACCTAAATTCAAGTTGGCATAGCACGCCTATTCTTTGTCAATTTTGTTACCTAAAATCTCTATAAAATCAATTTTAAACATCAAATACTCTTTAGTCTGTACTGCTTTCTAATTAACACAATCGTTTTTCTACACTCTAACAAGATACCACAGTAAATGAGACAGTCAAACAGACAGTTGCAACGATAGTGTCATCGTCTGTTGTCGTATGTTGCAATAGGCGGTTTCAGTGGGCGCGTGAAAAAAAGTTTTTTTCCTTTAATTTATCCATTTATCTTCTCCATTGTACACAGACTGTAATGCTTTATTGCGACGCTTTAATCATTCCCAACGCGTTCAAAAATCGCGGATTCTGTAGGTGTCAGTTATGTTTCAGGCGGTTGTTGTGGTCGGGTGTCAAGAGTGGGGTAGGAGTAGGGTTAAACTAAAGTCAGGGTAGGGCCTTTGAGTATAAGTTGTTATTTTATATTGAAAGATGGTTGATTTTTGTCAATTAACAAGTTATATATCGACATGAAAAGAGGCCCACTAGAGCCGGGCGCCAAGGGGTTGAGCCCAAACTAAGGCCTCGAGAGCTCGGTTTAGGTCTCGCAACAAAAGCTGTGACTTGCAAAAAGAGTTTCGAGCGATTTACTTCAGACTAGTTTTTAAATTGTTTTAAAAAATTAAAATTGTTAATTAATGGTTATTTAGGGCATAAAAGCAGTATTATACAAGTTGTCCCAGTTATTACGTTAATAAGTTTATATAAAGTACCGGGCCGGAGCTAACAATTTGTAAGCAAATGTGAAAAAAAGACGTCCGGACCGAAAAATTGAAACCAGCCTGGCTACTTTACGGGAGTGGTTATATAAGGGTTTTTGTTACCTTTTTTTGTTAATAACGGTCTTATAGTGTGCAGTTATCTCTAGTAGAGGAAGTTTTCTGGTCGATTTTGTGACTAACGTTTTCTTCAGTAAAGTTGGCTGTAAAGAGAGTATGTTGTATAAAAATAGTTGTTAATAGTATTTTAAAATGCTTTTCTGACTATAAACTGACAAAATTTTAAAAGAAACGGCCGAAAAAACTAGACTTTCTGACCAAACATAGGTGTAAGTTGCTAGTCAATCCTGTAGATGAGCCAAACTTGGCCTAAAAATTTGGTCTAGTCTTTACCTAGTACATGGTAATTAATTTTGCAAATTAAGTATCTTTTTTGTAAGTATTATTATCTCTTGAAATGCAAATTTTTTTTCATATTTTTAACTTTTTGTATCTACGTACTAGGTTGTTCACATAATTCTGTGCTTTTTCTTAAAGCACGTTATTGTGGTTAATAGCTCAGAATTATTTAAACAATCTATTTATTTAAAGGCTTAAAAGCTATGATCAAAATACTGCCTTACAATACTAATTACCTTTTTTTGGTCGAACAGATGATTAATAATCACAACTTTTTGCATCCAATCCCCCTCCCTTTTCATTAAATCGAATATTTATCGAATATTCTTTGTCTTGCGGCTCAAATGAGGCGACAAAAGGAAGGCGACGTTAAATGACTTGTAACCGTGAGGAAAGTGCTCTACAGTCAATCGAAACATCTGCTATTATCCTCTTTGCTTGCGTCTTTCATTGTTCGCCTACATTCACACTCTAGCCTTTTTTGGTAATACCGTTGAAACTTTTTTCATTTTTTATGATATGGGGGTGGATAAATAGGTAATGGTACGGAAGGGTTTGAAGTGACGGCTTATTTTTGTATTGTGGCACGGTCTGGCTTTTATCAGGGCTACCCTGCTCTTCCATGACACCTTAACGTCATTGAAACCTTAACTGATACTTACCTTGACACCTTATCATCGCCAACTCCTGAACTGATGCCTTCGTACTGTAGCTTTACTTTCTAGACTGTTGACAAAACTTTTATGACGTTTAAAAGCCATTGTTGATATCCCAAATCTGTCTATGATAAACCTAGTCTATCCATGAGCAAAACGTGTTTATACCTTTCGAACTTTTTCATTACGAACATCGTTCTCACCGTTCTTTCACAGTGGGATGCCCGCATTCTTATGCAATGTATATATATCTTTTGATTATTGTAGCTGTTTTGTCATTACCTTACTCTAGACAGCGGATTCTGAAGATTGTTACGATGCTAGGGTTAGGTTTTGGTTTTTAAAATTTTTTTGTAAAGAAAGTTTTTGCAATTTTACGGTTATTTGCAAGTTTACGGAATAGAAATTACTGTCTATGAGTTGTAAGAGATCTTGTAGTTACTTCTGTATGACAAAACTGTTATAACAGTTTTAAAAAAGTCTGTCGAGTACCGTTAGGAATTAAAATTTTTTTAAATTTTAAATACGCTTAAGAAGCCACAAAAGTCTTGACGTTATTTTACACTGCTTTTAACGTTAAAAGCGACAAGACTTTTGTGAAATCACTTAGGTCGTTCATATAATTCTGTACTCTATCTCAAAGCAAATGTTTGTTTTTAGAGAGCACAGAATTATTTGAACGATTTAATAATTTAAAACTTTTTCAAAATTTCAAAAAATTTAAAATTTTTGCAAAATTTAATTTTTTTAATCTGCAGCAACCAAAACTTATGACATATTATCCATGTTATCCACGAATCCAGAATCTGATTGTTTTTCGGTTCGCTAAAATTCCTTTCACTTTCCGAACATATTGTAGTTGCTTCAATTTATCCGGTTACCATCTCGTTTTGTCGTTTTCGAACCGTTCGTCTGCCCATTGCTGGATTCGACGATGAAATCGACCCGTTTTTACTGTTTTTATCACTTTTTTATTAGAAAAATTTTTTGACAATCTTTTTTAGAAATTCATTTTATGGTGGTATAGAGGTACTGTAAATATTTTTTTTTTTCACTTTATGATACTGTAAACAAATTTTTTCACTTTATGATACTGTAAACAAAGTTTTTTCACTTTTAAAGCTTGATTATATCCTTTGTTTATATTATTCGGTTGTTTAAATAATTATGAGCTAATTAATCCTGAAAATTTCCTTGGCGCGCAGCTCAGACTTATTAGAACAACCTAATATATTTGTGTTGATTTTAAAATTCTGCTCATTTTGGCATACTGTATTTTAAAATTTTTAAAAAATATTTTTTTTTTGTAAAATACACGTTAACTTCTTCACAATTGATTAAATTTGTTTAATTTTTAACTTTAGAGACTTCGAAAATGGAGTCGGCCAAACTGGACTCGGCCAGAGAGAAAGCCTACAAAATAGTGGCCTGGTCGGCGGTTTGCTTTTCGTTAGTTGCCGTGCTTGCTGTATGTGTCACCATGCCCATTGTGTACAACTTTGTGCTTCATGTACAACAACAAACAAAGCACGAACTGGAGATTTGCAAAGTAAGCCTAAGGGTATCAAAAATCAAATTTTAAAAAATTTTAAAATTTGATAAAATTGTAGTTTTTTTCAAACTTTAAAGCTCTGTTTAGTTCACAAAGTTTAAAACCACTTTAAAAACAAGTAATTTTTAAAATTTTTTTGAAAAAAGCTAAAAATCTATATTGTTATAGACCTCAGCGCGTGATATAATGTCAGAAGTGAGCCGGAAAAGGCCACGCCATCAAGAATCCTTTGGTGCTATTCTTGCCGCTGCCTCACAGAACCGTACCAAACGTTACGCCGAAGAAAAGGGCTATGGTGGCTCTAGCACGTGCGATTGTAAGTTATTACATTATCTATACTTACAGCTAAAATCTTATGATTGCAAAAAACCACGGGTTTCAAATTTTATTTTAAAAAAAGATTTAAAAATGATTATTCACATTATTAAAAATTTTAGCCTGCTGCATTCCCGGCCATCCCGGCAGACCAGGACCACCAGGTCAACCTGGTCGCCCCGGTACTCCAGGTGCACCAGGTCGTCCCGGTGCTCCCGGACGTCCACCAATCATCTGTGAAGAACTCGACATTCCACCATGCAATCCATGTCCGCCAGGACCACCTGGCCCACCAGGACCAACCGGACAGCCTGGCACTCCAGGCCGACCTGGACCCCCTGGTCGTCCTGGCACTTCGGGACAACCAGGTGCACCCGGACCAAACGGACCACCTGGCTTGCCCGGAACAGCAGGACCAGACGGAGACAAAGGAGAACCGGGAAGACCAGCCGTCTCGACTCCACCAATACCAGGAGAGCCAGGAGCTCCAGGTGACGCGGGACCAGAAGGACCACCCGGACCAGACGGTCCACCCGGAAGAGACGGTGCTCCAGGACAAGGTGGACCAGAAGGACCACCCGGTGCTATCGGTCCACAGGGACCTCCAGGTCAACCAGGACAGCCTGGATCTCCTGGTGCACCTGGTCCCCAAGGAGAACGTGGTATCTGTCCTAAGTACTGTGCTCTGGATGGCGGCGTTTTCTTTGAAGACGGAACGCGGCGTTAGAAGACTACATTAACCTTGACAAACCTAATCTTTTTCTAACCTGACATGTCATAAACAATGGCATTCGTCGTCCAAAAACAGCAAAATCTTGGTTTTTCTAATAATCTTTGGCTAGTCCACTCTCTCTTTGGGTAGCTACCTTTGTTCGGCTAGAACTTTTTCTAGTCTAGCTAATATGTCTATGACGTTTTGAAATTCAAAAATAATTTGAAATGTTTTGTTATTGCAACCTGTCTGTGAAATAATTGTAAAAATCGTGTTTACTCAATAAAGTTGATTTAAAAACGTTACCTAAATCTAGACCTAAAGTTTAGAGAATGTTATCCATGATTCTAAAACAACAGAAAGTAAAACATTTTTCAAATTAATTCTTGAAAGATTGAAATATACTAAATATTATGTAAAAGATCTTTCAATTAAATGAACTTGAATCACATCAAATTTTCCACCACTTGGAGCAAGCCGAATATTCACCATCTCAAAGAAAAAGACGAAAACCAATACCTACATTTATTATTTTTTGGTCCAATTCAAACGAATCAGTTGTTAAAGATAAACTAATGCCTTAGCTTCAATTTAAGCCTAAATACATCCATCTAAACTTGCATTAATTACCTAAAAAAACAAAAAAGACAAAAACCAATACCTACATTTTTCAGCTCATTGCTTCTTGATCTTCCGGCGGACTCCCGCTCATTTCCCCGTGTTTATACCTTGCTTTTCAAAACTTCAAATCCTTAAATAACCTTAAGGACATAAAAAGCAACAAAAAATCAACAACAATATTGTTCTTTTTCAAAAAACAGATTTAAAACCGATTTTTTGAGGAACTGATATTTCCGGTTCGTTTTTGACACTTTTCGGTAGACTTTGGCTAGAAAAAGGTTCTTATAGCAACTGAAGGGGTATCTAGATGATAAATGTGATAAATAAAAAAAAATAATTGAAAGCCAAAATAAAATAAATAGTCGTTTATTTAGCTAAATTTATTTGCGTTAAAGGTCTGACAACCAAACGCACGTCCAGGTTACGCTTCTGCACATTCATGCGAACCTCGTGATAGTAGGTGTTATAACGGCATTTGTTACCCAAACGCTGTGAAATTTTTTTAGCAAAGTCTTTGCTAATGAACTCATCATGGATATAAAAGGTTACAACCAGACCATTCTTCCTGTCCAACTTCTCCAACAACCTGATCATAACGCCAATCTTGACGTAGAATTGAGGTCTTTGAACTGAAACAAACAAGTTTTACAGTTGTACTATAAAGTATTCGTACTATCTTTACAAAAGCTTACTTTTTTTGAAGTTCTCGTACTTCAAGTCCAATAACTACAGGGAAGGGAAAACGTCAAAAAGGTTGCGGAGAAGTGAGGTTCCATCAAACTTATCAAAGTCTGGTCTTTCAAAATCTACAGTTGTAACTGATGGCAGCACAAGCTTGTCACGCTTCAGCTCGTCCAGATACTCGTGGTGTGAAAATTTTAAATATCTCACGTTTGCTTGTTTTAATGGCAGCCAAGCTGAAAACAAACAATAAGGCTAGAGCTGGGGCTAGGACTAGGCCTTGTACTAAGTCTCTACTAGGGCCTTGGCTTAGGGGCTATGGGCTCCGGGTGAGATGCTATGGGCTCCGGGTTTGGATTAGGGCTTCATATTGTCAAACACTTACACGAGTAATTGAACCTTGCTTTGCATAGACATAAGCGTTCGATTTTCATACCCAAAAAATGGCTCAGACATTCAGGAGTGTCAACTTGCAAGACTTCAGTCATAGAAGCCAGCTTGTTGTAGAAGTCGACAAATGGTGCAATCAGCGGATATTGATGCATCGAAGAGACCGTAATTACAATTCTTTTGAAAGTTCCTAAAAACAATGCTACTATAACAGTTAAATTTGTTTTCTTTGAATTAAAAAAATTTTAAAAAGTTTAAAAAAATATTTTACAGTTTTTTCTATATAAAAACGATACGTGGCGAGCAAATCAAGTAGACAAGGGGTCCATTCGCATGTATCGTACGCATTGATTTGAACACCAACAAAATAGGGTTCGGAGTTAGCGAGTGGGAAATTTGCTACCAACTTGTCCAAGCTTTCGTGATACCTTTTGGTCCTTCCGTCAAAAGTCTCAAACACGATGTCGAGGTTGAGTGTGGGGCTGGTAATAATGATGTAGAAGAAGAAGGCATCCTTTATAAAAGCATTGTATTCTTCGTCGGTCTAAAAAGAAATTGATACACTACTTTAACTTCACCTAGCTTATGTATACACTCCTTAGGCCTATCATCTCTTAATCAAATTCAAAGCTTAAATATATCAAAAACTATCTTGAAATGACTTAACTTAGCAGCTTGATCAGCCACAGCAATGGCTTGAACTTCGCCCATCAGATAATCCTCATACCCAAAATTCGGAACTTCAATAGTCTCAGTCGCACACATCTGTACAAGCTCTGCAATAGCATCCTTATCCATTTTTAGAACGTTATTCACCGTCTGGAGAATCTTATCCATCTGGAGAACCTCATCCATCTGAACATCTTCATCCACCTCATCATCCTCATCAACCTCATCTACCTTTACATGATCCCCCTGACCATATTCATCAACCTGATCCACTTTCACATGATCCACATGATCAACTTGAGCATCCTCATCAACTTTATCAACACGATTAGCCTTGACCCTACAACTTTCAGGGACAGGCCGTGACTGAAATTACAGCCCATTGTAGTCACGATCGTCCAGATGGAGCACACAAGAAGAAATGAGAAGAAAACGACTTTTTTGATTTTAAATTTTCAAAATTACGTGGAGCTTTCGAAATTGTTTTTGAAAAAATTAAAAATTTTGAAATTATGCAAATTTAAATAAATTTAGAGCGGTGTTTTTTTAAAATAAAGGAAAAGTGTCCCACTACTTTTGTTTCAACATATATTGTAAGTTTTGAAACTAAACCCTCAGGCAATAACCAAAACTTAAAAACAATTTTTAATTTTTCATGCCCAATTTGGTCGGAATTGAGCTTTTTTATACCTAATTTGAAAAAGAAATAAATTACTTCTGACTCGTGCTTGACATAATTCCGATTTTTCACCTGGTCTTGACTAGAACCTGGCCACAATATGCATGGCCTTATTAAGCAACTGAAAAAAGTTATCTTACAAGGCAAATGCCCTATCTGACCAATTGACTTCAAACTTTTTATATAGTAAGATCATGTCAATTTAACGCCCTCAGAAAAGCCATACATCGCGGAAATCTTGAGAAAATCGAAACCAGAAAATAAAATTTTAAAGTTACCGCCAAATTAGCATTGTGTTTTAAGATTATAACTGTAATTTTTTGACTTTTAGAAATTTCTCTTTGATATGCTAGTAGAAAACCTTTAAATAAACCTACACTTTTAAATCTGTAAGCGTGGCTTGTCTGGAAAATCGAAAAAAGTGCTTGAAACACAATGCCAAAGTTGCCAAATTGGTGGGAAATTCAAATATTTTAAACTTAAATCTCAAAAAGGCACGCTAAAAAGTTTTATGTGTACTATTGGTGGTACAAAAAATTCGTATAAAAATTTTGAGCTGGTTTTGACCGGGGCAGGTTAGGTATTTTCCTTGTTAGTGTCTGATAGGTAAAAAACAAAAAAAAATATTTAAAAGCCAAAATGAAATGATCGTTTATTCCAATAACATCAAACTAATCGTATTAAATGTTCACATCCAACTGCAACGCGACGTTAGGCTTCTTCACTTTTAGTAGGAGAACATGAAAATTTATTGCATGTTAATTAGCACTGCTAGACAAGTCATTAGTGCAAAACCAAAAAAAAATTTTTTTTTATGTACACTGTGTCGTCTGAGCTTGCTCGAGTCTTACAAAAAACCTGTTTTAAACACATAGGAAGTTTTCACATCCAACTGCAACGTGACGTTAGACTTCTTCACTCTTAGTAGGAGAACATGAAAAGGCATTAAATAATAGCATTTGTAACCCAGATGCTTTGAAATCTGGTCGGCAAAGGCTTTACTAGTTAACCTGTCACAGTCGACACTGAAACGAACAAAAACATGTCTTTGCTTCCAGTCTAATTTCTTCAGGATTCTGAACGCAATACCAATTTGAGTGAACAATTGAAGGCTGGAGGCTGAAACAAACAAGTTTTACAGTAACACATTTGAAATGATTAACTTATGGTACGATGTTGCGTAATATCAAATTGAACCAAAAGTAGTGGGACACTGTTTTATTTATTTTTCAGCTAAAATGTTCCGCTACTTTTGGTTCAAACTAATATTTAAGCGCCTAAAAGGTTTTGTAATCAATCTGTGAGATTCTACACGTTACAAAACGACAAGAATTTTTTCGACACTATGTTATAGTATATATATTTATTTTTTTGAGTAGCTACCGTAGCATTAATATATAGTAAAAATCAATACCTATAAACACTTACTTTCATCGTGGTTCTCGTATTGAAGCTCTAATTTTTTGACGGCAGGGAAAGCATAAAAAAGCTTGTCAATCGAGCTTCCGTCCAAAGTTCTATTGTCTTGGTAGAAACAAACACTCTCAACTGACGGCATCACAAAAATTTCGTACTTTAGCTCTTCCAGATAATCGTAGCCAGAAAAATCAACCTCCCTCACTCTTGTGTATTGCAATGCCAGCCAAACTAAAAACGAAACAATAAGACTAAGGTTAGAACAAGGCTGAAAGCCGAGGGGTGTTTTGTGCAACTCTCTAGTAAGGCTATGGCTAACAATTGTAAGGCTAGAGCGGTGGGCTAACAAGAGCAAAAACAAGGGCCGTTCTTCAGATTGTGGGACACTTAAAATGCCTTAGGTATTGTGGTTGGATTAGATTTGTGTTCGATTTCCATGTCCATGCAATGCCTTAGAAACTCAGGATTTTCAACTTGCAACAATTCAGTAATAGTAGCCAGCCTTTTGTAGAAATTGACAAAAGGCACAAACATCGGATCTAGATGCCCCGAAGTGAACGTAATGTGAATTCTTTTGAAGTTTTCTGAAAAAAGAACTTCTATAATATTGAATGCACTTTTAAAAAAAGTTTAATTTAATTTTACCTCTGCTTGTATAAACAGTTAAAAAATGTTGAAAAAACTAAAAAATTGCGGCCCTGGCACCGGGCCCGTTTATGCCCTGCCCGATGCAGAGCTTTTATTTTTCGGGCCCTCCCGGTCCCGGCCCTGGGGCCGGGTCGGGCAAAGCATTTACAGGGCTTTACAGGGTTTACAAGGTATTTGTAAGTTATGCTTACAAAGCTAATAACACCTGAAATAAACTGCTTTATATCTACCCGACCTCATCTTTGACCCTTTTAGCCCTACCAACTTCACCCCTGACCTTTTTAGCCCTACCAGCCTCAAATTGGTAGAGTTGAAGTCGGGTAGGGCTAAAACGTTTATAAGTGAAGTGGAGTAGGTAACATTACTTGTTAGACACTCAACAATTCTAAATTGATTTTTTTTTTCATATATGAAAAAAATTTTTACCGGGCATTTACAGTTACCGGGCACAAAGCAAGCCCTTCCCGGTTACAATGATGTGCTCTGCCCAGTAACTGATCGTGAAAATAGGCCCTGACCTGGCTCGGCCCGCCCCAGGACCGGGTCGGGTCGAGCACAGAGGCAACGCCCTACGTCCAAACTTTCTTCAAACCCCCGCCTCACAAATTAAGTTCACTTATCCAAGACTTACTCTCACAGTAAGCGGCGACCATATTAAGTTGAGAATACGTCCATACGCATGTATCGTACACATTGACATAAATAGTAATAGGATCGGCGAGAGACGTGAAGAATGGGTAATTTGTCATTGCTTCCACGGTTACACGGTATTTTCTGATAATTCCATTATTATGTTCAAAAACCAAGAAAAGGTCATACATGTTGCTGTCAATAGTGATGTAGAATTTGTACGGAGACTTCCAAAACGTTCCCTAGAAACGGAGACTTCCAAAACGTTCCCTAGAAATTGGCGCCCTAGAAATTAAAAACTTATACACTGCACCTGAGGTAAAGATCTAGCATTGCAACACTAACTTGCAAGGAAAATGCCCAACCTGCCCCGCCCTGATCGACTTCAACCATATTATATAGAAAGAACATATAAAAATAATACCCTCAGCAATAATAGATTGCGCTTTCAAGAAATCTTGAAAAAATCAAAATCAAAAAAGGAAATTTTAAATTTTGCGCCAAATTGGCATTGTGTTTCAAACTTATAACTTTGTCATTCTTTGACCTTTGATAATTTTCCCTTGATTATTAGTAGAAAACCTTTGAATGAACCTACATTTTAAAATTTGTTAACGCAGCTTGTCTGCAAAATCGAAAACAGTGTTTGAAACACAACACGTCATCCCATAAGAGGAAATAAAGACAGAGTGACATTTCGTGTAAAAAACGATGCAAAGTGTGAAATTCTATTTTTTGTAAAAAATTGTTTGAAATTGAGCGGCCGGAATTTTGAAAATGAAATTCGTTTGTGTTACACTTCTGGGGTCTTATCTGGACAATTCTTTGACGGATCAAGACCATCTTAACCTTCAAAGGACCGCCAAAACACAGAAAAATTTTAAATATTAGTTACAGCACAAAATTTTATTAAGTTTAACTAATATTTGATAATTTTACACATTTTATTCAACATTTTAAATATTTATTTTATTTTTTGAATCAATATTTGAGAATTTTGAGTTAACGAAATGCCACGGTCACCTTATTTCCATTTTCTTTTATTTTGGCATGATGTGCACAATGCCAAATTTGCCAACTTGGCGGAAAATTCAAATATTTTAAATTTAAAACTCAAACGCGCAAGCTGAAATTTTTAATGGATACTATTGGTAGTACAAAGAATTCGTATAAAAATTGTTGAGTTGATTCTAAACAAGGCATAATACTTTCCTTTATAGTAGTTTGATCCTAAAATTCCCAAAACTACGTTTACACGACTTACATGGTAAACATTGGACTTAACTGACGATTAGAGGGTTAGCTTCACGACTTACATTACAACCCATCGTAGCCGCCGCCAGTTAGGTGGTGGACTACCAAGGTAAAATGAAATGAAAATGATTTTTTTTGGTTTTGAATTTTTAAAAACTAAAAAAAATAAATCAAAAACTAATTTTGAAAAGTTTGAAATTTTCGATTTACGCAAAATAAAAAACTTTTACTGTATATATATAAAGGCCATCCTGCTTAAACGAAACCAATTTTTAATATAGCCATCATTCGTAAGAAATTCCTTGAAAGAGTTAAAATTTACTATATTAATATCGATAAGAAATCTGATAATAGACTGATCGATTTCGATTAAAAGCTACAGCATCAGTACTATTAGTACCGGTCACATCTTCCAACGATAGTACTAATGGTTCAGCCGGCGTTATCCAATGCAATGTTTCAGGCTTTGAGCCGGCTAAACATTCGGTCCAGACAGGCACGAACCAACGATTGTCGACCAGCTTTATCATCCTTCCAACCTGTGACAGAGTAAAAGTTTGGTTGTGATGATCATAATCGATAAAGACGAGTGGCATACTGCTTGTGTAGAGCCAGGATTTTAAGAATTTTAGGGCGTCTAGGGCTCGCTGTAAAGAACGTGGTATATTTTGACATTAATGTACGTTTTAACTATTATATATACTAAACAAACAGGCACAAACACCATTTTTCAACCCCAGCCCCCCAACCAAACTTTTCCACCCAGTCCTGGCCGCCACTTACAGTAATTTCCAAGACGATTTCCAAAAAGTCTTCAGTAGTAGCCGCTTTGTACTGATATCGTTTGACGTATGCTTGCAGTGCCAGCTTGAGCTTATCTTCTCCGATGATGCTGCTCAGCATCTCCAAGATAGATGAAGCTTTAGTGTAGGCAATATCCGGTAGATTTAAAGCCCAGCTCTTGTCAACGATAGGTAATATTGACATGTCCCAGACCGAGTCGAATCTAAAGTTTTAAGGCATTGTGCTATACTTTGTACTAGGTATAGTCATTGTAATTCACTTTGTGCTATATACATGTATAATATAAAACCAAAGAATAGAATAAACATACACAATAGGACGTGTCCTAGACAAAAACGTAGTAAATCCTTCAGCTAGCCAAACGTGGTCCCAAAATTCCTTAAATTGAAAGCAAATCATTATGTTATTTTTGATTGTCAAATGCTTACCATTGTCACTAAATTTCCAAACCTGAAATTTTGTTTTTTACACAGTAAAAGTTTTTATGAGATTAAAAATGAAATCCTTAAAGATACATATTTTAAAAACTTACCATTGATGAGCCAGTTCATGATACAAGGTTTTCATAAATGTGTTAAACTTTTCTTTGTTTTTGAAGTCGAAGTATAACTAAAACATAATAATTTGAAAAAAAAATGATATCAATATATTGAGTTGTTGAAAAATTCAAATAATTCTGTACCCCTCTCAAAGCAAATTTTCGGATTTAGAAAGCACAGAATTATTTGAAAAAACTAATAGCTTTTCAAAAAAAATTTTACCTTGGAAGTTGCACCAATAACCCTCGGCTTTTAAAATATATAGGTTTCGTTTTAACAGACGAGGCATGTTCAGTGCAACCTCTTTTGTAAATTTATGTTTTACAAACAGCCTGGGTCAAATGCTAAAGAAGGTAGAGGAAAATAAAATATTGATATATTTTAAAATAACCCACGTTTTCATTAACAATCAAAAGCCCATGATTTTCCATTCCACGAAGCTTTGTAGGCACTATCATAACATGCAATCGCGCTTTTGGCTCAACTCCAAGGTATTCTATCATGGCTCGCTGAAAGTGTTTGTACCTCACGATTTAAAACTTCGAAGTCAAAGGTATATAAAGCTAAAAAATACCAAAAATTGTTTTTATTCCTCTCCTTTCTTACAAAATATTCAATTTTTTGATCAAACGCTGCCCATCCTAGATATAGAAGGCTGTTTTACGTAAAATAAGTTTAGCACCACCTCATACTCGATATTCGGTCAACAATAATGAAAGTCATACTTGATACTTCCTAATTTGCTCAACAATAACAGCAGCTGTGGCATTCCAGTCATTTCTGTTGTGAAGTCTCCACAAACAGACTTCATCGTTCACTTCTGTAGCTGCCTCACAATAAGATTCAAATTTTCCGACAGAAAACGAAAAGATATAAGGAGGTATGGGTGGAGTAGGGTCGAATTCCCAAATGGTCAAGTTTGAGTTCCAAGAAGTCGTTTTTGAAGGTGTTGCTGATAGGGCTGTTATGCTGGAAAAACTTTTTTTAAATTTGTATCATTTCAAAACATTAGCAGCATCGAACAAGCAATTTCAAGTACAGCAAGATTGACTAGGAAATTACTCAACCTCCACGCTCTTACTTTCTTCAAACATTTTATATAGAAAGATCATGTAAATATCAGATCTGCAGCAAAGCACGAAACCACGTTCTCTAGTCAATCTCGAGAAAAAATTTTAATAAAACATTATATAATAAAAAAGCATCGAGTTATGACCCACCCCCCCCATCTAACTTGACTATGAGGGAACCGATTGGTACCAAACTTGGTATATGCATTCATATAGTACTAAGGACTGTCTTGATATAACGAAGTGTCAATCGGTTTGTGACATTTCGTTTTATTTAAAAAAATGATTTTGCGACGAAAAAAGTGGGAATTTATTTTTGACCCCCTTGTGAAACAGAAAGGGTGTTGCTATGATCTTGTCATATCTTCACAAGAAAAAGGTAAGGCAAAACTATTTTATCATGTAAAGTAGTTTTTCAGTATAAAATAAACGTACCTTTCATCAGCCCATTTACCTTCCAACCAAATCTCCAGTTTAAATGAAGCTCTATATTTAGGTTCATCGAAGCAGGGAAAGATTGTACGAGCATACCGAGGTTCTAATAATGTGTGTATCCACAAGGTTTTACTCTAAAATATTATAATATAAGTTATAAATCCTTACTTTTCCGACCATAACTATTAATATAATCACTATTATTAGTACTATACTAAAACAGCATTTGTAGTATGAATTACCGGTATACCTCGGGCCTGCTTTCAATACCCTCTAACTTACAATCATATCCTTGTTTTTGATCATGCCATTTCTATGTGTATTAAACCTCGTACTGTACCATATACTCAGGTAGTACACATGGCTCTCAATCAACTCATCTTTCAATTTGAACGTCAATGTTTGTCGTGTAGTATTGGTAAAGGGAAACTCTAAAGGTTCGTTTTCGTCCAGCAGCCGGTTTTCTAATAGAGCGTGCTGAAATTTGTTAATAAGGTGATTAATAGCACCTCAGTATGTCAATAAGATAAATTATAGTAACTCAAGTAAGTACCGAATTACTGCAATCAACGTATTTTACAAAATGTCGTTTTAGTGTATTTATATGATATCTTTAAAAAAAACTTTATTTGAAAAATCTTACCTCAACTACAAGAAATTGTGGAAAAGCATGTAAAGTTATCTCTGAGGTCGATTCCGTACATTGAAATTGAATTTGTACCTAAAAAATAAATATTTTTGACCCAAAAGTAATATCAAAATAAAAATCTTTGATCTTTAGTATGTCACGTTTCAAGGCTACTTTAATGTATGATGTAAAATAAAGTAGCTAACATTAAAGTAATATAAAAGTTAGCTATTTACTTTTTAAATCAACCTACCATGCCATGAACTTTGTTTGAGAAAGACTTAAGCGTCAGTGTGATATCGTACTTCATAGGGTTGAAAGAGCTCGGTAAACGATACTCGTGGTCGTAATAGCAATTAACAGTAACAAACAATAATATAGTAAAACACAAACAAAACTTCATTTTTGTATTATTTATCCAACTAGTACTACTCTTCTCTATCTAAACTCCGCTAGTACTACAAAAAATATTTTGCACTTTGTAGCAATTACTGTATTAAAAAGTAGCTCGCTCAGTATTATGTAACAACTAAAATTACAATTTTTGTGTTGTAGTTAGAAGAAAGTGATAGTAAGAGTTACAAAAACAAGAGTGCAAAATCATAAACCATGGCCGATCGCTCAGGAATTATTAAATGGCCAGGGTGCGATGGCCATAAACAAATATTTTTTGATTCGAAGCCCTTTGCTCGTTCGGATTCCGGCTTATCTTGATGTAGTTTTGGCGGTTTTTGAATATCATTTGTTTTATAAGACATTGATCTTTAGTATGGCACGTATTAAATTTTATTTTATTAGACTTTTAGTACAAAAATAGTGTTTAGTACTAAATAGTATCTAAAAATATTTTTTAATACCAAAAGAACTAAAGTTTTACAATATTAGTAATTTTTAAATTAACTTTTTTTGCGATGTTTAGCTCTAAAGCCTCCATATGGCTTTAAATATACGTATTGTAAAAGCGTGATATTATCAAAAGTTTTTTTAAGCCTTGTGATTACAATACAATAACACATCATATAGTATAGAAATAACTATAATACAAGGTTTTTTGTTTTGCCCAAACAATGACTATTCATAGTTTATAATATCAGTTGCACTACAATCAATCATCTTATTCAAAGTGTTCCCTTATCTATTGGGTGCGGTTTAATCATCTTTAATTAACATTACATCAGTCTCTGGAAACTTTCGGTCCAGAGATGCGGCTACTTTTCCTATTGCTTTTGGTTGTAAGTTTGAATTCAAAATTCCAAAAAAATGGTTTTTTAAATTTTTAAATAAAATTTTTTTTTTGAAAAAAAATTAATTTACTTTCATTTTTCTACCACACCCATTCCAGACGACCACCACAGCCTTCATAGGCAAAAACCGTTTCAACAAGCTACGTAAACTTCAAGTTGACCTAGATGCCAACGATAAACACCTCCTCTCAGAAGTGGCAGAACAATGGTTTACCCAAAAACTAGACCATTTCAATGAGACCGATGAATATACGTGGAAACAGATGTTCTACAGCAACGACGCCTTCTACAAGGACGGAGGACCAGAGTTCCTAATGATTGGTGGAGAAGGGCCAGAAAGTCCAGCTTATATTGTCAGAGATGGCATTCCTTTGGTCGAATGGGCCAAGAAGCTGAATGCACGTTTGTGGATCCTAGAGCATCGTTTCTATGGACAAAGTCATCCCAAACCGTGAGTTCAAATTTTGACTTACATCAAATTAAAATTAGGTCTAAATAGATTAAGTTTGAGGCCTAAAAATGAAGTTTTAAAGTTGAAATCAGTGCGGAATTTGATATTATAGTACCCAAACAACAGAAAACCTAAAATACCTGACGAGTCAACAAGCCTTGGCTGATTTGGCCAACTTTATCAGATCAAAGAATGACGAGTTACAACTGACCAACCCAAAATGGGTCGTATTTGGAGGATCTTATCCTGGAGCTCTGGCTTTGTGGTTCCGAGTACTGTATCCTGAACTTACAGTAGGAGCTGTCGGGTCATCAGCCCCACTGGATATTCAAATGGACTTTTATGGTATGTTAACTATAATTAGTAATACGCCGGGCCAAAAACCTCAAGCCAATCAAAAACTTTAGGCCCGATGCGCCAAATTTTGCTCAAGCCCGGGAGGATTCCTAGGTCTATTACTTCATGCCATTTTCAGGTTACCTCAGAGTATGTCAAGAAGCTTACCGTTCGTATAGTCAAAAGTGTGCTGACAATATCGGCAAAGCCTTCAGGCATTTGAGACAATTCATGGACTTCAAAAGAGGCCGAAGCCGATTGGAAGACGCCATGCATGTGGAGCCATTATTCGAAAAACAAAACCTGACATTCACTGATCTACAAAACTTTTACGGAAATGTCTTCGGAATGTTTCAAGGTGCTGTACAGTACAGTAGAGTCAATGCTGTCAGTTTGTAACTACTTTGAAAAAACTTTTTCTTAAATATAGACCAGAACCTATAACAATATTACCTTATATTGGGCTCTTACTCCTTAAAAATTGAGTTGGTTCGATCAAAAACCTAGTATAATCCAGCTACAATAATATCCTCCTATTTCAGGGTGGCTATCCTACAGGAGGAAGTATTCCAGACGTTTGTAAGATAATGGAAGAACCCGTCTTCTCTCCAGTTACCCACCTGATCAATGTCCATAAATACATGGTTGAATTCGAAAGAGAATCATCAGATGTGTTCGACGATGACTACGAAGGAATGATCGAATATCTGAAAAACCCAGACTTTGGAAAATACGGATATTATAGTGGTAGGTTCTTCAAACTCAATTTTTTAAGATAAAGGACCAATATTATTTAAATTTAGCGATAAAGAGGTCTAATTTTTGAGTTAACAGCTAGTAAACGGTCTAGTCTACATGACTAATCCAATTTATGTCCCTGATTAACCCCATTTGTACCATGTTTACCTTTTTGGAAAGATAACTTACGATTTATGAGGCCATATCAGCTGGATCAATCTGTTTTGGTGCTTGAGAAGCCATAGAGTCGATGTTAGTACAGTTTAAATCGCTCTAAATAGTTTAAAAATTAGATCAAGGATAAAAAATAAATTAAAAACACGTAAAACAACCCTATAATTACTAGTATTCGCAACATAACTCATGTTGAGTTCACAATATTGCAAGAAAATATTTTATTTATTTTTTCGTTGATTAATATCGGGCGCAGTTTGGTTATTATCTTTTATTTTGTCTCGCAACGTGATGGGATAATCTTCTTCTTCCAGAGGCTAGCCCAGGCTAATATTTTTCTTCCGGTAATTTATGTCTCTTCAAAGACTTGTCTGGTATGAATATTTATAAATATAATTTATTTACTAATTTTAAAAATAACTTTAAAATTTTAGCCGCCAGATCCTGGACTTGGCAAACATGCAACGAATTTGGATATTTCCAATCAACAGCCTTTGAGACGAACATCTTCGGAACGGGAACACCAGCTGACTACTACTATAATATGTGTACGGACATCTTTGGCAAGGAATACAATGTTGACTATGTTAAAGCAGCTACCAGAAGAACTCAAGACTTCTACGGAGAAGCTGATGAATACAATGTGAGGTTTACGACTTGATTTTTTATTATTTTTTTATGTCAATATTTTTATTTAATTGCTATAACAAGATCAAAAAGAAGCTTTTTAAAGCATAGATTAAAAAACTATACCTACTACAATATATTGAATTTTACAGGGTACCCACGTAGTTATTCCCAATGGTTCCATTGACCCATGGCATGCACTAGGCACCTATGTCAGCGATTTTGAAAAAGATCAGCACGCTTATCTTATTACTGGCTCAGCTCACTGTGCCGACATGAGTGCTCCTGGTCCAAATGACGTTCCTGGACTTGGTCAGGTTCGGTCATTAATTTTCGAAAAGTTACAAGAATGGACTGGAAACAAAGTTTCTGCTCATGACAGTGATTTGAATAGGACTGACAAGAAAAAGGTTGTTAAAAGTGAGGTTAAAGAGGCTGAGAAGAAGGTGAAGATGGAGAAGAAGATGAAAGTGGAAAAGATTGATGTGAAAAACGTTTGTTTTGAATGTGGAGGCAATGAAAAGGTAACATATTTAATGTTCTATCAATTTTCTGATTTTAAAAAGGATTTTTTAATCAAATTTTACGAAAAATCGTTGTAAAATTAGGTATTAAAAGTTTTAAAAATAATAAAATGATGTTTAGAGCTTGCCAAAGGTTCAAGATACGAACAAAAAATTAAAGTTCAAAGGAGGACGTTACCAAGGAATGCCAGGACTTTTGGACCAATCTGAAAATATTTTCTTTGCTGATGACGTTGGCTATCCAAACATATCGGAGTTCAATCAAATTGTTGATCATTTTGATGATAATAATGATCAAACGTTCACTCAAGTAAGCATACATTTCATTTTTTTAAATTTTAAAATTGTTGTTACAGTAATCTATATAAAATTCTTTAAAAAATGCTACAGTAAGCTTGCTAGAAACAATACTACTTTTTAGTACTTTTACTTGAACGAGAAGTACTACAAAGAAGGTGGGCCACTGTTTTTGTTTATTGGCGGAGAAGGACCGCTTGGTACCAAATATGCGTATGATGAACAAGTACCCTTGGTTATGCATGCTAAGGAAGTAAACGCTGCGATCTACGCTGTAGAACACAGGTACTACGGTGACAGTACGTTGACAAAGTAAGTGTTGTAGACGAGTACTATAAGTTATCATATTATCGTTATGAATCGATGACTATTAGGTTGTTCAAATAATCTTGTGCTCCTATTAAAAGCAATTTTTTGGGGTTAGAGGGCACAGAATTATTTGAGCAGCCTAATATGACTTATTTTAGGATTGTAAGGGGATTTTGGATTAGAGGGAAAGAAGGTGATGATTTTTTGTTTTTTGATACTAAGAGATGGGGTATCTATTGCCAAAGCCTTTTGATAAATTTTTTAATTATATTATAATCGAAACTTCAGAGACTTGTCAGTACCAAACCTAAAGTACCTGATTTCACGACAAGCTCTGGAAGATCTGGCTTACTTTATAAAGACAATCAATGAAGCCAAAGGCTACAAGAACCCTAAATGGATCACTTTTGGTGGATCTTATGCTGGTGCTTTGTCAGCTTGGTTCAGAAAATTGTACCCAGACCTAACTGTTGGTACTATTGGAAGCTCCGGTCCTGTGGAGGCTAAAGTTGACTATTTTGGTGAGTAGAAAACGCTAAATTCAAAAAATTGCTAGGTTTTATTGCTGTATATTGTATAGGAATATTTATTATTCAAAACTATTTTTTATCGGGTTGATTATAGTACAAAAGTTTACTATGTAAAAATATATTATATTTAAATAGCAGTAAAGACTTTAAACATTAATTTAGAGTACATGCAAGTCGTGGCGAACTCAACAAGCGCTTGCAAGGACAAGATCAAGGAAGGAATCGACACGATTCAGAAGCAGATCACCAGTGTAGAAGGGCGAAAACTAATCAATGATAAACTTGTGTAAGTCACTATCGGTAGAGGATCTGCTATGCTGATTTTGATTTGGGATGGGAACAGAAAGTAGCCATGAAATTTTATTTGTAACTCGCTTTTCTATGGCTCTAAATTGAATTTAATAAGTTATGTTTCAAGTAAAAAGTTGCTGATATATTTTTATTTTCAGACCATGCGATCCACGTAGAAAATTCGATGCTGAATACATTGAAGCCTACGATGAGATGGAATTCTTCTCTGATTTGGTTGGTCAGTTCATGGGTGCAGTTCAATACAACAAACATGTGAGTTGACAGAAAGCCACATTTTTTAAATATTTAAATGGGGTTTACATTTAGTTTTATTTTAAAACTGAAAGTTTGTTTATCACCTAAAAAAGTATTGGAACCTCTAAAAATGTACTATAATATAGTAATGAAAGCTATCTTTCAGGGTCCAAAGAGTGAAATCAACCAAATATGTAAGATATGGAACAATGACAATTATGATGTATATCGCAAGTTCAAACTCATGAATCCCTGTTATGAATTTGATTATCAGTCTACTATTGATCAGTTTAGTGATATTGAGTTACATGGCAGGTTCTCGAACACAAGGTTATGGTTCTGGCAGACTTGTAATGAATTTGGATATTATCAGTCAACTGACATTGGGTATAACACATTCGGCAGCAGTGTGCCTGTAAAGTAAGTGAATTTAAGGTACTATGTTATTGTAGATATAAAGTTTAGTGACCTATGAAGGCATGATAAGTTTAAAAAAACGTATAAAATTTTTTTTGGGTTTACCATCTTGTTTATTTCAACCGTTCCACAGGAGTAGAGTTAGTTCAATACTATCCTTTACAGCTATTTCATTGGCTGGTGTCACCGTGCTTATGATTCAGTATTTACTCGTGACAAGATAGAGCAAAACATTAAAGAAACCCAAAAATTCTACGGTGGAGCCCGTGGCTACAAAGCCACTAAGCATCTCCACATTTACCACACAGTAGATCCATGGCACGCTCTTGGCTTCTACACTGACAACGAAGATCACGGTGAAGATGTGCGATCGTTCTTAGTCGATGGAACCTCTCACTGTGCTGACATGTACTATCCTAACAAGTACGACCCTGAAGGCCTTAAGGAAGCTAGAAACTTGATCTTGGAAACTATCAAGAGATGGATTAAGTGATATTAAGATAAAGTGTCATATATTAATTATTCATAGATAAAAAAAACGTTTTTTGGTAATATAGTACGTACAAAGGGTAATTTAAAAATTGATATAAAGTATGACTAAAAGGGCATTTTAAAGTTAAAACAAATTGAAAGATAACTAACATTGATAGAGCCGACTTTTTTTATTTAGACTTCTCTTGATTGCGGCAAAAAGTTCAGTTTAACATTAATAATGGTTATAAATTTTAAAAGGCTCTATTATAATATAAATGTTACAATAATTTTTATACATATTATTCAAAAGTTTATGTTAACCTCGAATACAGCATATAAAACGAGTATAATATCAGTTTATTATTTTTTTCTTCATTCAAAGTGTAGTAATGCGCTCGCTTATCTTGTTGTTGGTGATTGTAAGTTTTCTCACGTAATTTAGACAGTAAATGTGATTTTAAGCAGCAGAGTGTGATATTTATGGGTTAAAGCTTGTTTTGGGTCAACATATTTGAAAAAAAAATTTTTTGGTTTTTTGTTTATAATAATGTCAGTAAAACTAATTTTATATTCTAGACAACAACGTCAACCTCTTTTGGCAAGCATCATTTGAACAAGTTGAGAAAAGTTCAACTCAATGTAGATGAAACAGCGTTGAGAGACGTTGAGAAAAGTTATTTTACTCAGAAACTTGATCATTTTGATTTGAAGAACAAGGATGAATGGAAACAAAAATATTACGTAAACAATGTTAACTATGAAGATGGTGGACCAGAGTTTTTGTACATTGGAGGAGAAGGACCGGAACATGGATATTACATTTCGTCGAGGTCAAATTTGAATGTATGGAGCGAGAGAATGAAGGCCAGAATGTGGAGTTTGGAGCATCGCTTCTATGGAGAGAGCCATCCCAAACCGTGAGTTCAAATTTTATATTAATAAAGGTCAAAAAATTTCAAAAATTATATTTTCGGTTGGGTTTGATGCTTAAAATGACGTTTCAAAAAAACCAATTTGAAATATGATATTGAAATTAGTCTACAATATGATATTATAGTACCCAAACAACAGAAAACTTGAAATACCTGACGAGTCAACAAGCCTTGGCTGATTTGGCCAACTTTATCAGATCAAAGAATGACGAGTTACAATTGACCAACCCAAAATGGGTCGTATTTGGGGGATCTTATCCTGGAGCTCTTGCTTTATGGTTCCGAGTGCTGTATCCTGAACTTACAGTAGGAGCTGTCGGATCTTCAGCACCAATAGATATTCAAATGGACTTTTATGGTATGTTAAAATGTAAACTACGTTATATAGATTGTGTATTACTTTAAGCTAATTTAAGGTTACCTCCGAGTATGTCAAGACTCCTACCGGTCATACAGTGAAAAGTGTGCTGACAATATCGGCAAAGCCTTCACTCATCTCCAGCAACTTATGGACGATAGAAAAGGTCGAAACCGATTAGAAGCCGCCCTTCATGTGAAGCCGTTGTTTGAATATCAAAACTTGACATTCACTGATTTGGAGAACTTTTATTTGAATGTCATTGAAAGCTTTCAAGGCGCCGTGCAGTACAATAGGGTTAATGGGGTGAGTTCGACATTACATATAGTAGATTTTTCAAATAATTCTGCGCTCTTTAACTCAAAAAGTGTATGCGATGGAGCACAGATCTATATAAAAAACATTTTTTAATTTTAAAAAATGTTTAGGTTTTTTATTTTTGAAACTTTAAAATTTAGGGAATTTATGAACTTGCTGCCAGCATTCCTGATGTTTGTGAGATTATGGAAGAGCCCGAAGGCTTCCCAGTGAACTATTTAATCAAGGTATATCAATACATTTCACAGTACGAAGGTAGAGATCCAAATGTTTTTAACGATGACTACAACAACATGATCAAAGAGTTACAGAACCCAGAGTTTCATCCTCGCAGTGGTCGGTTTTTTTGAATTAAAAGTTTTAAATTGTTTTGTCAAGATTTTTTCTTGTTTTTTTGAATTTACAGTTAAATATACATATTATTTATTATATATAAATTTATAATTAGGAAAGTTACTGTACATAATATTATATTACAACTACAGAAGAAAGATCATGGATATGGCAAACATGTAATGAATTTGGATATTTCCAAACAACAGCTTTCGAGAAAAACATTTTTGGTACTGGAGCCCCAGCTGACTACTACTATGACATGTGTACGGACATCTTTGGCAAGGAATACAATGTTGACTATGTTAAAGCAGCTACCAGAAGAACTCAAGACTTCTACGGAGAAGCTGATGAATACAATGTGAGGTTTACGACTTGATTTTTTATTATTTTTTAATGTCAATATTTTTATTTAATTGCTATAACAAGATCAAAAAGAAGCTTTTTAAAGCATAGATTGAAAAACTATACCTACTACAATATATTGAATCTTCCAGGGTACCCACGTAGTAATTCCAAACGGTTCCATTGACCCATGGCATGCTCTAGGCACTTATGCCAACAGTTCCGAGCTAGACCAGTATTCGTATCTTATCAGTGGATCAGCTCATTGTGCTGACATGTGTCCACCGAATGAAGCTGACGTTCCTGGACTTGATCATATACGCTCAGTAATTTTTGAAAAACTACAGGAATGGACTGGGAACAGTAGATTTTCATACGATAATGATGTGAATAATACTGAGGAGCATATAGAACAGAATGACAGTGATGGAGACAGAAGACTGCTTGTAAAAAAGGAGGAGATTGACGTGAACAACGTTTGTTTTGGATGTGCTGGCAAGGAAAAGGTAACAAAATTTTAAACTATTAGCTTGTTCATATAATTATGTGCCCTCTAACCCCGAAAATTTGTTTTCAGAGGGGCACAGAATTATTTGAACACCATAATCAAATAAAAAGTAAAAGGTTTTGTCTTCAAAACGAACAAATTTAAAATCTTTAAGCAGTTCCTAATACAAAACTTCTACTGAATAACTTAGTAATATAACCATTTAGTCCTACTCAAATAAAGAAATCTCAAGGTTAGAAGAACTGCAAAGCATACGAAAGATAATGCCACTTCATCGAACAAAAAATTTGGTTTTTGAAAATGATTCTGACTATCCAGATGCTTCTACATTCACACAAGTAGCTGACCATTTTGATGATGAGAACAATGAAACTTTCGTTCAAGTAAGCGACTATTTTAGAAGCCTTATACACCATTTTCGAAACTATTACTTAAACATACGATACAGTAAAATATTTTTACTTATACTAACATTTTTTTTCAAAAACATACAAAATGTACTACTTTTTAGTACTTTTAGTTGAACGAAAAGTACTACAAAGAAGGTGGGCCTTTGTTTTTGTACATTGAAGGAGAAGCGCCGCTAGGAACAGATATGGTTTATGATGAAGACTTGCCATTGGTTCAGTACGCTAAAGAAGTTAATGCTGCTGTATATGGCTTAGAGCACAGAGACTATGGTGACAGTAATGTAACGGAGTACGTCGAAAAGTTTTGGTTTGTATGTTAGTTATTAGGTTGTTCAAGTAATTCTGTGCCCCCTCAACGCAAATTTTTGGGGTTAGAGAACCCAGAATTGTTTGAACCAGCTATAAATAATACTATATTATAATACCAGAGATTTTTAAAAACCATTATATTAAAGGCTGCATACCCATTTTAATACCTCAATAAGGCAAAAGTAGTACTACAAACCTTATTCTAGAGACTTATCATTGGAAAACCTAAAATACTTAACATCTCAACAAGCTCTGGCAGACATTGCCAACTTTATAAAGACGATCAACAAAGCCAAAGGCTACAAAAACCCCAAATGGATCACTTTTGGCGGATCTTATGCTGGTGCTTTGTCAGCGTGGTTCAGAAAAGTGTACCCAGAACTGACCGTTGGTACTATTGGCAGCTCCGGTCCTGTTGAGGCTAAAGTGGACTATTTTGGTGAGTGTAAAAAGGCACAAAGGTAGATCTGTATAGTTGGGTTAAAACCATAACAAAACCAGTAGTAAAATATATTCATGGAGAGGTGATTTACCTAGGTTCCCTTACAACCCTGGAACGTTTGGCTTTCCTTGGCTTCTTAATTTACCAGGAGTACAGGCTGGTCCTAGTGGGTCAGGCATTAACCGCATAATAACCAATATCATCAGTTTTTAGAGTACATGCAAGTTGTAGAAAACTCAACAAGAAACTGTATAGACAAGGTGAAACAAGGAGTCGATACTCTCCAGAAAAACATTACCAGCGTAGAAGGCCGAAAGTTACTTGTTGAAAAACTCAAGTAAGTCAGTCTCCCCGTCTCAAAAGTCCTATCAATTGTAAAACAATGACATTTATAGCATACAAGGCGATATCCAAAAATTTGAAGCAGAATACCTTGATACTTTCGATGAGATGGCATTCTTTGACAATTTGATCGGTGAATTCGCATTTGAAGTGCAATATAACCCACATGTAAGAATATTTCTATAATTTAAAACGACGTAATACTTACCATGCGTGTACTTATTAGGTTGTTAAAATAATTCTGTGCCCTTTCTCAAAGCAAATGTTTGAAGTTGGAAGGTACATAATTACTTGAACAACCTAATATAACGACTACAACACAGAACATTGAAATATAAAACTTACAGGGCCCACACAGCCAAATCGATGTCTTGTGTCTTCTTTGGAATAATGATACAAAAGATATTTATGAAAAAATTGGACAAACGTCAACACTCTTTAGCTTCGATTATGAACAGATTTTAGAATTGTTTAAAGGTACAGAACCGGATAACTTTTACAGGGCATGGATCTGGCAAACGTGTAATGAATTTGGGTACTACCAGTCGACTGACATTGGCTACAACGCGTTTGGAAGTAGTTTACCCATAAAGTAAGCGAAAAGTCATTCACAACACTCTTATGGATAACGGAATACAACAGTAAAATATTTATAAAAAATTGAAATCATAAAGTTATAAAACAAACATCTTATAGTTACTACATCGAATGGTGTCACCGAGCCTACAACTCTTCGTTCACTCGCGACAAACTAGAAGAAAATATAAAGAAAACTCAAAAGTTTTACGGTGAAGAAGATGTACGATCTTTTTTGGTCGAAGGAACGTCTCATTGTGCTGATATGAGACCAGCCAACGAATATGACCCGCCAAGCCTAACTGAAGCTAGACAATTGATATTGGAGACCATTAAGAGATGGATTAAGTAAAAAGCTGTAAATTATCGGTGTAATGTTACCTAAAACATGAGAGAAAAGCTTCATACTACTTTTTTCAATAACCACACAACATTTTGTTAAATGTAACAAAAACTTTTAATTTTTAATAGCAAAAAGATAACATTAAAAAGGGCATATTTCTGCATAATTTTTGTTGACTTTAATGCCTATAAAATGTATTACATCTTTAAAAAATATCATTTGCATACCAAGATAGTAACATAGTAAAACGAACGCTTATTTCCTGCTTTCTAGATCTTTATCTGCAATTTTTGTAAATCCATCATTCCCAAGATGTTAATCATCATATCTTGTTATGCGTGTTCAACTTGTTCGCAAAAAAAAATTAAGAAGATTTAAATGAGACTCAGCAAACTTAATACTGTATCTTCAAAATTAATGTCAATTATATATTTTACCTTTTATTGTTTTTGTGTGAAAGTTGGCTTTAATTTTGGCCAAAAAATTTTAAAAATCAAAATGCACTATAATTTTTGTATTTAAATTTTTTTTCTTTTTTGAAGAGCTACAACTATAACATTAGGTAACAATAAAAAAAACCTGAACAACTTTATACAAGTTGAACCCATCCAGGTAGTTGAAGTTAAAAGAGGTTAATATCCACAACTTGAGACGTCTAAACAAAGAAAGAAAGCACCAATTAGCCCTCAAGTCTTTCAGGTAATTATAAACCGGCAGCGGAGGGTTTGCAACAACAAAACCGAGTTATAAATGGTTTCAGCAACTGCTTCTAACCTTCATAATTGCAATTTTGGGGCTTGGCTTCGGTAGTTGTTGTTGTTTTAAATATTACTTTATAATGTAAATTTTCAAATTATTTTGTATAGCTAGTATTGAATAGTATTGCTTTAAACCAACAAAAAATATTAATTTATACGTCATTCTTATATTGATCATACCTACAGTTCACTGTAAACTAGTGGCGTAGGTATATCTTATTAAATGTTTTTATTTTTTTATTTATAGTTAGTCAACCCTCAATTACTCCAATGTAAATCCGTGAATTTCAGCAAGATTTGGGTATTTCTCGACTTCCGTCACATTAAACTGGATTTTGAAAAAACTTTTATTTAATGCGCGAAAATATAAAATTCAAAAAGCCTGCAAAACTCCAATACAACTGTAACTTTATCAGATCAAGCTTTTTTAAACTGAAGTACAGTATCAATATCTTTAATGCTCATAACATTAAAAATACTGTTAAATTAAACAATAATAAGTGCTAAATGAATACAACCTCAATATCTTCTTTCGACGTATAACATGAAAAAGTCTCGACGTATAATACAGTTGCCTTCGTCTACATCTTCATAAACTGATGTTTATCGAACCTTTTCTTATCATTTACTTTACCCTCAACACACTATGTCACCAACTGTTATGCCATTCACACTCATCGTGTTAATTCCAAAACCCACTAACTCGGCGCAATGTAATATCATTTCACTAATTAATATATCCACGAAACAAGAATTGCGAGTTTTCCCAGAATCTCTGTTTTTTTGTTGTTGAAGGAGATCTCGGCGGCGTTCGGCGGCGCGCTTCGTATCAAGACAGAATCTGAAGCGGAAGAAGCGAAAAAATAAGGGAGGAGGAGAAAAATCAACTCAAAGCCTCCGGCGAAATATCCCACGGGGTATATAAACTCGGAAATGAGGAGTGGAATGATGTGTGCTTGCATTTTGGTTTAGCTAACGAAAAGTGAATGTTTTTTGGCATAGCGACGTCTGTGTTGACTTTTTGAAGATCAGTTTTGAAAATGAAACGTTTTTGACTCGATATTTTACAGTTTTTAAAAATCGTACTATCCAAAATGCCGTGCTATGTAACTTAAAATTAACCCAAGTAACATCTAATTACTCCACTTTCTTTCAGAGACCAATATGGATCTCGAAAACAGAATCAAGGCCTACCGCTTCGTGGCCTACTCGGCCGTCACCTTCTCGGTCGTTGCCGTCCTCTCGGTCTGCATCACCCTCCCAATGGTCTACAACTACGTACACCATGTCCGTCGTCAGATGCACAACGAAATCACCTACTGCAAGGGATCCGCCAAGGACATCTGGTCCGAAGTCACTCAACTCAAGAACATCCCCGTCTCCCAAAACCGTACCGCTCGTCAGGCCGGCTACGCCGATGCGGGAGTTGGCGGAGGAGCCGGCGCAGGCCCATCAGGCGGAAGCTGCGACAGCTGCTGCTTGCCTGGCCCACCAGGACCAGCCGGTACCCCAGGTAAACCTGGACGCCCAGGAAAGCCCGGAGCTCCAGGATTGCCAGGAAACCCAGGCAAACCACCAGTCCAGCCATGTGAGCCAGTCACCCCACCACCATGCAAGCCATGTCCACAAGGACCACCTGGCCCACCAGGACCTCCAGGCCCACCAGGAGACTCCGGAGCCCCAGGACAACCAGGGAACCCAGGAACCGACGCTCCACCAGGCGAACCCGGACCAAAGGGACCACCCGGCCCACCAGGAGAACCAGGACAGCCAGGAGCTCCAGGAGAACCAGGACAACCCGCCCAATCCGAGCCATTGGTCCCAGGAGAACCAGGTGCCCCAGGAGAGCCAGGACCACCAGGCCCACCCGGACCTCCAGGACAACCAGGAAGCGACGGTGCTCCAGGCCCAGCCGGACCAAAAGGACCACCAGGCCCAGACGGAACTCCCGGAAACGACGGAGCCCCAGGACAACCAGGTCAAGCTGGTCCAGCTGGAGCCGCCGGAGAGAAGGGAATCTGTCCCAAGTACTGCGCCATCGACGGAGGTGTCTTCTTCGAAGATGGAACCAGACGTTAAGTCCAGACTGGGACTTGAAGCCGTTTATATTATTTTATTTACTATGCTCAAAGTACAGTATAAAAATGAGAGATTGATAACATCAAGGATATTATAATCAAGTATTTGATTGAATAAATGAGTTTGAGCTTAACTTTTGGCATTATTATTATTATTTTAGGTATAAATAAATTAATCTGTGTTTGTGTTTTCCTGTTTTAGTTTAGTTATTGTAATTTATATTGAATAATAGAAGCAATACTTGGCATCGCTTTTAAATTTAAAAAAACGCTTTCAAATATTTTTTAGCTTTGTAGAGTAAATTCAATCTTCCGTAACTCCTACAAGATCCAAAGTCAGAAAACAAAACAAAAATAATGAAAATTACCCAGAGTATTTGCTAATCATAACCAGTAACGCGTAAGACAGCTGACCGGATCGTTAATACCTAAAAAACTTGTTTAGATCGCACCAAAAAAAGTGAAAGAGTAAGAAGATCCACTCGCAACACAATTAACTAAAGCATAACTAATTTCAACAGTTTATGTCGTCTTCACAACGTGATTCAACAGCATTAACGTGAATATATGGTTCATAGATCTAGTAAAAGATCAAAGTTTTAGTTTTATGAACAAAAAAACCAAATATTCCTATTTTATAGGATAAGAAAACATTAAAAAAGAACTTATAACAATAAGTGCAATACCTAGCAAGATTTATATAATTAATACTTCTTCATAACATCCTCAAGCATCAAGAAAACATAAAAAGTTAATGAAAAAACAAAAATTTGTCAAAAATAATTTTTATCCAAAAAAACCGTCAGCATGACGAGAATTATAAATTAAAAATATTTTTGTGACAAAAAATCGTCCGCAATGTAAAATACAACTATAATAAATGTATTCAGCTACAACAGAGCAGAAAATCATTATCTTGGACTAAATTTAAGGAAGTGAATTCGAATGTCGGATAGCTACAACAACATAATGTGCTCAGGTAATAATGGACTGGTATTGTCGTCTTTTGGCTTCAATTTTAAGAAAACAGTAAGTAAAGTGTTCTGTAAACAAATTCGGATGTAAGTTCCGGTATTTTTGATGGTTTATATGTTTACAAGAGTCTTTAAAAATGTATAAGTTCTGAACATTTTTTTAGTTTACTATCGGCCAAAGATGGGATAACGCTTTTGCTACTGTTTGATCTAATACAACAATCAGTGCACGGCATGGACTTTATGATGGAAGTTTTAGCAAATGTTAAGATTTTCTTGTATGTTCTTTGTTATTTTATGTAACAAATCTGGTTACTTTCAATTGAATAATAATTTGTATTGTAATTACAACATTCATACCTAAATTCGCAAAAAACTTTTTTGTATTAGACAAAAGATTATTTTATAGTGCATACAAAAACTGATTTAATTCAAAGTTCAAGGATCCATTTGTTTTACTTTACCGTAACAATGACAGTAACGGGTGCCCCGATTTTAAAATGTTTCAAATAAAACACGTAAACGTTAATTAACGAATGTACGTTGGTTAATTCGGCCATTCAAATCATTGTCGATGGACAGTATAAAAGGCCGTCAATGTTTCTGTTTGTGAATGTAACTCTTCACAGTGTTATTCCCTTGTTAATGTAACATTTTATTTTTTCCGAAGGAATTTTAATGTGTTTGGCGTTACTGTACCTTTTCATGGAATAGTAGAGGATTCTAGTAATTTCTACGGTACCTTATGCGTGTTTAGGCTTGGTTTTGTATATACGTGGCTCAAATTATGGATTTTTAAGAGGTGTTTGCGAAAACATCAATATCCGGACTAATTTAGGTAACAATTATCATTAACTATAAATTTCAGGTGGTTAATATCAACCAATCTCTGTACATATCATAATTTATAAATATGATTGGCGCTATTTTAATTGGTTTTATTGTATTCATAACCTTCTATAACTGTTACTGGAAACTTCGAAATTATCCCCCAGGGCCTATGCCATGGCCAATCGTAGGTAACATCCTTCAACTACGACAAGCTGAACGATGGGAGGACAAGTTTGAGGAATGGAAAGATAAATATGGTCCGGTCTATACCTATTGGCTTGGCGAGATCCCATTCGTGTCGTTCAATAGTTATGAGAAGGTGCATGAGTACTTTGTGAAGCATGGTGAAGACTTTGCTGATCGTCCCGAAGTGCCTCAATTTGATATGCTGCTGAGGGGAGGACAGTTTGGCGTGGCATTTACTTCAGGGCATTTGTGGAAAGATCAACGAAGATTTGCCATGAAGATCTTGAACAATTTTGGAGTTGGCAAGAATGAAATGGAACAAAACGTAGGTATACCACTTATGGGGATTTTACTTTAACTTTTAAATATTTTCATATATTTTTTATCTAGTTTTTCAAAATTTTAAAATATTTTTTTAGTAAACCTATAAAAATCTTATACTTTACGAGTACGAGTTAATTTCAGGTAATAAATGAAGTACAATACATGTTCGACGAGATTGACAAAGGTATAATGACTAATGCTAAGGAGATCGATCTGATAAGATTGACCAACATGGCAGTGGGATCAATTACTAACATGATTGTTCTTGGCTACAGCTTCACCCAAAATGTAAGAATTTACTTTTCTTGGTCGCGTTTTTCACTGCGTATTTTACAATGACACAAATAAAATTAAAAAATATTTTCAATTTTAGTGTTTTTTTATAAATCGTCTTTCAGAAAAAGGAAGAAGAGTTCTTCTACATCCGTAATCTAACCACAGAAGCTGTTGAAGTAGCTACGTCCGCCTTGTCCAACTTGGCCCTCAATAACCCATGGCTTCTCAGCCTTCCCTACCTTGGCGACAATGGCAACAAGACTCTACGATTGTTCAAAGAAATCTTTGCATTTGTCGACTCAAAAGTGCAAACTCATTTGCGTGAAAATGATTATACTCAAATTGAACACCCCAAGGACTTCATCGACGCTTTCCTCATGGAGAAGATTCGTCTAGAAGAACAAGGAGTAACAGATCACTATTACACTGTTCAACAGCTTCGTAATGCTTGCTTTGACCTTTGGGTGGCTGGACAAGAATCCACAAGTGCTACAGTACCATGGCTTGTCGCCTTCTTAGTAATGAATCCGGATGTTCAGCAGAAGTTGCAGGATGAGCTGGACATGGTGATTGCCAGTGATCGTATGATCACAACTTCTGATCGAGCCTGTCTTCCTTACACGAACGCTGTCATTATGGAAGCACAACGATGTGGGAATGTGATTGCTCAAAATATTCTACACGCCACCAGTAACGAAGTCAATGTAGAAGGCTACAATTTGCCGAAGCAAACAGTGACAGTGCCACAGATCAGTGTGATCATGCAAGATCCAATCGCTTTTCCGGAGCCAAAGAAGTTCAATCCGGATAGATTTATCGACGAGAACGGACACCTTCGGTCGATAAAAGAGTTTCTTCCCTTTTCGATTGGAAGAAGAGTTTGCTACGGTGAGGGCATGGCCATGATGGAGATCTTCAACTTCACCGCCAACCTCTTCAACCGCTACAAAATGTCGGTCGGGGAAAAGCTTCCGTCGATGAAGAAGCTGGCTGGCAATGCTACTGAAATTCATCCTTATACTGTTAAGATTCAACGACGAGTTCCAGCTTACAATAACTGTTTCATGTCTTGTAAACGAAGCTTTTCAAATTAATTTTGGAGTTAATTTTACTGGATTTTGTTACTGTGGGATAGCAGTTATGGTTATGTTAATGGATGTATACGAGATTGAAGTTTCATAAAGTGAATATGAAACCAAGTTTATTATTATCATGCATAGAATTCGACATTACGGTTAATTGTACTATAAGTGTAATAATAATAAATGTTGTCATTGTAGCATTTTTTTTCTTTGCTTATTATTTTTACTAAGAGGGCTTATTATATTTATATTATGCTTCTTACTATAGGTTGTATTGCCATATTGTTGTATCAGGTTGTTCAAATAATTCTGGGCTTCCTAATCTGGAAAATTTGCTTTGAGAGGGGGCGCAGAATTATTTGAACTGTTTTATAATATTATGGTAATTTTAATTTAACCAAGATAAGTACGGTTATTTACTTGAACTTTTACGGTAGCAATAAGGTAATTTCCGAAGAAACGTAAAAACCCGTGAAAGTTTGACTTTTTTGTCTGAAAAACATTTTGAAACATTGAGTTAAAAGCTTCAAAACGCGTTAACACCTCTAATTTGATTAATTTCGGCGAATTTTTAAGAGGAAATAACTTATGATATTATTAGTTAGATTGAAATAAAATGTTAAGTCATCATAACACTGTCCATGTAGACATGGACTATTCTGATGGCTTAGTCTTAATATTGCGCTAAAACTTGCTTCTTGTTTATGGAAAGTCGAACCAGCTTTTCGGGAAAATAAATCTTCCTTGCTTGAGGACAATGCGCTGATCCAGTCCGACACGACTCTGTAACCTAATAGAGTCCGAGATTGTTTACCGAGGGTCATGATCCATATTTGTTTTCGAACTGTTTCAGCGCTTTACCTTACTCAAGAACATTGTAACTAACGGTTGTTGGGCTTGGCTATAAGCTGGGACTTCCTATTTGGCTTTTTATTATTTTCTACGTAATTTATTATTATTTGAAGTAAAAATACTGCTTATATTGTACAGCATAGTTATTTTTGATTCAAGTAGAATATAATTTCTAGCCTTTATATCAATAATTACCTTTGAATTACTAAAATAAATGCAAATCAGTCCAAATGGATTAAATATCTCTTATCAGTTTTATTTATAATGTTCTACCCGGTACTACTGTTTTATTGTTTTACATTCATACCTCAATATATGGCTGTGGTGTTGCGAATAAACGATGGCGGTCTAGATGATTTGGCTGAATATACTAGACAATGGATGTTTGACACGTTAAAAGAGCTCAAGATGGACAACTTTAGTCATCGTTTCGAAAGGGGACTGGCTTCTGGAGAGCTGATATTGTCAAACTTGTCTATTACAGAGTTTGCGCCACCTTTAATCAAATATCGACCGCATAGTAACTCATTGTTATATGTTACGACTGTTGGGGGAGATGCAGAAGTGAGTGTCATTTTTGCAGGGTTTTGGAGTTCTCTTTGAATTGATACCGATTATCCTAAATATAGTTGTGATTATGTCGGTTAAAAAATTGTATTTTTAAACTAAAATTGCCTAAATTACATACTTTGAAATACTAAAACACAAAAATAACTTCCAGATTCACGCTGACTGGTTCATCAATTCCAACGTTCTGGCAGCGCTTGGCATTCCGTTACATGGCACAGCTACGGGTAAAATCACTGGATTTAGGTCTAGTGTTGCTGTCAATGTAAGTGCGATTACAGACGTGTAGTAGTTCGTTCAAATAATGTTGTGTCTCAAAGCTAATTTTTGGAGCAAAGGGCTCAAAATTATTTGAACAAGCTAGTGACAGCGAGGTCTTTTGCCAAAAAATTTAATTAATAAATCAGCTTACATTACATAGCTTACTGCAAACTTCCATGATTAAATTTGTGTTTAAATTATAAGTTTTAATATGTTTTAGGTAATAAACTCGGTAGACTTGATAGTCCATCAGTGCGTCGCACGGTTTAACGAATTTGACCTTCGACTTACAGGAAGTCTAGCAGCCGAAATTTTACATTGGTTTCGAAATGTGATTGGACGTATAATGCAAGCCAGAGTTGAACAGGTACTATTTTAAAAATTTTTTTTATTTTAAAGTTACTATTTTTTAGTATTTGATTAAATAAGTACCATTCATATAGGTTACCGAAGTAGATTAGCATTAGGTTGTTCAAATAATTCTGTGCTCCCCCTCAAAGCAAGTTTTTTCCGGGTCAGGGGGCGCTAAATTATTTGTACGATCTAATATTTTTAAAATTTTTAACTAATTTTTATTTTCTAGGCCTACTGTAAAATCATATCGGAAAAGCTACTGATATGGCTCAAAACTCAACTCTTGAAATTGCCTCACAGAATCCAGATGAATTTGGGAGACGATTTTCAATGGATTCAGACGTTGCACGCTATTCGGCCTTCTGAAAGTTTCATCGATCTACAAATGAAAAATCAGTTCTTCAGCAATGGGTTGCTGATGGAAGCGGTGTCTGCCATGCCTCCTGAGACCAGTAGCAACATTATGTATCACGGTAAGATAATCTTTTTTAGTGTTTTAAAAAACGTGACTTTATATTTCTTTAATTCTAATATTTGATTTATGGAAGTCAGCTAAATTTTTTGTTATGTATATTTATTTTATGACACACTTTTAATTATAAGTGTAAAACTATATATATATTACATATTTTTGATGGAAAACATTTCCAGAAATCCCACACACCCCACACGTCCTTGAAGTCTTTATGGACGAAGCCCTTCTACAAGAAATGCTATCCACAGCCCATTTCAGTGGAGAACTTGTGACAAACATCTCATCCCCATTCCTTCGTACTGATTGTGATCTCCTATGTTTAGGCAAAATAGTACCAGAATTGCGGCATTCTCTGGGAAAATCCGCACTCTACGCTGAAGTGTTTACAAACGAACCTCCAGTCGTAAAATTAGTGACGAATCGAGCCCTGATCTATATGAACGTCACATTTGGTTTGTATCAGAAAGTAGATGAGGTATTGAATGCAATAGATGTATATAATGATGCCGTTGTGGGAGTACAACCAATCAAACATCCCAATCAAGAACCCGTTATTCAAATTGAGATTGCTGGAGAAGCTGTAGTGCAGGCGGCGTTAAATGAGAAGCATCTGGACGTGGATCTGAATTTACATCGGAGTAAAGGGCAATTGGTCAGCACAAAGATTGTCGGCATTTCGCAGAAGGTAATCCTTGTTTTTGAAAAAAAGTTTCAGGCACATTTATACAGAAAATCGACATATTTTAGACTGTCGATCTGATATTATCCATGTCGGTGCCTTTTCTGGAGAATGCAGCTTCAATGTTGCTTGGAAATGGCATCAACTTGAGTCAGGTAAAATATCATTTTTTGTTATTTATAGTTTTCAAAATAGTTTTATATTTAACTCTTCATATCCTGAGGATAAAATTTCAAAAAGTATTAGAAAAAAAAATTTTTTAATTTCTTAAGAGTAGCAATTTAGGTAATAGACGTTCCAAGCCAAAACGAATCGCTACACTTTGAAACCGGGTTTGTCCACTTCTTGGCAGATATGAACGTACGAAACCTTCTATGATAACATAGTAAATTTATAAATATTAGGAACAACCCATAAACATATATTATTTTCAGCTGATAATTTATTACGTCTACATATTAAAATTTAAAAAATTATTTAATTTTTTCCAACTTTAATTTAAAAAAATCAAATTTAAGTATTTTAAAAAAATGTTAATACGTAACAAGGTAAGCCTAAAACTAATAAAATACTATAAAAACTACTATGATATTAAGTACATATATAATATTATGGTTAAATTAAAATTGGCAAACGAATCCGTGACGTTCTGAACATTCCATTCGGGTCCATTTACCCATTATGTTTAAAGCCGTACAGTCCTTACCAGTCGAATCGTTTTGGAAATTCTGATATCGACCGGTCGGTAGCCGAAGAGATACAGTAATTTGTGCGTCAATCCAGAATAACGTTGAGTCAAAGTTTTGCAGGTATTCTAAACAAACTACCGTAAAATAAACCAGTTGTAAAAATAAAAAACGGGTTTTCAAATTCGTCCTCAGGGAGTAGATCATCCGGGCGGGATAAATCATGCCATGAATATTCAAATTTACCTGTGATTTTTCGATTTTCGTTATCAGATTGAATTTCTAATAACTTTCCACCGTGAGCTACACACGTTCTTTTGGCTTCGGACCAGGTCGATTCTGAGGAAAATACTTTAATTTTCTTTCCACTTGTCCCTAAAGGCTTCCAGTCGATATGCTGATCGTCTTGCAAGATCTGGCGGTTTTCCAATCGACTGACACGCTGAAGTTGTATAAAACGAAATCAAAAATGCCGAAAAAACACTTGTATTTTACGATAAAAACATTTTATATTAACTTACATCAGATAGGTTCTTTATTCGATCGTTGAAAACGTGCTCCATTCGATACACTATTTCTTTAACCTGAAATATTGTTTATGATAGGATATTCTTATCGGCATAGTTGGCATGAAACGCATTGAGAATACAGTACTCTTATAGGATCACAGTATCCACAGATTCTATTTTCAGCTTTGAGCATATTATATTGCGTAAGCTCAAAAAAAAGTTAAATATTATGCTACCTCATTTATAATTCCGCCTTCATCCCTAGCTGGGCCTCGAGTCGTTCGCCGTGGCGGCGGAGGGGCAAGATCAATAATCAGTTTGTTTTCATAGTTGGCGGTTACTGTAACTGTCAGAGATACGAGCAGTAGAATATGGCAATTCATTTCTTTGAGTATCATCAGACGAGGTAGTTTATGGCTAATTGGTCATAATACCCTAAATGTAACAACGTTTAGAGTAGTATATAAAAAACCCTTATTAATGTTTACAATCGCACTTTTTATTTATATAAAACATAAAAAGTAAAGTGTCCTTTTTAAAATTTCAAATATTAATCAAATTTTCACAAAAAACATCATCAAAAACAAAAATCTTCCAAAAAAATTCAAAAAACCCTAGCGCAATGACGTAAAAAATACGTGACCGCAGAGTTGACCGCACCGATAAAGTGGTCAAATAAATCTAAACAAGTAGTCCACCCCACCCCCGCCAGCTAGCCCTCTCAAAGCCCGCGATATTATAATAAAAACGACAAAAGGGGAAGAAAATCCCCTCAGGTAAATTCCACATAAAAAACCACGCGCTTCATAAAAGCCCACTAATGAGGATTAAGCTGTTTCCTCAACAAGTTTGCGCATAAAAAATTTCATTCTTCAAAATTTTATGTCAACAAGTTTCGTCGTAGAAGGGGAAGCTGTATTTTCATAGCAATCAAAGCAATCGCTTTAATTCATAAGCATGTACTGTTTTAAATGGAATATTCATATTCAACAAGTCTGGATATTTTCAGATTTCAACAATCCGAAAAGTGAATGTTATATAACTGCGGGGAAGCATATATAGTATAAAATAAGCAAACATAGTTAAAAAATAAAAAAAAAACATTTACGTACTGTAGTCAAAATATGCTTCAAGCAACTGCAATGCCTAAAATGTCATTAAAAGTTTATTAATTAAAAATCATAATAAAACTTAACTTTTCAAAGGTATAATATCATCATTTGTCTCAAAACGTAATAACTTCCCGTGCATATGCGCATGAATGACGCATAACGTTTCTGTTAATATCCTCACGATCAAATTATTTTTATGTGACCTGGATCGATTTAATCGTAAAACTATTCCAGTAAAATAAAGTTCAAATACAATAATTATCATTTTAATGATAAAAATTTTAAAATACCTAAACCTCACATACAGTCGTAAAATAAGTAAAAACTAAAAAGTAAGTAATCCCCCTTCCACGTAGTAAACGTTCCTAAACGTTGTTCAAAAATTTATAAAATTATTTGGGTTTTCTATCTTCAATGCTACTGAAAACTTTACACAAACATTTTTTATACTATAATTGTAAGAGTTACTATGGTTTTCTTTTATTATTTGCCATATTTTATGTCTTTAGAAATTCCCACAATCAAGAAAGACCTCTTAGCCAATTGCATCGTAAGATTTGTATTGAGGAAAATAAAGATCTGTGTCCCCAAATGTTCAGAAACGCAGACTCAAAGTGGAGGGTACGTTAAAAACTTTTTGTGATTTTAATTATTAGTAAATTATACAAAATGTTCATGATGACAATAGACGTAGGAATATTTTCAGACTGCTCCACATTACAAAATTGCTAACTGTGTAATAGAGAAGAGCATGTCAACAGTATTAGCGGCTACGACATGTTATCTTTACAATACTTCCAACTTTTTGATACATAATAGGTCATTAACATCAGATGTCTACCACACAAGGTTGGTATATAATCACTAACAACTATTTTTTATATTATGAAAAACGCTTGTTGAAATTCATGCCTGAACTTCATTACAGACTTTGCAAAGATAAAAACGAGTACAACAGCATACAAAAACTGGAAACATCAAACGCAGTACGTCGGTTTGACTGGTTGTACTTTACTGTTGTTCGTGAGCCAATTGACCGATTCTTTAGTGGCTTTGTCGATAAATGTCTTCGGTAATTTTTTAATGAATAAAAAACAAGAGCTATTGTTACAAAATATTTATATTTTAGAGATACCAGAAGACTAGCTGCTTCAGATAGATGTTTTGGCTGTAAAGATAACGTGGAATGTGTAATACACAAGTTACATAACCGTGCACTTGCGTTTTCAAATGGCAAGACTAAGGCAGTGTCGTATGATGACATTCACTTCTTTCCTCAAAACTGGTACGATAATCTACAACAGATTGTTTTATTATCGTATTAAAATTATGGTTTGCACACGTCACAACGTCCAACAGGTACAAACATTAAAGTAAACTTTCAAATTTAGGCACTGCAACATGAAAAGCACCTACAATAAACTTAAATTTATACATTTCGTGTCACCAAGTAGTGAAGAATATCAAGATAACCTTAAACAAATGTTGCACTACTTCCAAGAACAAAACGTAGAAGAAGAGAAGCTACGTTACATAAAGTAAGCAATTTTAAGTTAGCAATTTACAAGCATAAAGGTTAACTCTATGAATCGTGTTTTAGCAACTCTCTAACTGGTGGTAAGACAAGACACTCCACTTCAGACTTAGACCAAAGAGATGACATTGAAGCTGCAGTAAGATCGAATAAACGTTTGATGAAAAAACTAATACAGACTTTTTATTTTGACATGGTACTGTTTATGTTCAATATACCTGAGTTTTGACGACAATAAATTTTAATTCGCTGTATCAACAAAAGAATATTTAAAATTTTACAGTGTTTTCCACTTTACGTAAAATTTTTTTAAATTTTTAAATTAGCAACTTGTAAAATCATTTCAAATTTTTATTATTTTTGGCATCCAAGCCGTGCATCGGCGGTCCTTAGACACGATGAGTGACGGTTTCGACTACTCAGCTGATTCACTTTACGGAAATACTCTAGAAATCGACGACCTTCAATCAGCTATCGACGAAACAAGCGAAGTGTAAGTATATTGTTGAAGTTTTCGTTTTTGTCAAATTATCTGCACCGCTGCGCCCTAAGTATTCCGAGTTTCACTTTTTTCTTATACTTTACAGATTGTTTAATAAAAATGTTAGAGGACGTGATTAGGTAATAATTATTGCTTAATTATAATAATGTATTTATTGCGTTTTGCATCCATTAAAGGAAAATGTTTAATTTTATGTTGTTTTAGAGACGCAGCCGTTCGAGCAGTCGACAAGTGGGACGATAACCTCGAACATTATCACTTCTGGGAACTTCTTGGAAGCGGGTCTTTTGGAGATGTTTTCAAGGTGTTCAACGAAAAAGAAGGCAAGACTTGTGCTGTGAAGATGATGCGGACACCACGAGAAATGGTCACGTATCAAAAACGCGAAATCAGAGCGATGGGAATTTTGCGACATCCGAATATCGTCGAACTTCATTGTGCTTGCATTGTCCAGAAGTCGATCTTGATCATGGTTATGCCGCTGCTTTGGAGTATGCAAGATGTTATTCAGGAAGCCAAAAACTCAAAGTTTGTTTTTTTTATTTTTAGGTAACATTTTAGAAAAATAAATGCGGCTTGGGAACTATATTGGGAGAGAATGCTACGTATAGTAGCAGTTTGTAAAATAAGTTACTTTTAATTTGTTCATGTATAACATGGCCAACAACTTTCAGATCTTATCAAGAATACGACTGCATTTCCGAATCGACTTGTCGTTTGTTGATAAAACAACTTGTAACAGGACTGGCTTTTATGCACTCCAAGAAGTTTGCCCATCGTGACTTGAAAGTGGCTAATCTTCTCCTTGACAATCATGGCGTCCTCAAGATAGCTGATTTCGGCATTTGCCATGAGTTGGACATGGCGGACTCCGCAGACTTGGCCACAATGAAATCTCCGTGTGGATCTGAAGTATATATGGCTCCAGAAGTATACTTTATGTTCCACGCAACATCATTTGAAGAGAAATTTTGTCCATATAGTATCAGGGCGGAGACCTGGTCGATTGGAGTAATATTTTTGGAAATGAGAGTTGGCAAAGTTCCGTTTTCGCATTTACTCATGGAAAGAAAGAAGAGACAGTTGTTGAGAAATGCTTTGAAACTGTTTTTAGAAAGCGTAAGTTTGTTTTGAATGTTTTAACAGACTTTTTTGTGTTACCCTGCATTGGTTTTTAAAAAAATCTGGGTATTGATTTGCAAAAGGAATTTTTAATGAACTTATTGCCTTTTTTACATTACAGAGTCGTTTTGACTTCAATTTACTGTATCCTAACGGTGAACGGCATGAAGAACTTCTCTTTTCTCAGCCGGCTTTAGAGTTTCTGCGAAAATGTTTATATTGTAAACCAAGACAACGACCGACAGCTCAAATGCTATTAGACAGTGATCCATGGCTGGAGCCGGTTGAAGAAATGGAAACCGAAAAGATTCGAAGAGAACTGTTGAGAACTCGTGGGTTTTTTGAAATTAATATTTAACTCATAATTTTTGAATATAAATTAACATTTATTTTACAATTTGTGAATACTGAAATCTTTATGCTACGTAAGAATGGCAATTTCATGTTCTTACAATATTGATCAGATCCAGGGACGTTGCTACGGTTTTTCTCTAGGGGGGAGGTCGAAAAAAATTTTTTTTGGTCCACAGGTAGCTAGCTACCTGTGGACCCCCCCCCCTAAACGACGTCCCTGATCAGATCTAGTAAATTGCTTTTTAAAAGATCATTTTAGAATTCCTTGAAAGCGTTGAAGTGATGGACCAATATGGTAACATGGAGTCTATGGGGGAATTCGACATTGTCACCAACAGCTTAAAACATGATCAGGTACTCATTACTGTTATGATACGATCACCTTCGATGGTAAGTACTGGTTTCTCATATTTGGCTTTAATTTAGTTTTTACATTGAATAGAGGTATTGTTTTATATATTTAAAGGTAATAATTTGAATAGAAGCATTTTTGGCACATTTTAAAGTTAATAATTTGCTTGAGTATAAGCTTTAAAAGGTAATACTTTAGCAATACGTCCCAAGAATTATACGATTTGTTGTGGAGTTGAAGAAGAAACTATTTTGCAAACGAGCGGCCGAAAAAGTTGCCAGAGCAAAAATGCTACCGTACTCTCGAAGGAAGGTGATTTGGTATGTAATTTTGTTTTACAGCAAAGTTATTGATTCTTTTACTCTTACGAAAGACTACTCCGATTTCTTTTACTGTGGCTTTTTTTCATACTAACAGTAAAATTATTTTAGTGGCCGTGACTTTGTTCGCTTGACGATGAAGATTGTGGCAGCTTGTCGACGCTTCAGCAAATCGGACAATGTAAAGCACGTCTACGAAACATTTTCATTGACTGGCCTACATAGACCTCCGAATCATGCCACACTAGAAGGGATGGCAGTAGTTTTGGTGAACAAAAGTCTGAAACGGTCGGAGAAGGTGATGACATCTAGGATTCCAGGCATTGAGCTGAAATCAGGAGAGTTGGACAAGAAGGACTTTAAGATGTTGAAACAACAGGCTTTGAAGGACATTGCTGCATTTTCGTAGGTTTATGATGGCATTGTGGTGTTTCATAGGCTATTTTATGTTATGGTTTACGTAAATGAGTGTCGTCTAGTACAATATTAATTGTTCTGTTTAGCGAAAACCTATTGATAAGGCTGGTTTGAAACTTATTCTATGGCTGAATAGGACCCTTCTTACTGATTTTCAAATTAAAAAGTAATCTTTCAATGACGTTTTGATTTCAGAGAAGACCTGTCCTCCTACGCGTCTACAGAAACTATTGAGTCAGTCCCATCTTCATCGGCAGTTGATGAAAGCTCTTTAAGCACAAGATATGACAGTGTCGAAACAAGTGGCACAATTCTAAAGAAAAGGTACCTAAAACTACCGTTCGGACGTCACAAAATCTACAGACTAGACGAAGCCAAGACCAAGTATAGGTCACCAAAGTAGTCTATTGTTATGTATATTACGTACTTGTCTGAGTGTTATATAGTTTTTACTGGTCAACTGAATAAAGACTGATTGTTTTTCCAAATGTTGTACAGTTGGACAAAAATGACTCTAAGGTAGGGTAATTTTAAATAAAATTCCCTGATTGTTAACATCAATTTATTAACTATACCATACATTAAATAGGACTTTAGTACTTTTACTTCTTTCCATAGCCACCGTTAGAGTAGCCGCCATTACCGTAGCCACCACCGTTTCCAGTATCCAACTCCACGACCGAAGGAGCGACGATCTCTTGGATTCCGCATGAGCTAGGACAATGTCCACCTTGCTCACCACTCTCTCCAGGCAGTCCCACAGGTCCTGGTGGTCCGGGTTCTCCACGTTTGCCTGGTGGACCGGGTGGTCCGGTTTCTCCGATTTGTCCTGGTGGTCCCGGGTTGTTAGACGGAAGACCGTTTGGTCCTGGAGGGCCCTTTGGTCCACGTGGGCCGACTGGTCCTGGTGGTCCTTTGATACCGGTACCACCGATGCTGTCGTCTCCTGGTGGTCCTTTGATTCCTGGCTCTCCCGGTTCTCCTGGCTCACCGGGTGAGCCGGCATCTCCAACTCGACCCGGTTTTCCTGGTCGACCAGGCAAGCCTGGCAGACCTGGTTCACCAGGTACTCCGGTACGACCTTGTTCTCCTTGTGGTCCGCGGTTTCCGGGTGGTCCAGCTGGGCAAATTACGCTGAAATCAGTTATAGAAATTGATGGCTGCCGAAAATACAAAATATGTAAAAACATGTTACAGTATACAAAACTTAATAAAAAACTACAGTACACTACATAAAGTTATGTGCAAACATTTTGCATTGAAAAGCAAAATATAAACGTACCATGGAAAAGCTGGCTCAGGCTCCAAAGGAACGTCGAGACCATCAAGACCGGGCTTTCCTGGACGTCCCAACAGACCATCTTGTCCGTCTTCACCATCAACTCCAGGAGGTCCGGGCGGACCAGGTGGGCAATGAAGTTGAACGCAGCTGGTACACTGTCCATTAGCCGCATCGTCCATTGGGTTTGCTCCGTAGCCTTGACGTTTGGCACGGTTTCCGGACTTGACGATGAGAATGTCTTGCCAAATTCCACGTGAAGTGTACTATAATATGTTATCGTAATATTGCTTCAAAATACTGTATAATCTCGTAATGTCCAAATGGCTTTTCACTGTTATATCTATTACTGTCAGTATAATAAAAACCTTCTTTATAATAGTTAGTCGATATGAAAAAGTCATCAAAAATGTACCTTGAAAGCATTCATCCTGCTCTCAATGTCAGCATGAGCAGCATCCAAACGGTAGATCATGACCGGGATGGTGATAGCCATGATACACAGGCACACGATGCTCACCACTGCGCTGAACACAGCAGCTTTTGGTGGCGTTTCCGCCGTGATTTCTTTGATCTCCATTCGGCTAAAAGTAAAAAAGATGTTAGTTTATGGAAATAAACCGCATTTACAAGTCAGTAGTACACAATTTTAACTAAGTCGTACTATAACAGTAACCTTCAAAGTACATTGCAAAGTAAAAAACAAAATTCGCGTTTAAATTGTCAACAGGGTATAAAAAAATGTTACAAAACACTTATGTATACAATACAAGTGTTTGAACTATCTCCTAAAGGCTTATATATTAATGTCGATTAAAACCGCAATCAGTAGCTTTACGAAAAGGAAGACTAAAAGAAATTTCCAGCCGTCTGATTAGGTAGGTCATGATTATCTCCCGAAACAAGGTCATCCGTGATCGCAATTCCAAAACGAAACTTCTAGTCAACTTATTTGAAACTATCTGAACACAAAAATTTTCCCTAACACTAAATACCCAAAAACCACACAATAAACATACACAACACAAATTCAAGCAATATTTACTATTTAGAAGCTACAAAATATAAGTTACAGTAAAGTGGTGTGAAAGTTACAGGATATTACATAGTAGAATATGTTAGCGATAAGTTATGAAATTGACCACATTAGCAAACACATCGTCCAGAATTGCATGGGAGCCCGAAGCATTCAGTGGTTGAGTTACCTGAACAAGACTTAGTGTTGCACAAGCCGCGGAGAGCGTCGAAGAAGGTATCGAATCCATTATTTTGGAATCCTAAAAAGAATAATTTTAATTTTCACATAAACATAAATCAAATATCAGTCACTGTTTCACACAACAACAAAAACTTTCCAAAATAATAACTTTCAACTTAATAGCATTTCAAAAAGCCGTATTTTAGAGTTATGTTAACCAAGAAAAAGTTCAAACATCAAATTTTTCCACAAGTCTTTCAAACAAAAAAAACCCCATCTTATAACATAAAGTTAAACACTTCAACCATTAACAACAAGACCTCTAACCTAAAACACCACAAAATAATAAAATATCTTACCTTCAACACAATTGCAGCGAGAAGTAGTTCCATTGCAAGCTCCTTTAAGTCCACCGCAAGCTGAATCGTCTTTACAGGACAAAAAGTTGATACAGGAATCGCAGTTGCATTTGCCGACAAACACGCCCAAACATTTTCCTTTACCTCCACATTCATCATCGGAGTAGCAGGCTTTGAAAGAGGTGCAGTTCCCTTCGTCGGTTGTATTAACAGTTGTGGTCGTAACTGGGGCAAAGGTAGTGTTTGTGGCTGCATGAATCGCCAACCCAAAGATCGAGATGAGAACAGCGAAGTGAATAAGGTTGTGAGATTGCATTCTGAAACCAAAACAATATTAATAGTGTTTTACATGAAGCTAAAACAACACATTTTATACAAATTATAAAAAAAGTTGTCAAAGTTCTACCAAAATCAATGTTTTGTTTGAATTATGCAGTACAAGAAACAATATAAGTCAAGCAAAAACAACATTTTCACAAATGTACCAAAGAATTGTTATCTAGAATCCCATGAAAACCTTCAAAACATACCTGAACGTGAGCCTGTGGTAAAAAAAGTCCTAAATGACCCTTGCGAGAACTCTGAACAAGACAATTTGTTGAAATGAAATAAAAATTTTGAAAAAACAAAGGTGGATTTTTGGTTTTGCCACTGGCATTTCCAAAAAAGCTGTCATTATCACGATGCAGTATAGTCCCGACACGAAAACAAACTCTAGCCAATAGAAAGCCTTGACATTTCGTTATTTTAGCGGGTAATATTTTTAAAATTCGGAGTTTTTTCCTCGTAAATTTTTATGTTTGGTGACGTTTTTATATAGTAATTCATGAATTGGCTATTTTATTGTTTTAAATTCTGATATTTTATATTGTTTCATACATTTTTATTATAGAATGGACAGAAAAAAGTGCGATATTAGTTAAAAACTAATCGTTAACCTGCAATATTGCTTAAAAACTAACTTTTGCATTTCGTTTCAGGTAACAATGTCTTTGTGGGTTGACAAATATTGTCCACAAAGCTTTGATGAGCTCGATGTTAACCCAAAAACCACGGAACTATTGAAGAGATTACTTAGTACAGATGATTTTCCTCATATTTTGTTTCATGGGCCTGATGGATCAGGTAAATCAATCAGGATGCGTTGTGCTTTGAGGCATATCTATGGGGACGGAGCTTTGCAGATGAAGATGGCACCAACAACGTTTCAAACTGCTTCTGGAAAGAATATGGAGATTACGGCGTTGGAAAGTAAATATCACATTGAAATCAGACCAAGGTAGGTGAATATTTTTTTGGGTTTTCTTTTTTTAGGTTCTTCAACTATGCGACTTGTTGATATAGATGGTACTTTTTGTCAGAGTGCTTAATGTGGATTTAAAGTTTAGATGTGGGGTATAGCATTGGAAAATGCTCAACATGGTGGATGTTGTACTCATTTTTTTGTTTTTAGTGATGCGGGCATTCACGATAGGATTGTTGTACAGAAGTTTATCAAAGAAGCAGCAGAAAACCACTTGAAATCGGGCAGAAGAAACTTTAAAGGTGCGTTTACTTTACAACCATATCCTATATTAATTTATAAGTTGGAATTTTATATAACATTTTTAAAATAGTGTCTTTTATGTTAAAATACGTTTTAAGATTATCTATTGTATCATAATTATAAGATAATGTATGGTGTTTTACAAATATGTAATAGAAATTCCAGTGATTGTTATTCACGAAGCTCATCGACTCTCATTTGATGCTCAATCGGCATTGCGTCGTACAATGGAGAAACATTCAAGCAGATGTAAACTTTTCTTGTGTTGTACTGATCTTCACAAAATCATGGACCCTCTGGTCTCTAGATGTGTACCAATACGTATTGCAAACCCGGACACTGCCGAGGTAAGTAAAAATCTCATTACTATTGCTATGACATTGTTAAGATTACTGAAATGTATTGTTTTTGTCAAGGAGGGCTTTTAAACATGTTTTTTTTAGTTGACAGCTGTTCTGAAAAACGTTGCACAAAAAGGAAAATATTACAATAACCGACAAGTTTGTGAATTCTATAGTGGCTCTGTCAAATCATAACATTAGAACAGCTTTGATGATGTTTGATGCTACTGTTACTAAAGGGTAGGTTTGTAATGGATTTTGACTTACTGTTTACGTAATTTTAAACATGAAATTTTTGAAAATTTTTAACAAATTTTACTTCAGTGGAAAAAAGATGAGATACGATGATTGTCGCGTTGTCATAGCTGATCACAAAGCTGCTGTTAGTAACATTGTGAATACGCTGATGTCCAGGAAGACGGTTGACAGTGTTCAACTTGTACGGAACAAGTTTTATGATCTCATTAATGCGTTGGTACCTATGGACGTGCTCTTTGATGTGAGTTTCCTAAAAGCATTTTCTTTTTGATTTTAGGGGATGAAGCTGTGAATTACAATAAAGATGTTATGAAGTCTAAATTTCTGATTTTACTTGAGTTTCAGATGAAGAATATTTTTTGAAAGTTGTATAATTAAAAATATGTTTCAGGCTTTAGCACTGGAAATGAGCATGAAAGTGGCTACAGTCGACGAACAGCTACTTATATTCGAAAGCGCCGCTGAGTTCCAGCATTTATCGTTGCACGGTGACAAACCTGTTCTTTATCTGGAGTCGTTTGTATTGCAAGTTTTGACTAATCTTGTTAATCGGCTTTAATTTATTTTTGTAACTATACTTATGTTAAAGATGGAATAAATAATAATACGTGTTTTAGCCAATGTTACGGTGGTTTTCTGCGGGAAATTATGTTAAAGTACACCTAGTGTATTTCTAATAAATATTAACTATTTACATAAAAGGTGATAATAAGGATTTGAGATATGTGACAGATACATATACCCATCAAGCATTGAAATTAGTTTAGAATACACAGAAACCATAATCAAGTATTAGTGACTTGGGATTGGGAAGCTCTCGACGCGGCCGTTTTCTTTGAACATTATCGCAAACGTGTGGTAGTAGGTCAACATGGCATCCAGGGATCTGAATCTAAAAAAAAGATTATTGACAGCAAATTTCTTCCCAAAATGAACGGCAAAAACTTTCTTTACAGACGCTAAACGAAAAATAGTGCAAACTTTCTTCAACGAATAGGTTCAAAAACTTTCTTTACAGACTATGAATTGCAAGAACTTTCTTCCTAAAACTTACACTGGCTGATCGGGTAGGTTCTTGTCTTTAACATATACTTGCCACATTTTCGTACCGTCCCTTCCTTTTGTCTCTCTGACCCTGTAACTGTAAATTTTACCTTCGCACGACATGTACGCGAACATCAACGGATAGGACAACGGAATGTCGGCAATCGTAAAGTACTCATTAGGCTGTTGATAGTACAAAACGGATTCTGTCGGCTTCAAATAGCTGATGAGCTCCTGAAGTTTCAATTTTATTAATGAAAATTTTCTTTACAAAACAAAAAGTATTTCTTTGGAAAACAAAAATGACAAATATTTTTTTCCAAAACAAAAAAAATGACAAAAGCTGCCTTACCGACACAGGTTTGATGCCTACGAACCGTGACTTGAGCTTCCTAGCGACAGGTATACCACTTGCGCCGGCTTTGTCGCTGCAACTCGAGCTGGTCACTTTTCTCTCCATTTCTTGACCCTGTTCCTTGGCACGCTTTCGGCGGAGATAGTACTGCATGGAATGGCGGCCTTTCGCCGGTCGTTCTGGCCACTTGACTTTCAAAACTGGATTGATTAGATCGCCACGTTTGTTCTCCTCTACCGAGTAGGAGGGCGGGGTCAGTGAGGTCTGAAGGCACGTGGACATAGGTTAGATAAGTACGACAACTTGAGAAATTTTAGAAAAGTGGGGAAGCAAACTTTAAGAGCTTTGAATGGTTAAAAATTTATAGAATTATGTAAATTCAGTACATGATACATACAGTAACTCTGTTTTACCTTACGTCTCCGCGCCGTTTTGTTTCGAGTTTTGGAGCGAGATCGAGAAGAGCTTTCGGCCGCAAAATCACCCATTTCGTGTTTCAAATGACCAAAATCAGTAATTTTGCGGTTTTTTCTAATTTAAAAAATTTGCATAAAATTTTTAAAAGTGTAAAACTACGTGAACATGTTGTTTTTTAATCTAACTTTTGAACTTTTAAACTTTTTTAGGTAAAAAATGGCATATTAAGAAGCTTTTGCAGGCTGCGCGGCACGTTTTATACGATGACTTGAGTTTTTTCTTTTGTCAAACCATTCTCTGCTTTATTCTGGTGTAAAAAATAATATGAGACATAATTATATTCATTTACACATTAAAATCAGTTTAGTATACAGAGTAATAGCAGTCACTGTAATCTTCATCTTTCTCCTTGTAAGGCACGTCTTCGGCAATATAACTGTTCTCAACTGCTTTATCATCTTCTTCTGGTGCCCACTTTTCTTCATCTGGTGCAACGTAGTCCTCGTAGTCACCTTCTGTATCAAACGGGCTGAATTTGGCATCGTCGGGGCTCAAGATGAATTTAAGTTCTTCTTGTGGGTAAGTGAGGCACAGTTGAGGAGATGAATCGTATGAAATTGATGATTCGCATTGTCTATATTCTGGTTGTTTTCTTTTTGGAATTGACGGAGGGTTTGCAGGTTTTTTTGGTGGCTAAAAATGTTTTGTAAATAAAAGAGTAAATTTAATACTTTTAAGTTTTTTAGCTTTATAACGTAAACCCAATATCCTTCATTACAAAAAAACTGTGTTAAATGTCTATTTGACCTTTTTTTGATAATTTCAGTCTATTAAATTATCTTTTAAGATTAGAACTTTGAATTTTACTGCGAAAAACAATCAAATGACAGCCGTTTTCTTTCCCTCCCCTTCGCAAACAAAACTAATTCAAAAAAGAAGAAGGAAGGTCTCGTGCAGTCGTGTCCGAGTGGTTAAGGAGATTGACTAGAAATCAATTGGGCTCTGCCCGCACAGGTTCGAATCCTGTCGACTGCGGCACACTTTTTGGCTTGTTTCCTTCACAATTTTTGATAAAAAAGTGAATAAAACTTTGCAAAAATGTCTTGGACATTTTCTAAAACAATATTGTGGTTCTTTTTTATAACGAAACTATTTAAAATCAATACTTTTTTAAAAAAATACAAAAAAGATTTAAAAAATCCACAATTAAAATATTTTGAGCTAAAAACCATAAGACTTACCTCGATTGAAAGGATTTTCGTTATCTTCATTTTGTAGGTTTTTCCTTTTTGATCAAGTCTTTGTCATTAGTTCGAAGCCATACTTGATAATCTTGGTCGTATAGCTCCATATCACTAAACTCACAATTAAATCTGTGAGTCATTTTTTTGCGAAATGTTTTCACGGTAAATCGAGGTGGTACTGCGAAGGCTTGCGTAGTAACATCACTCCCTCTATGAATATTTACAAAGACAGGAACTCTGACCTAAAATGGGCATTATTTTAGTTTTAAATTGACTTAAAAAATTTTTTTTGATTTTGTATTTTCAAAATTTAAAATTAAAATTTGTAGCTTGATAAAACAATTTAAATAAAAATCTGTCCCTACCTCTTCGATTTCGACTTTGAAACGTTCGTTATTCTGCATAACGTGATCGACTGATTCTGCGATTGATGTTGTACTATGGTCAAAGTCGCACACAACTTTTTTGATATTGTAGGTGCCAATTTCCATTTTGTTTGTCATACTTTTAATGGCTTTAGAGATTGTCGTCTTCTTTTCCAAAATAAATTTCTTGTGAATAGTTGTGTCTTTAAAGGTGAGGGTAACCAATGCCTAAAGTGCTATAGTTAACATAACATTTGGTAGTCTTAGCTAGTTAAACCAACGAACTCTTTAAAACGAAAAAAAATCATTTTGAAATATATTTTTTTTATTTTTAAATTTTTAAATTAAACTTACGGTAGGAAAGTATTCCAAAAGTATGACGACATGGTTATTGGGCTCCATTGTATCTTCCTCCTTCATCGTGGCATAACCTCTTTTGTCAAGTTTATAAACAGTAAACTTGTTGTAGTCGTCTGATGAAAGATTCAGCTGTTTCAGAACACATTCTACCATGTAATTGGCAGTGGCGTTATGATTCAGCATGATGTTACAGTACTCGGCAACTAGGGGATTATCGTGCGAATCATCGGAAACGACTTTGCAGCCTATTGAGCACTAAAATACGCAATTAATTATTTTTTAAACTTTATTATTGTTTTTAGCTGAAAATTTGGTACAAAAAGAGGTTTTGCAGTTTTTGCGGGAAAATTCACATTTAAATTTTGGCGCGTAATTTAAAAACCTGGATTTAAAATTTTTGACCTAACTAATTTTTAGATTTAAACTTCTGAAACTTAAGTTTTGTCATTTTAGTTTTAAATTGTACAAAAATAAAATCAAAAAGATAACGTTACAAAACAATATCTTAAAGAAGTTGAAAGTCCTACCTGAGAATGTGGTTTATGTTCATAAATGGTGACAACCACATATTGGAAATCCTGTGTTATCACGGTGTCACCATTAATTCTGAAGCCCATGATGGGCGAGTGACCGTAGTGAGCCGAGTTCACGTCGTAACGAGAAAGTTCATCGTGAGTGAATAAAATATATTGTAAAGCTTCCCTCAGTGTCATATATGGTTCGCGTACGACGAACGATTTGAGGACTTTCGCTTTGTTGTCGATGGAGATCATCCACAGTTCGAAGCAGACCGAATCCGAGTTCTAAAACGGTCGGTTTAAAAATAAGGTTTAAAGATATTTACATGTTTTGTGGTATTCGACCAGTATTCTGGGGCTTTATCAATATGTAGTATCCGTCAGGAAAGGAATACTCACCATCGTTTGCAAAAAGCACGCTATTTGATCCATATAATCATAGTTGATCACGTTGGACACAATCGACTGTGCCAGACCAATCGTTCGACGCAGCATTCTATTCAAAATGGCATTCGAATTGAAAGAATTTATAATTGAAATAGAAAATTAACAAAATTTTTAAAAAATTGTTAGATTTCACAAATTTTGTTCACAAAAGTGCTACAATTATGCAAATAATTAAAAAATTTGCATATCTTCAAAGAAGTAACAATCGTAAGACTAATTAGAAAATTAATATTAGATGGTAAGTATCTCATATGTCTGTTCCAAAAAAGCATTACAGTATGGTTTCAAAAAAACGTAACTTTTTTACGTATGCGATCATGGGACATACAATACTATTGTATAAATATGTAAAACGATACTTTATCTTCATATATGTAATATCTCTGCGCATCTACCTTATTAAGTAAACAAAGAAAACTTGAAATACTTTCGCATTAACGAGCTGTCGGCTTTAGCACACCAACATAGCCAAACAAAAGTCATTCGAGACTTCGTCTATGGCAGGCACAGGTGATGCACCATGGTGCCAAATATTTTTTAAAATTTTTATTATTTTATGTTTTACTTTTTGTAAAGTGTTTTAGTTTTTTAAGTGTCGAAACTACTAGAATATAATGCCATTCCATTTGTTTTCATAAAACGATGCATCGCGATGCTACTTAAATTCTTTATCATCAGTCGGTGGAGTCAGCGAAATAGGAAACGTATCGTAAGAGTTTTGTAAATTGAAGAAGACTTTGATGAGGTACGCTGGAACTCTGGTCACTACCTCCAAACACGTCTACATATTCTTCGTAAAATTGGTCAATCAAGTCATCTACTTGGTCAGAGTTAGACGATCAAGAACGCCTAAGACCCAAAATGAACAAAATGTATACGTATCCGTAAGAGAGAGTATTGTGTGTACCCCTGTGTTGAAAATGAATTTGCAAAAAGCAAAATCGCAACTTTTCGCAAATTGTTAAATTTCAACACAGGGGCCACCTTTCTCTTTTTGGCTTTGCAAAATTAAATCGCCCCGGCGCACGCCACCCCAAGTCGACCGATCAGTCAAAGTATAGATTCGTAATCGATGCCTTTTTCCGATAATTTGTTTCATTTCGTTTTTCGTTTTTTTTTTTGTTTTTCGAGCGGTTTTTTCGCCTGATATTCAAACTTTTTCTACTATTTTGACCAAAATGTAGCAGAAACTAATGGTAAATGGTAAATTTCAACAGATAAAGGACGTACATTTAAAAAATATATGATTTTTGTTACTTCACAATTGCAATTGTTTCAATGTTTTTTTTACATTTTAGCTTTTAATTTTAAAACCAACCGTGATGCGGCGAAATGTCAAAAAAGGAAATAATTCGTTTTCTATTGGTTCAGAGTGGCGTGCGGCGTTGAAAATGGGACTGCGATAAAAAATGTTATCGCGGGTCCATTTTCAACGCAGTGTCAACACACACAATGATCTTTTTGCTGTTTTGTGGTTTATGCAAATCGTTTGGCGTTATTTCCGAAACAAAAAATTCTGTTTAGCGTCATTTCGAAGAGCAATGTTTATTTTAAGCAGGGGGTTTTCTTAATATTGGAAAAAGGCGGTTATTATAATATGGGGGTGTAATATTTTAAATTTTTTATTATAATTTTGAGGGGCGATTATAATTTTTATTGTGTTATGTATTATAGTAGTATCGGGTTGAAAATAAGGACAATACGGGATTGATATTTTAATTGTTAGTACCTAGTCATGTTTATTATAATTTTGGGGGTGATAATATTTTTTATTATAATTTTGAGGGGCGATTATAATTTTTATTGTGTTATGTATTATAGTAGTATTGGGTTGAAAATAAGGACAATACGGGATTGATATTTTAATTGTTAGTACCTAGTCATGTTTATTATAATTTTGGGGGTGATAATATTTTTTATTATAATTTTGAGGGGCGAGTATAATATTTACTGTATTATAGTAGTATTGGGTTGAAAATAAGGACAATACGGGATTGATATTTTAATTGTTATTACCTAGTCATGTTTATTATAATTTTGGGGGTGTAATATGTTTAGTGTTATGATATTGTCAAATAATAATAGTTTGTGTCTTATCTAGTCAATAAAATAGGTTTTAAAACGTCCAAATTGTCGAATATAAAAGCCATTTGTATATTTAAAATTTATTTGTCTAAGAATAAGCAACAATTTAATCGATTTTGCTTTTCGCAAATTTATTTTCAACACAGGGAACACACAATACTCTCTCGTAAGTTTTTTTTTAATTTTTGATTTTTTGTAACTAATTTTTGTACCTTCATAAAATATAAGAAATAGCAAGTTTTGAGTTGCGTATGAGATGATACTTGTGTTGAGGTGAGTTTTAAATATCGCTTCTCAAGATGCAAGCCTTGTCATGGTGAAAAATGTTGAAGTTATTAGCAGTATAATTTGACAAGAAATCGTTGATGCCAAGAATAAGATTAAGATAGACAAGAAGGCTAAAGCTAATAAAAGAAGGGCATCAAGACGTCGACTTTGTTGAGAAAGATCGCATTTTTAACAATGATTAAAGAATTGTTTGATAATTTGAAAAAAATTTAAAATTTTGTAATAAAACGATGATGGTTTTTGATATAACATCCGCTCAAGGTTCTAATTAACTAACACAGCCCACACTACTCATGTTTAGTACACATGAAAAGACTGACTATGTACGACCATTCATAAAACCAGTTTAGTACCAGTAGCAAAAACTACTAGCCAAAACCGGTCTTAAAACCGGTTGTGTACCATATAGTTTTATCAGAACCGGTCGTCAGCACCTGTTCTATAATGTGAATCGTGGTAGTATGTAAAGGCACACCCCAGCCTTCACTTCGGGCTTCACCAACAGTAAGGATACCGTTTAGCACGGTGGTTCATATTTTACTTATTCCGTTCTACTACTGAATTCATTCTATAAAACATACTAACTATTGTAATATCGTATTGTACGTATTTTGAAAATAAACTTTAAAGCATTATACTATCAAACTTGTAAAACTGAGCATATACATAAGTTAGAACTACACAGTTCTACATTCTAGGGGGAAAAAAGACTGTTAAAAATAAATACTGTAATAAAATACCCTACGGCGTCAAAAAAGCTCCAACAAGCATAAAAATCTATTGCTTGCACAGGCGTGCGGTACCAGATCTTGATTTTTACGTAAAAATCCACCCCCACCCAAAAATACACACAAATCACAAGAAAGTGATACAACTTCGCAATGTTAAAGATTAAAGCCATAAAGTTCAAAGAATTTGACACAATTCAAGCTTATTATATCTTGTCATTATAGATGTGTTTTAGTAAGAAATAACATGTCAAATGCAAGTTTATTAAATTACAATTTTAAAATGTTTTAAAATAGTCATTTTTACTTTACAATTTAGCCTTTTTGCTGTATTTGTAGAAGCCTTGGCCAGTCTTCACTCCCAAATGACCTTCTTTGACCAGCTTGTCCAATATACTGTTACTACGCACTTTGATTAGGTCAGGATAAAGACGAGCAATTTCTGAAAAATAATTTTAATAAAAAAATTAAAGCCAAAAATTAAAACAAAAATTTAAACTTCAAAATTTTAAAATGAAAAATTAATTAAAATGTAAAAAAATTAAAAAAAAGCTTAGTCACGTACCATCTCGAACCTTTTTGGCAGTATCAAGCCCAATTCTGTCCAAAGTTTTAAAAGGTCCGATTGGATGTCCCATGGCTTTTTCTAATCCAATATCAACATCTTCTACCGAGCAAATACCGTCTTCTACCATTTGGAAGGCTTGATCAAACATTACGTTGATAATCCTGTTCACTATGAAAGCTGGAGTGTCCTAAAACAAAAAATGGTTTAAAGTGGTACTATTGACCTAATGAAGGTGTATGAGAGTACAATTAATAAAGTAAGTATTTTTGTTTTTTAATTTACCTTGCACTTTAACGGATGTTTTCCCAATTCTACAGCAACTTTGACCAGTCGTTGGAAGAGTTCGTCGCTTGTGTACTCACTTTTCATAACCTAAAACACAAAAAATATATGCTTTTTCTATAAAAAGAGTTTAAAATCAATCAGAGGAAGGCAGGTCAGGCCCTTTTCTTATTATTTTTACTACAAACCTACCTCAACAACTCCACTTTGGGGTACGGGAAAGAAGAAGTGTAGCCCTCCAAGCCTAGATTTGTTCTGCATCTTTTCACTCATCTGTTTCAACAAGAGTGACGATGTATTTGTAGCGAATACCGTAGACGGAGCACATCTTTTTTCTAACCTTGCAAACAAATTCTGTTTTAATTCTAGGTTCTCGGGAATGGCTTCTACTACAAGATCAGCGTTCTTCACTGAATTCTCGAAATTTGTCGAAAATTTTAAATGCGAAAAAACATGCAAATTGTAGTTGTGGATGTCCTGAAATTAGTCATATGTACATGTACATATATACTTACTTATACAAACAGAATTGTTAAGAGTTCCAGAGCCGGCTCCAGAGCAGCTCCGACTCTAAAGCTTACATTACATGTATACAAAATAAAATGTATATAAAATACTCAATGTTCTTACAGTTTCAAATCGACCTTTGTGGGCTTTCCTGATGCTTACTTCAATTTTTTTCTTGGCTCTAGATACTGCTTTGTCATCCAAATCGTATACGGTTGTATCAAATCCTTTGGCTGCAAATGCCTAAAATTACTTAATTTTTTAACCTTTTTTTATTGCACATACTCAAATATACAGATCTTCATATTTTACAAGAAATCGATGTAATAAATGTTTCGTATTTTACAAAAAAATCTATTCTATAAAGCCCCTTACCTCAGCAATGCCAGCTCCCATAAAGCCTCCGCCGATTACCGTGACATTTTGGAAACCGCTAGGTTGGCCGAAATTGACCATATTCTAAAAGTGCAACTTGTTTTAATTAAAGGTTAACAAAGATTTTGAAAGAATAAAAGATTATAATATAATAATAAATTTTTCCGTGAAGCCCTTTCAATAGGGTAGAATGCATTTTAGTAAATCGGCAGATCAATCTATATAGACTTCTGACTACGGCTTGAAGCCTTGAGGATCTCCTCATCACTACTCAATAGCTTGATAAACGAGGTCACCTGATTAGGGCTTATATGGGAACAGCTACAATGGATTGTTCTACCAGTTATCACTAAACCCTCATCATCCCCTCTCACATCTCAAATTATATATCTGGCGTTGAGAAAGAAGATAACGTTTTTTAAAGGCATGCTCAGTATGGTCTAACTACGATATATTTGTTCTTAGACCATTTAACATTCAAAATCTACAATTATTCTGTTTTATAATAGTAAGACTCTTTTCATCTGCAATAAGAAGCTTCTTTATACAAGGAGATTGTTAATAGAGCAAGAGATACATTTTAAACTAAAGTAGGTAAGGAAACCAAAAGGTTCAGTTACAAATTTTAAAAACTCAAAGAAAAAAGGAACGTAGTGGAAAAAGTTGTGACCTTTATATATTCTTTCTTGTGTTTTAATGCCGATATCACATTTTATTATAGATTGATATGAAAACGCTACAAAACATAAGGAAGTATAAGATCTTTAGCAAAATTAACCAAAATTTTTAAATTTATAGATCAAAAAGCAAAAAGACAGTCATCTTGCTTAGTTAAAACATTGTAATACTTACAACATATCTTATTTTATTATAAACCAACTAAACTGTAACAATTATATGATTTGTTGGCTAAGATTTGATTAGAAAATAGTTATTAACAAAAGTTTTACTGTTTTCAATTTTAAATTGATCAAAAACAACACCAAAAAACACGAAAAACAGCTTGACTTCACGAAGTATAAACCGCTCAATAAATAAAATAGAGAAACACTTAATACTACAAGTTTTGTGCGTCGATAACACTACTGATCCATGAGTTTGATACGCTTAATCGAATGTTTTACACTATTAACATCAAGTTACAATATTGTGTAACAAGTTGTTAATTCAAACTGGTAAAGTCATTAATCATACAAGAGTTCGTGATCAGAAGTTACAGTGTATTCGTTGTTTATTATACTTTATGATGGATTAGGTATTTAACAACTTATCGAACTTGTTTTTATATGGAATATGTGACTGTAGTAATATTCATATACGTCTCTTTCTACAGTAATATTCATTTTAAAATAAAAAAGGAATAAACCTTTTTTAAAAACTAAATATGTATTGGAAATAAATAAAGTTCACATAAGCATTAATCATACTACATATCAGATAAAACAATAAATTTTCGCAAAACGTCTTATTCATCTTTTTCTTTTACTTTATCTTGTATTGTTTTATTTTAACTATTCTTTTTTTATTAAATTTATATTGTAATTGAATTATGCATCGACTGTTCTCCTATATATGTAACAATTGTAGTGTAAGTTTTACAGTATACAATTTATTTACTGAATCTAACAATAGCATTTTAAAGACATCTTTCTTCCCAAATTAAAACCAGCCTTTCTCTAACTTCTTCGTACTAAACAACACACTCACTTCAAATTCTAACGCCAAGTATTTTTAAAAATTTATAAACGTTCACACCTTACATTGCCATATTTAACAGTTTAATATGGTTGCTAATGATGCTCAGAGTATACTTTCTACCAACTCATTACTTGCAACCTTTCGAGCAGGTCCAAGTTCTACTATTGATCAGTACAGTACTTGGAATATTACTCAATACTGTACTGTACATTGGCTGTAAATTTGAACAGATCGAAGTTTATCTTTGCTATTTTTATGTCGCTGTAAGTTATGAATTTACAAAGTTGAAATCTTTTATAACGTTAAAAAACTCAACCTCTAAAGATATTTAATGTTAACTTACAGCCTATCATCTACATCTTCCATATGTCATGTTGTATTGTAATTTCAAGCCTATTACGTACAAAAGTAGCACTGATGCACAAAGATCCAAACAAAGAATTCTTTTTTGTTACCTTTGATTTTATTTTGGGAGTAATTAATTTATTTGTACTTCTACATACGATTGATATTATCTATGGTGATTACTTGGTTTTGAAACGAAAGTTTTATTATAAAGTTGATAACATGTACAGGGTGTTCCAAGAAAAATGTTAAAAACTAACGAGCTGTAATTTTGTTCCGAACAAAGCTACAGATGCCAAATTTGGCATGCTAAAAGTTTGGAACCACAAATTTTTTGTCACAAAATTTTGGATTTGTTAAGTGCATACTAAGGGCGGTATGATTTTTTAAAAAATGTTCATTTTCCCCCGAATTACACATATTTTCAGTTGGAAATGCTTTTTTTTTGGTAAAATTTTTCTAAGTTTCAGACAATTTTTTGATTGAAAATGCCACTTTTAGCAAAGTTTTTGATTTTCAAACGTCGGCGGAGACTCGGCGGACGCCTAAATTTATCGGCGGAGGCTATAACTTGCTTCAAACATAACGTAGCGACGTGAAACAATTGTTGGGAAGAAAATTATAGCTCGTTAGTTTTTAACATTTTTCTTGGAACACCCTGTATATTCATACATACTCAGTAAAAAATTTTTTTTTATTTTTTAATTAAAGGTAAGGTAGGGTAGGGTAGGGCAGAGTAGGCTAAAGTAGGGTAGGGTAGAGTAGGATAATGTAGGGTAGAGTAGGGTAGGGTAGGATAGAATAGGGTAGGGTAGGGTAGGGTAGGGTAGGGTAGGATAGGGTAAAGTAGGGTAGGGTAGGGTAGGGTAGGGTAAATTTAATTTATTTAAAACTTAATTAAAATTCATACAAATAGCTGTTCAAACACTAAAGCGAGTACTCTGCACTTTCAAGTCCAAGAAGGAATGGCATTACTATGCACTTTGCTGTATTTTCTAGACTACTTCAATGTTTAGGACATTTCTTTGCACTTTAAATTAGCTTTTTTTTATTGCAGGTTACATGTGTAGCAAATTTTTATTTAAAAATTGTAAAATACGATAGTAGGTCCATCTGTATTTAACAAAATTTAAACTAAATTTTAGCCATACAACCCTCAACTTTCAATATTTCCAAGATTCATCTACTGTGACACTTCCATTTTTTTCAGAATGCACTTTTAAATGTTTCTTTTTCCGAAACGAGAGCCGGCTCAGTCCTGTGTCCACCCGTTTGTCCAGCCGAAGCACGTCTTCTACGCATTTCTTCATTTCTCTGGCCGAAAAAAAAGCCGGAGCGCGGGAGGAAAATTTTTTTTGCAAAGCCGCAAAAAGTTTCGGATGCGTTTTTTTTCGGAATAAGACGAGCCCATATGTCATTGAAACTTTATTGAATAAATATTTTTGTTTTTTGCGGTTGGATTTGACATTTTTAGGGGTTAAAGATGTGACAGTGTGAAATGGTAATTTTTAAAAAATTAATGAAAAATTTTAAAATGTTTATTTTTATATTTTCTGTTGAAGCTAAAACAATAGCATTATAAATTTTTAATGTTGCTTTAGAACGTGGATAAGAATAGCATAGTTATAGTAAAAAAATAGAAAAATATAAATTATGACGATATTTATAGTCATAGTTAGTAAGAAATTGTTTAAAACTTAAAATTTTTACGCCTCAGGGTACTTTAGCTTATGCCACAACTGCCCCAGCTTTGCTCTACCTCTACTCTTGCTTTAGCCTAGTCTTGCCTTAGCTCTTCCTTACCACGACTTTTTATCTACTTCTATCCTACCTTTCTTATTCTGCCTTAACTTTACCTCCGCTCTACCTTAGCTCTACACACGTCTTAACCCTGTGCGGCTTTGATCTACTTATCCTTACTAACCCTGCTCTCCCCTTGCCTACACCTCTCCCTAGCTTACCTTAGCTTTTCCTTACCTTGCCCTGCTTTAGCACTGTTCTAACTTTACGTTAGCGCTACCTTAACCCTACTCTAGCCATACTTTAGCTCTTTTCTAATCTTACCGTAGTCTTAATTTAGCCTGGCCTTTGCCCTGGCCTACTCTTTCTTCAGTGTTCTTTACTGTTGCTTTAGTCTTTAATATTTGAATATTTTCGAAATTTTAAAAAACCTTAGTCTCTTTCAAATTTTACGTTAGAATGCCTTCAGAATCGTTTACGTTTGTTTCTGTTTCAATCACGTGCTCAACTCTCTTCCCTCACCCTCCACACTCGTCGCACTCTTTCGTTGAGCGAAAAAAGAGCTGAAACACCCTCTTCTGGATCCTCACCTCGCGCAACGCCGCAGGGCTTTTTGTCTCGAGAACGTCTGATCGACTCAAGAATTTGGTCGTTTCTTAATTGGGGGCTGATTCTTTTACCATTGTTTTCGTGCGTCGGATGATGCCAAAAATAAATTTTCGATTTGGGTATGAGAAATACGGTATTTTGAGTAGTGTATTATGTTAAAAAAGTTTCTTTTTGAAGTAAGGGTAGTAATGATAGGAGAATTTTTAAGAAAAAATTGCTTTAAGGTTCGTATTGAACAAAATTTCAAAAAATCCCGAATTTTTATCAATTTTTTTTGAATTTGACCTTTTATGGCCGTAGTGATTCATAAATTCTTGGCCAGCAAACTCATCCCTCGAAGAAAGAAAACAAGTCCCAATCATTTTTTCTTGCTTTAACTCGATTTTCTTTTACAGTTTTGCACTTTAAGTTGGGTTAACGACGTTAGGCTTATTTGTTTAGAGCTGTCAATTAGGTTTGGTACCTAAAATTATTTTAAAATTTTTTTTGTTAAAATGGATAAATTGTAAAATAAGTTTTTTACTGTTTTAGAGGCAAATTTATATATTAGGGGCCGACATAAAGAACCCGCCATACTTTGCCTGCAGGGACGTCACTACGGATTTTCTCTGGAAGAGGCCGAAAAAATGTTGTTCGTCCACAGGTACCTGTACTGATTTTCCAAATATTTTTTTTTGTTTTTTCACGTA